GAAAAAGGTGATTTTCAATGGTTCATGTGAGCTTCGTTAAGACATAGGAATGTAATAAAGTTAACAGTTTAAGTTAAAACCTACTGTATAATTTCTGTCTCCCGGATCATAATCGCAATTTGTGATTCAGGGTACAACGTGTGCCCCTGGAAAGTGTAAACTAATTTTCTTCCTCATGAAACTTCATTCTGTTAACCCATGTGAAATCAGAATCAGAATCAGAATCAGAATCATTTTTATTGCCACGTAAGTAACAGGAAGTCACAGACTTGGAAATTGCTTTGGCTCAGTGCAACAGTCAAAAAGAGATAATAAAAATAAGAATAAAAAACACTTCTAAAGAATAAATTTAAATTTAAAATAGAGTTACAGTTACTATTTACAATATACAAGTGCACATGGTGCACACAATGTAAGGTGACAGCACACAATGTAAGGTGACAAGAGCAGGATGGAACATTTTATTTTATTGTGTTTAATAAAAAATTAAGAGATTTTATTCTTGTATAATTAAAACAATTTTGTCTGTCAAAGCGGCCAATATTCAGTAATTAATGGTATTGAGGTACTTGAATAAATTTGAATTATACTGTTTGATGTTAATTATATTACTCTGAATGCTCTTTTTACTCAAGTTGTATGTATATCTTCAGCTGCCTGTAGGTTTGTCATCTTTTTCTTTCTAATATCTCAGATGTTCTCCAACAACAATTAGTTCAACCTTTCAGTTCCCCCAAATAACTAAAAGAAATGCTTGAGTCATTTCTAAGACTAAAAACAATACATCTATTTGATCATTTTGGGGTTTGACTTAGTATTCGCTTTTGGTAGGGATGTATCCAAAGGACACCACAAAAAGCATGTGCCGAGAGCTGACCCAGAGAGATACAGGCCACGTGAAGGAAAATGGTGGCCTGGTCAATTACAATACCACATTTTAATGAAATTCAGTGATTAGAGAAGTTTTTCTTAATTCACACAGGAGATTACATACTGGCAAACAAACAAAATGGCAATATACCAGCAGCGCTAAATCATCCACAATGTTTCCTAAACCAAGATTAATTTTTTTTCCCAAAAACGTGGTTGTTTCTTGGATGGCTTTCTTTTTGGCTTCTTTTTACATGGTCTAACTTACTCCCTGTTTATTATTCAGCAGCACAACCCACCAGATGCTTAAATTAAAAATTCCCAAAACCCCATTTGAAAAACCCAAAATCCCAGTCTTATAAACAAGAACAGATTACAATGCATGGCTTTGTTTGGTTGCTCAACTATTTTCTCCCACTCGCTTTGAAATTCTATCATTAATGGAAACTGAATAGTGTTTCATTGCACGTATTATAACTTGGGAGTCCAGCCAATGTGTCCCGATGTGACTACAGATCGTAATTTTCAAAGATGTAAAATAGTTATTTTTGTCATTTATCTTTCAGGAGCAGACTTGTACTTCTTTAGAGTTCATATGTCGAGGTTGAGGTTACATACAGTCAGGTTTGCAGCTGTCTCAATTCAAGAGAGTTATATTCTCACCAGCTGCAGTGGGGATGTTTGCCGTATAGTCATTCCTATTTACACACCAAAATTCCTCAAACGTCATTTAGATTGTATATACAGGAAATGACAAGCAAGCCACATCTGCAACTCGGGGACACAAAACTCCGGCATTTAAAATACTTCAATGCAGGATGTTTGGATACAATTATCATGTAATTATTTGACCTCACTGGTTAAACTGGACACCAACACCCTCTAAAATCCAAAATCTGTCAAGTCACAGCCAGAAACAAGACAAAAACTTGCCCTAGCCCTAAATCACAAAAATAGTTATCCCGGAGGACTTACCAAAACCTTTGAATTCGCAAACACACATCAGAGAATCAATCAAGACAAGATTCATTTATTTTAGGATCTGGTATCTTTCAACCAACAGCAATACAATCACAGTGACACAATAGCCTTATGTGCACCACAACCAGTGTTGGGGAAGTCACTTTTAAAAAGACAATGCATTATGGGCTGCCTAACTTCATGTCAAATGTAAAGAATCAAATGAGGAGTCTCTGAGTGGTTGTGTCGTGAGAGCTGACTGGTTTCTCTCCCTGTATCAGATTCACATTCAGATTAATTTTATTTGCCACGTGCAGTATAAAAAACACATTGGAATACATTTGCAAAAAAAGTTACTCTGTGCACCAACAGAATAAAAAGCACAATACAATGTAATATAAATACACATACACATACACTGAACATAAATAAAAATAGCTGACACTGAGGCACCGATCGACAAAAAAAAAAACAATCAGGAAGGGACTGTAGCAGACTAGCAGGTTTTTTTTATTTTACACTGCTAGCTTTTTCCACCATAGTACCCTTAAACAATTGATAGAAAGATATAATTGATTGTAAACACTTGATGTTGTTAAGCACTTAGCTTAGTGGCTAACATAGCTCCAGCTGCTTTAGCAGGGGGCAGTAAAAAAATATGAGACTGCAAATGTCTGTGTCCTCGGGCAAAGGTGGGCTTTGAGCATAGAACTTTATGGTTTTGAGAATTCTTATTTCTTTGAAATCAAATAGTTGGATTGTAATTGTGACTTTATTAGACCATTAATTGTCCCTTTAAAATATCAAATTGGAAATAGAGATCCATATAGGGGGAAAATCATATCGCTCAGCATTAACGAGGAGCAGAAAAAGGAAATTGGTCCTGATGTTTGCTCAGTAAACCTGAGGACCCTGTCGCTTTCACATGGAACACCCACTTCTTGCATAGATGAGTCACTAGCTTTCCTGGAAATAATGAAATTCAACTCATATGTTGTTATTTATAGCAATAATGTTTTTTTTTATTTGTTTCAAATTTGACAACTGTGAAATGACTTGAGAAAATAAATTGCACGTTTCTTTTTCAAGCGTTTGATTGACTAAATGTGTGGAGACACTCAGAGGTTGAACATTTCACACAAAGACCCTCAGCATCCCCCTTCGTCCATCGCTATGGTTACGGCGATGCAGGTTACCGTGGCAGCAGAGTAGAACCTCACTTGGAGCAGCAGGAGCACCGCGCCTTGCTCTTTTAGCACAAATACGCACGCACTGACGACTTGGAGTGTTTTTTTGTACTACTTGTACTTTTTCTGCTATTTCGGTCCATGATGTTGAACTGTCGTCATCTCCGGCATTCACCTCTGGCTTGCATCATTCCCCTGCCAGTGATACACAACTCGTTTCTTTTCTACACTTATTTAGGTCGGGTTTGTGGATGAATGTTTGTGGATAATGGTGCTTCTGAAAGCTTTATACTGTACACTTTCCATTTTACTAGTGTACAATTTCATGAAAGCCTATTATGCTTCTACAGTAGGGCTGTTTTGTGTATGAAGAGATAGTGTTGTCCTACTTCGCTACCATCTAGTGGCCATCTCATGTAGGCTACAGTTTTTGTTTACAGTAAACAGAATGATACATTTTTAAGGAATTACATATAAGATTGACATAATAATTAACAAGTTAAAAAATGATAGTGACAACTTTTAGATCCCATATATTGACTGATTTTTCTTAAAGCTGCGGTTGATACATTTTTGTCCCAACAATAAAGTCTGAAAAGTAAAATGTATAGTAAAGAAATCAGACCACAACATGCTGTCTTTATCATACTTCTAGAAAGAACTGTGAGTCACTGTGAGTCACAGACCACACATAAAAAGTAGTGATAAAACTATTGTTTCCTACTGTTTTTAGGAACTTGTAAAATGGATTGTATTATTTCAATGTTTTTGTTGTTTAAAAGCTAGAAAGTTTTCTTTGTGTCGTTGTCGTAAGGAGTCCCAATGTGTGATATTTGTGGTATTCTCTCATAACACCACTAGAGGCTGCAATATGATCCTGTGTAGAGCAGAAATGTCCAAACTATGGCCCAGGGGCAAATTGTGGCCTTCAAACCCAACATTCTTGGCCCTCAGGATTGCTGGTGACAGGGTTCACTTTTAACCAAGAAGTACTTTTTTGCAGAGTACTCGACTATTAACTGATCCATATTAAACATATAGGAGTATATAGCCCAGGTGAATACTTTGATTCTGGACGGCGGTATCAAACAATGCATTTAGCACTGGTCATAAAAAGAGTTTGGTCACCCCTTATGTTGATAGTTATCTTTTGCCTAACAGATAAATTATAGATCTCCACCATTTACTGGTAAAAAGAAATCAAACAAACTTATGACTAAACTTAAAAATACTCGTATGTGTGATTCTTATCTCGCCTTTACACCTCCCTTATTCCATCTGTAACATAGAATTAATCTATTTCTCATGTTATTCTGTTCTTTTTTGAAAATATAATTCATTTTTGTTTGTTGTAAGCAATGATTAACATTAGCAGTATTAAATCCAAAACGTGCAAAATAATTAAAATGTTGGATTATATACACTATAACATTTCCGAGGATTGAAGGAAATCATTTTAGCTCCAGTAAAAGCATATAATTACTGCTACACTGATTGAAATTAAAGCACAATATATTTTTGGCACTTTTATCATCAACCTAGAGATATGTTTTATTCATAAATGGGTAAATTAGCATTACATGGTTTGTATTGTGCAAACTAATTACATTTTGTAAAATGTATCTAAAAATGATCCCTGCCACATGTATAAAGGTTATCTTTCATCTAAAGCAGATTATGAAGGCGCTTTTTTCTGAATCAAGAGTTATTGTGGGGGTACTTGATATTTGGTTTAATCTTTAAAAAAGACATTAAAAGGAGTGCCTCAATAATCCATAAACCCTTCATGCTCAGCTCTATTGTGATGTCGTGGCTTCACCTGCACACAGCCCTGATCCGTTTCAGGATTTACCTACAGACCATAGTCCTAATCCCCTTTCTCCTAATCCCTGCAGCCTCCTCCACTCACACCATGCTTTTTGTCTTCATTGCACAGACACAGACATGTAGGACGCGCTGGCTCTTCTTCTCCAGGGGCCCTTCATGTTGTTGGACTTCTGCTGCCGCTGCTGTGGAGTCACTCTCATAAAACGCCATGGACCCCTGGTGCTCAAGACCACGCCCAGTGACACCTGGGTAAGAACAAGTACTCTTCATATAGTACAAGTAATATGCTGGAATACTGTAAATGTGCAATATTTTAGCTTGCTTCAGCTCCCAAGCCTTGATAGTGGCAGTGCAAGATGGCTCCACCTGCAGTTGACAGCCAAGCTAAGCAGGACAGGGCCTGGTTTATACTTTGATGGGAGACCTTTGGGAACACCAACTGCCACAGTGGGGGGACTATAGCTGGAAAGTGCCAAACTGTTGTTGTATCCTGGGGCAAGACACTTAACCCAGATTACCTAGTCTGGTGGTGGTTGGGGGGCAGAGGGCGCAGATTAGTTGACTTGCTTCTCTCAGTCTTCCCCAGGGCAGTTGTGGCAGTTTACTACCATCATGTATGGAGTGAATGAAAAATGTCATGTGAAGTTTCTTTGAGTCTCCAGAAAAATGCTATGTAAACCAATGCATTATTATTATTATTATTATCAAAGAAATCTCACACTTCATATTACTGCAATTAAATACCATGTATGTGTGTATATACAGTATATATATATAATATATATATATATATATATATATATATATATATATATATATATATATATATATATATATATATATATATATATATATATATATATATATATATATATATATATATGGATGTCCACCTGAGCTCTTGAATCTATACAGTCTGGCTTCCCATAAACTTTTCCCTGCCTTTTGCCTTTTTTACCTCTCAACTACTACTAACTACTAAGTTTCAGGGCCTGCGCTTGTGGCTCAATTCAGATTTCTCAACAACAAAAATAAAAAAGATAACATACAGTATAGTATAGATTAACTTAAATCCTTCTCATTTGTGCCTCGAGAAGAAACCTTGCCAGAATGGGATACTTTTTTATTATTACTTTCATGCAGCAGCGAATAATGGCAATCTCAATTTGAATCAATGTTGTCTATTGAATGATTGCTTCACTCATCAAAGTAGGTGTTGACATAAAACTCGCACTCTATTTTAGTTTTGCCTCTAAAGCAGTAAGTCTGCAGACGTCAGAGTTCCCCATTGTAGAGGGTTTGAACACATGGTAATACAGGGAATTTAGTAATTAGATTAAGCAGTCAAGAGAGATAGTGCTTGTTTATCTTTAAAATGATCAATCAATATTTAATTGTTCACCCATAAATACCAATCTCAAGGCAAATTTTATGTAGGTATTATTTTATTATTTTATGGAATGCAACACACATTTTTTCCTGTGGCTTGATTGAAAGGTTAGGTTTTTGCGTCTTTAGGTCATAAGCTAATCAGCAGCAGGCAAACAAATCCACACTGCGTCAATGGTGTTAAATGGTTTGTTTGAGCGTGTGTGTTTTAGCCGTTCTAAGAATCATTAAAACATATAAAAGAAAAGGCACATCTGCAGCCCCTCAGTCTGAAGGCTCAAAATAGAGTCCAGTGCTTCCCAGCGGTGGCCAGGACTAAAATAAACATTGGCCTCTATAAATTACCCATCTCATCTGCCAAAGAATGTGTCTGTGGGGAAGGATCTGAGAGCAGAAATCATTAGACTTTCAGAACAGACTACTTGTGGTTCTTTCATCTTTTTATATTATATAGAGTAATATAAAGAGACATTTTTGATTAATTGTCGGGGGGATTTAGATATTCAAGTGAAAACTGGAAATTTAAATAGTGTTCAAAAGTCCATATATATTTGTAATTCAACTTAAGATGTGAAACCAATACCTTCTTATAGACTCATTACAAAGTTTTGTTTGTCATAAGTTAGATAATTGTGGATCACAGTCCATTTTCAAAATATAAAAAGTTTTTATATTTTGAAAATGGACTATGATCAACAATATTAAAAACAGATTAGCTCAACATCAACATTATAACCAATAAAGGCTTGATATATCTCACATTGAGTTTCATCATCACAGCCTATAGGTGCATTGCTATTGCGATTGAGTAATGAGTGTAAATATTCATTTAAAGTCTAAAGGGCAGCCTTTGTGACATTGCTTACCACAGAGGATGCTTTCATGGTGGAAAATCTTGCATCATTCCATTATAGGAGACAAAATCAACTTTTCCTTTAACCATGCTACCAACATGTTTCAATTTTTTTCCCCAAAAACAGACCTGGGGTTGTATTTAGATCCATGCACACTGATTTCAGGAACCTCTGGCAGATATATGTAACTTTGCTTTTTCCTTTTAAAGGCCTCTATATCAGCCCTGTAATAGTGAGATGTTATTGTACCACTATGATATCACACTCCGAGCAGTTGTCTGTCTTTTAAAACAAATGTATTGCCCATAAATTAGTTTTGACAATAGTTTTGTAGCTGGTAATTTTCATATTTGGAAAAACCAAAACCAATTCTACACCTCCCTCTGGTGGTAGGATACATATAGCAACATTGTCTACTGCAGATATTATTTCACGTGTTTAATTTTATGTTTAGTTTCATGATCATTTTCAGTAGCCAAAAATAATGCATAATATTTCTTTATTATTATTTTTTCATGTAATTGGGTGCTCGAGAGTAATACCAGACCAATGTGTCCCAAGACCAACACCAGACCAGGGCTTTCAAATGTTGTAAAATCAACTGATACTACCCACTTCTATTTGTAATAGCATATTCTGTACTAAACTATTTTCCAGCAACAATATTCATCTGAAAAAAGCAGCACCATGAAAGATAGGAACAAATGTGGAGATTAGATTTTTTTTGTGGCTAATGTAGTTTTTCATCGACAATAGATAAAACAACTAGAAAACTAAATCATGCTCAATATTCATCATTATTTTGAGGATTTAGAGCAGATCGTTATTGTTGTAGCTATTGTAATTGGATGTTGAACATAAACAAAAGCCTTTGCCGCACAGCTGACTCTCACACACTGACTCTCACACGCATGCTGTTAGTGTGATAACCGCTGTGCTCCCCATCATGTCTTCACCCTCATTGTATAAACGTTTTTCTTTCCTGCTTCCGTTTTGTTCATATATGGTGGTGATTCTTGTGAGATCCAAAGAGAAATCATTTGGATTGAATAATCCTTCTTCATCATAAGTTGTATATTCTGTCATCTATCCCATTATAAATAAAAGCACAACCCCACCTACATTGCCCCCTCTTATTGCCTTTATTCTCAATTTTTCATATCATCCAACCACTTTATGTTCAATATCAGACTATAGAAGACTACTTCAGCACCAGGCTCCACAACAAGACAGAGCTGAAACCAGGACACAATCTCTGTTATAATTAAGGAACTTTAGTATTTTAGTCCCTCTAGCGGTTGCAGAAATTCAGAATGTGTTTAGGATTTTGTGTCTATATTACGGTTGCTCTGTTATCATAAACTGTGCTGCTTTCTAGCTGATGTGTGTTGTAGTTTGTCTTCCCTTTGATGGTTTTAACCCTTGCACAATTACCAACCCCAATTATTTAAAATTATGCAAAATATAATTTTTTTTAGCTGAATTCTGGTGATTTTGCTGCTTTCCTGCTGTCCAAAAGAAAGGGTCTAAAAGAGGACTTTTAATCACTGGGGTTAACCCTTGTGCTATTCTCAAGTCAAAAATACCCGCCCCAGTGATTAAAATAAGAATAAAAACGCACTAAATTAGCGTCTAAATGATCGAGGGGCAATAATCAAAATGTAGCTTGGGAAAATACTTTCTATCATTAAATGTAGATGTTGCCACTGACTCCCAGAGGAAAACTTTACTGATAGGCCCACTTGGAGAACTAAATATGTGTAGATTTTTCAAACATTACAGATCAAAAGCTTTAAAGTTGTAGAAAAAAGAGGTTCTTCTTTCAGCTCCGTTAAGTGGTGGGCCTCCTGCTGCTTCACACGCAGCACGACACAAGGTTCTCTCCTGCAGGACCAGACGAGTCAGAGTGGGTGCATGAACGATGTTATTATCTTTGTGCTTCAGGTGGTTCTGCAGAATCTGCTCATGTGCATGGTGTGTTTCTACGCGCTGTACTACATCGCTATCAGTCTGTGCATAGGACTGCTCAGGTGTGGACACAAACTCACACTCCCTACAATATCATGCAAGTCACGATTAGTTACATCCTGTGTGTGCTTCCAGGGTTCATGAGATCAACAGTTTTTTAGCTCCGTTTGACTACACAACACAACCCTCATGGCAGAACCCAAAATACCTGGGTGAGTATGAGAACAAGTGTCTGTGTAGTATCCATGCTGTGGCCCAGGGCTAAATCAGGCCAAACAATCGTACAAATACATGAAAAATATACAATGGTTCTCTTGTTTACGGGTTTTGTTCTAATTTAGGCATGTATAATATAGCAGATTCCTTCAACAAATTGTTATTCACACAGATTGACATTGTTATTATTGTGTATGGTTGTGTAGCTCATCCATCCATCCATTTTCTTCCCCTTAATCCATTTCTGGGTCAGGGGGGGTAGCAGTCAGAGCTGTTACCAGTACACAGAGCTCCAGCCCCTCACTGATCCTCCTGCAGGTGGTGAGTCCACAGGAGCTGAGATCTTTCTGCAGGGGCTTCGGGCAAAGTGGGGTTAAGTGTCTTGACCAAGGACACAACGACAGCAGTCATCAGTGAGAGTCGGTGGAGAAGGGGTCGAGGTGGGAAACAAACCCACGACCTTCAGGCCTGAAGGCCAACGCTCTACCAACTGAGCTACTGTCGCCGCCTGTGTGTAGCTCATGTAATGTCTTAATATGTGGCTCTAGCTGCTTGTACATGATAAATATATTGTCTGAATGTATCGTTAATTACGATACATGACAGGATGAAATTACATTATATATTTTGCTCTTGTTTTAAAAATGGTATTTCCAAGTTTTTCTATCTGTAACGTTTTGGAGAGTAATTATAATCATTTATAAATGTAATTCTAAAAACCTACAATATCTTCTCGCAGTATTATATGTATGAATGTAATTGAGGGAGTGAACAATGTGTTTGGCGTCTCGCTTCCATCATCATGGGAAAATATCTTCATTCCAAATCCTAGAAAAGCACCTTTGGTGATCTTGGTCTTTGAAATGCGCTATATAAATAAAGATTACTTACTTTCTTATAGGGGCGACAGTGGCTCAGTCGGTAGATTCAATTCAATTCAATTCAATACTTTATTTCGGACACAAGAGTAAAAGGTAGCATTGGTCATTGAACTAGTGGGCATAGGTTCGATCCCTCCCACTGATGTCTGCTGTCGTTGTGTCCCTGGGCAAGACACAACCCCACTTTGCCTGAAGCCCCCCCTGTAAAACCAAGGTTGTGTCTGTCAAGGCTGCAGGAGGATCAGCGAAAGCACAAACAACCTCAGACCTAACTTGCTCCAACTTTAAATACCTGCCCATGTTTTTTTTGCCTACACAACACAGCTCACAATCCCTGCTCCCTCCACTTTTTAACAGCAGCTATACTTCACATGTCAAAAAACTCAGCGTGACTAACGAGGGAAACATATTCGGGTTGCTTGCGCTGTACAATCTGTTGCGTCTCGCCTCCACGGCTTGTCAATTACCCTAACTTTAATTTCCCAAACTGACAGGCCGCAACATCAGGCTCACGAAAAACATTGCACAAATATAGTTGCACCACGTCCACTTGTTTTGAGCTGACAGCAGCATAATGCATTGTGTCCTTTTTGGGTTGTTTCTTTTGCAGTGGGTGTCATCTCCACAGAGGTGACCTATTTCCTGGGCGGCTTGGTGTTTGCCTGGATCGTGGAGGAGTGGGTTTGGGACTACGCCATCACTGTCACTCTGCTCCACATTGCCATGACTGTAGCAGGTACAAGTAGATCAGTGCAGAGGAAACACTTATAGGATTTGGAGACTTCTTACGTAACGGGGCAGCCACACAATGTCAATGGGCTAATAATTCTATTGTTGCATGTGTTCAGCCGGGTGATTCATGGCCTCTGTACATGTTTTTGCAGTGATGTCCGATTTCCCTTCTGCAGAGCACTGGTGGATAGCTTTGGGTAATGTATTTTCTTTAATCGTGTGTCTTTATCCTCTGCTACAACTACTTTACAAGATTATGTTTGGGCTGAAAACCATTAGTCAGCTAACGGAGGTGTTAAATGGGCGGAGCTTAAGGTTCTTGGAGTACAGTTCTCCATTCAAAATTTCCATAGGAGTTTTGAAAATCCCACTTATCAAGACACTACAGAGGTACGCTATAGCTACCTGGTAACTATCAATATTCATAGCGCCGGGCTTTCAGCTGTGGGTTTTATTGTTTGAATTTAAAAAAATTTAGCAACAAAATGTCATTTATTATTTATATGTTAACTTTTTAGCCTTGCCAGTCAAAGTTTCTTTTTATGCTAGGAATTCAATGGCTAAAAAAATTATCACTTTGCTCTGAAGCAATGCTTCATATGTATTATAGAGTACAGTGTATACTACACTGTTGATTTGTAAAGGTTGACTTCAGAAATATTCAAATAAAGTTAATAAGTACTAAAGTTAGGAGGATCTGGGGTGCCCACTGGGTTAGTGTTCAGAGCAGCAAGTTCATAATTACTTGATTTTTTATTTTCTGAGGATCTGCCAGTGTGCTTGAAAGACTAAAGCTGCCTGTTTCATAGGAACATATGATCTTGATCTGATTCAAATCTATGGATTGATGATGCATTTAGCCTAATTCAATGTATTATCAATGGTTTCCTTTCTTTACACACAGCGACTGTATTTGACCTGTTCGTCTGCTGTCTTCAGGCTCTGGGCTGGTGGTGATGATCTTCGGGGGGCAGCTGTTGGCCTATAGACTCTTCAGGGATAACTTTGTGTATCCAGAGGAGCTGCAGAACTTCTGATGTCTTCAGTGGGGCAGCTATAAAGCTTTTAAATCAATTACAGGTTTATCTCAGGTTTAGATTCTAAGTAGTTTACCGATAGAATATATTTACAGCGTCCAAACTGTGACATCTCTCTGTAAATGGGTCAGTCAACTGTCGTCAAAATATGATTTGTAATATTATAAATTATGTACATTTTATTACTGGTATCTGTTAAATCCTTTTTTGTTAATGTCAGATTTTGATATTGTAGTTTAGCTGATATGTAACTGGTAGGACAGTGGAGACCATCATGTTGCCAAGAAATAGTGTGACGTTCTCTAAATAAGTTAGGGTTTGTTTTTAAATTGTTAAATTATTCAGTTTGTAAATTGATCCAGAAAGGACTAGAGATGATTTCAATAAATGAAGAGCAATAATATGTTGATTTTTAGTCTCATTTTATAAAATAAAAGATTTAAAAGTAACAGCAGATGGAAACAGAGCTAAACAACCTGAGCGGGATCTTCTATCGATCATGCTGTTTATAGGTATCTCAATTTTAAATAATTTTGTTTTATTATTGTCAACTATAACTTTATGTTGATAAAAGAAATTAAAGACAAACATCAAGAATGGTGAACAAAAAAGAGGTATAGATGTTATTGACAATTTATGATAGAGATGCGCGATCTTTCGATAGCTCGAGAGTTTATGGTTTTTACACACATGTCCATTAATCTGCACTGTCCGTGTCAAATAAATAAAATAAAAAAATAAATTAGTAAAACGTTTTTTTTTGTTTATTTGCTTTTTCAAGAATATGTACAAAATCTAAGATAAGATAAGATCAACTTTATTGATTAAACATGTTGAATGTTAAAATATAGTCTCTTTTGTGCAAGATTATGTACAATAAAAATTATACCTACAAATTATGAAAATGATATTCTTTGTACATTTCTTCTGTCATAATAACGACTCAAAAAGATGAACTAAAATAAAACAAAATAGAACAAAACACAAAAATAAGTAAAACATTCTGTAAGGAAATCTTCATCAGCTTGAACACGTGACTGCGTGCTGACAGCGTGCACAAGGAAAGTAAAGTTGATACAGATTCATGTCTGCACGTATAAGCCATATACACGCGTTAAAAAGACCTTTCTCGCTGTATTCGTGATAAAGAGTGTGTGAGGACATGTCTGGGAACGGCCTGGTGTCCAGTATCCGCAGGTTGATCGAGGATGAAGAGCGGACGAGGAGCTCCGCGGAGGTGAGGTCATGTGTTAGCAGCTAATGCTAACAACACTTTATTTTAATTTTATTTTAAAAGACAAAAATATTCAACAAAACCCCTAATACATAATGCATAGTTATTAGAGGTGATAATGCAGCTGTTTACAACATGTGTAATGTTCCTCAAAACTTTGGGAATGCTGCATCATTATAAGAAAATTAGACTAACGTTATAGTTATAATTGATTTTCAGAAGAGTAATGTCAGTAATATTAATAATACTAAGAAATAAATTAGCTCCGTTTCTTTGGCTCTGCTGCCATCTTGTGGTCCAGTGCTCGCTATAACATGGGAAACGCTGCAAATTTCAGGCTCATTTTGACGTTTAACATATATTCACACATGTACACAACATTACTGACCTATATCTTGACCCCATCCTTACAGAGTCCATTTGAACACCTTCGTCAAGAGATGGATGACATTTTAGGAGATGGAGGAATCATGAAGCAGGTGGTCCAGCCTGGAGATGGTCCACCAGTGCCCGAGAACGCTTCAGTCATAGGTCATTACACCACCTGTCTTTTTTTATCACCATAATTCATATTTATCACAATTGTTGATTCAAATTCTGGACCCATGTAGAGTAACCAATGTATTTTTGTTGCTGATAAATTTTTTTTAGATACATGATATTTTGTTCATGTTTCATACATGTACATATTTTCTTTTTATCACAGTGCACTACTCTGGCTTCCTGGAGTATTCGGACCAGCCTTTTGAAACCACGCTTAATGTAAAGTACCCTAGGATCATGAAGTTAGGGAGAGGTGCGCCATCTTTCAGTCTGCTGTTATAGTAAAACATGAATTGGATCATAATCATGTTATTTTGCATGTCCCAGATGTGACCCTGGGAGGGCTGGAGCTGGGCTTGTTGACGATGAAGAAACAGGAGTTTTCCCGCCTCCTGCTGAAGCCACAGTATGCTTACGGAGAGATGGGCTGCCCGCCTCTGATCCCGCCACATGCTGTGGTTCTCTACGAGGTCCATGTTTTGGACTACCTGGACTCCGGACAAGTGGATGACTTTCTCACCCTGTGTCCAGTAGGCAGAAAGATTGTACCAAGATTAAGTTGTATTATTGACTGTAATACTATTTTATTTAGGAGGAGCAGAACGCGTCTTCTTTGTCTACATTTTTAGACGTTGTTAGTACATTACGTGGCTTTGGCAATCGCTGCTTCAACCAAAGTCGTTTTCACAATGCCAAAGATCGTTACAAACAGGTAACAGGGTATGTTTTTCTTATTCCCAATGCATTTTCCCCACTGCTGAAACATTTTCATGAACTCAGCAACGCTGGATTGGTACATGCAACTCAAAAACATACATATCATACTAGATATTATAACAGTTGAAGTATTTTTACATTGATACTGCATTTTTTCTGGTGTAGTACTTTGTGCCTGTATGAAACAATTACACATCTATGAAAAATTGGCTTTTTTCTTAAGAGGACTACTTGAGCTTTATTTTTCCCTGAAGGGTTTTTATTTATGTTCTTAAGAAAACTACTTTAGCCACCTCTGTCATTAATATAATATAATATTGACAATAATAACATGTTTTGTGAGCAGGCACTGAAGCTGTTGGAGAGCAGGTTATCTGAGCATGTGTCAGAGGAGCAGGCTCTTCAGGCCGCTCTGCTCCCTGTGTATCTGAACCTGACGCTCACGGAGCTGCGTCTGGAGAGTCCACAGAAGGCCCTGAAGTACGGGAACAAAGCTCTGGCGATCGACAAAACCAACACCAAGGCCTTGTTCCGCTGTGGACAGGTGAAAAGCATCACTGTCACATCATTCTGAACTTCTGCCACTAGGGCTCATTTCCACTGGTCTGCTTTAGTGGTAGCTGTCACACCGGACCAGGCGTTGCGTCCAGTTTCAATGGAAAGTAAAAAGTGATGTAATTTCTGTGCGAATATTCGCTAGTGCTTTGTGGAACACAAGTTTGCCCTGCGTGGCAGACGCATTGTTGCATACTTCAACTTTTTCCACCAGACACATGTGTGGCGACCAATCAGAGGGCAGCAAAGTGGTCACAGGGACACAAGCTGGTCAGAGCAAGAAGACGATGACACTCAAAAACAAGAGCTAACCAGAACTAATCAAGGACTAAACAAGGGTTAAACCAGGACTGACCATGGGGAGTTCTTATTGCCCTGTGACTGTGCCGTGCTGCTAACGTGTTCGCAGATATGGAAGTACCGGTTAATATCATAATACATTCATGGTGCAGCTCCGCGAGCAGATACTCCTGTAGTCTTGTGGAGGAGAACTTAATGCGTTAGCGGTGTTGATGCATCATCGGCCTGAACGCGCTTTAGGACTTAAACGTGAATGGATTAATAGTTGTCAACTAATTTTGCTATGGATTACTGTATTAATTTATATTAACCTCACATGGACAACATACTGAGTTTTTTTTTTTTTTTCAATACACAACAGAAAATAACAAACATGCATCAATCTAAGATACAATACTGCAATAGTTGAAAAGCGTCTCATGATACTTCAACCGCCAAGATTCTAATTACTTTTTTTGTATGTATTTTGTTCTGCATTATGAATTTCTCCATATATCCATCTGTACAAGGCTTATCTGGAGCTGCAGGAGTTTGAACAGGCTCAGCAGTGCCTCCTGGTGGCTCAAGGAAGGAAGCCCTTTGACAGCGACATCAACAACCTCCTGAGGAAAGTGGCCACGTAAGAACAACACTGCATAAAATAATTACATGTTTTTGTAATCCATATTGATGAATGGATTTGAAAAATATATCCATTTTTATTTCTAGGTCCTATAAAGAGAGCCTTGATAAGCAAAAAGACATGTGTTCCAAGATGTTCAAAGGTTTTAATTCCACGAGGAACAAGTAAGGGTCACGCTTTAATATGTGAATATAAAGTGACAGAAGAACAGTGTATAGTTTTGTGACTACAACCGTTTTGAGGTTCTGTTGTAAATCTTTTTGTGTTTTATAATATTTTTCCTTATGTTCTAGTTTAACTGTTTGTAAAATTAATAAATTAGAAAGTGTATTTGTGAAATAGGTAAATGTTCTTTACACAACAATTATGCAACGGATTCAGTAAAAGTATCATTGATGGAAAGTTCAATAAAAGACTTGTATTATTAAGATGAATTTACATAAACAATTTCTTTATGTAACAAGTTTGAGACATTAGATGTTAATAATTTAGAAGTACAGAAACTAAACTTACACAGGGAGCAGATGATTGCACTTTGATGCAAGGAGGTGTTGGATAAGTTACAATTTATTTTTACGTTTATTTGCATTCAAACTATGCATTGAATAAACAGATTGTTTCCTCTTTTTCCGTATTACACAACTAGAAATAAATATTCAAGATTTATTGCATATACAACAAGGCTTGAGTCTATAATAGTCCAGTTACCATTTATAATGATCAAAATGTGTTAGTAGACATGTCACTAATATTAACCGGGTGCTACGTAGTACGAGAGAAAGGTATTTTTCTGAAATGATTGAAGGCTGCAGCAACAATCTGCGTGTTCTGTTTTCAACAGTTAATAGATTAACAAACCCCCCTGTTCAAATGCCATTAGAGCTTACTTCCAAACGTAAATGCAATGAGTTTGCAAATTTTTTCAATGACAAGGTTCAAGGCATCAAAAACGCCATTGTCTCCAATCCACAGATAACCATCCAACAGCCAGAAAGGCTCTCTGAGCTAACTCACTTTGCACCTGTAAATGATAAAACTGTCCAAGAGATAATCTCCAGTTTGAGCTCCTCCACATGCAGCTTGGATGTACTACCCACTAGATTTCTGAAGTCTGTTCTGAGCAGTCTGTTACCTTCACTCACACAGATAGTAAACATGTCCCTTCATTCTGGAATATTCCCAAAGGCCCTGAAAACTGCAGTCATCAGGCCCCTGCTAAAAAAGAGCAGTCTCGATGCTACGGTACTTAACAACTATCGTCCCATCTCAAATCTGCCATTTATGGGGAAAGTCCTTGAAAAAGTTGTCTACCTACAGCTTACTAGATTTCTTATAATCAACAACTCATTTGATATGTTTCAGTCCGGCTTTAGACCCCACCACAGCACTGAGACTGCTCTCGTCAAGGTTACAAACGATATCCGGCTGAACACTGACGCAGGCAAAGTCTCAATCTTAATCTTGTTAGATCTAAGTGCTGCCTTTGACACCGTCGACCATGAGATCCTCTTACAGAGACTAGAGGACTGGGTTGGAGTCGCTGGCACCGCCCTAAGTTGGTTTAGGTCTTACCTTGAGGACAGGAAGTACTTTGTGGAGATTGGAAACTGTGTCTCAGATCATATGGCCCTGACCTGTGGAGTACCACAGGGGTCGATCCTGGGACCTCTTCTGTTCAATCTCTACATGCTGCCGTTAGGTCAGTTAATACGCAGAAACGAAGTTTCCTATCATAACTATGCAGACGACACTCAGATCTATGTCTCACTGACTGCAGGAGAACATGGACCAGTGGACTCACTCCTTCACTGTATCCAACAGATCAGTGAGTGGATGCAAAACAACTTCCTTCAGCTAAACACAGACAAAACTGAAATGATTGTCTTTGGTCCCCAGAAACAAAGAGAGAGCGTCATCTGTCACCTACAGTCTCTCTCCCTAAAACCTTCAAACAAGGTCAGAAATCTAGGGGTAATACTGGACTCAGACTTAAATTTTAATAGCCACATCAAATCAGTAACATCAGCAGCTTTTTACCATCTAAAAAACATTGCCAGGATCAAAAACATAGTGTCTAAAGCAGACTTGGAGATTCTTATCCATGCATTTGTCTCCAGTAGGTTAGACTACTGCAATGGCCTGCTCACAGGTCTGTCCAAACAGGCTGTTAAACAGCTGCAGTACATTCAAAATGCAGCAGCTCGAGTCCTGACAAGAACCAGGAAGTACGACCACATTAGTCCAGTCCTCAGGTCTCTGCACTGGCTTCCTGTGGCTCAGAGAATAGACTTTAAAACAGCTCTGCTTGTGTACAAGTCTCTCCATGGCCTCGCACCAAAATATATTAGTGACATGTTAGTCCCATATGAACCAGCCCGGACTCTGAGGAGCACAGGGACTGGACTCCTGTTAGTGCCCAGAGTCAGAACTAAACATGGGGAGGCTGCTTTTCAGATTCATGCTGCTAAAATCTGGAACAGTCTTCCTGGAGATGTGAGACAGGCCTCCTCTCTGACAATGTTTAAAGCCAGGTTAAAGACAGTTCTGTTTAGCTGTGCATACAACTGAGGGATTTTATATTTGTATCTTTCTTTTTAATGTTCTGTGATTATTTATGATTTTAATGCTTTCTTGTTTTGTTCAGCACTTTGAATTGCCTTGTGTATGAATTGTGCTATATAAATAAACTTGCCTTGCCTTGCCTAATATTTTTGACAAGACTTTGGGAGAAGTTGGAATGTGAGAAAACTGTGCTTAATGTGACACAAGCCTTGGCAGTTTACAGTTGTGCAAATTTTGGGCTGTTTATCAAAATAACATTCAGTTTGGTCTGGTTTAAAACAACAAAAAGCTAACAATAGACAAAAGTGAGAATGAGACGAGTGTGATGTTTGTTTAGACATTTTTTGTTCTAGTAAAGCCCTGTTCTGCCTCACTCTGCTTCTGATTGTGTTTCACTACAGTTTAGTGCCAGGCATCAATCAGACTGGGCCGGTGTAGAGTAAGATAGAACAACTGGGGATCGTGTGAGGAGCGTAGAGTAGTGGGGTAGAGGTTCAGGCTGGGACTCACTACGATCCCCAATGAATTATATTGTAACCATTAATATGAAGCTTCAAACGTGCTAAATTAATGTTGGTGTTATTTTATTTATTTTTTGCTATTTGATCAAATTTGACTTTAAATGTAGTTAAACAGTATATTTTATGTAGAATATAGTAATTTTGGAAACCCCCTCATGACAACCGGCTAGTGTCCCGCTAATGTAGAGGCAGCGCAAACAGAGCTTTATATTGTTGATATTATACTGAAAATTGTGGCATGTTTTAGGTTGATGGAAAGTGCATGCAAACTTCAAACCTTCATTTTAAGTTGCCGTGAGTAAATTGTATTTCGGACATATGTACACTGAATGACAATGTACAGTAAATTGTTGTGCGATGTGTCTTTTATATGTGATTTAGGTTAGGACAGCTCAGTGTGTGTGAACGTGAGTGAGTGCGCGTGTCCGAGGCCCCGCCCACGAATGAGACCCGCAAAGCGGACGGGTGTGTTGGAGTTTGAGGAGTGTGAGAGTATGACCGGAGGGAACGGCGACCGGTGCAGGTAGAGAGTTAAATGGCCCTGTATGCTAGTGCAGCCAAGCAAATAAAGCAAACCACTCTTCAGCAAGACGGCCTCCGTGTTTCTGTAAGCCACCACCACACGTACAGCGAGAAGTTGAGGGAGTTAAACCCCGGGAGAAGTACCGGCCCTGGAGACGACGGATCTCCCCTGTGTCTCCCAACCACGGTTAGGGGACGAGAAACAGGAAAGGTTTAACACTGGCGACCACGAAGGGACCTTCACGTTGTTAAAAGACTGGTGAGCATCGAAAATAAAAGGAGAATAAAACGCAAAGCCGAGTGACTGTAATACAACTGTAATAGCGGAGGAGCTAAGCTAATACAACATGGCGGCCGCTCGCTATCCCTCCGATGTTTACGGACAAGAAACCAACTACTCAAACCCGTTCATGTCGTTCACCAATGTGGAGGACAACTGGCAAGGTGCTGTGGAAACGTATGAACGCAAGGCTGAGAGAAAATGCGATCATTATAACCCATTTCTGTGTGATGAAAGCTGCGCTAACACACTTGCTAATGGAGAAGATCTGTTCGCGCCGTTCGACAGCCCCGCTCGTTATGCGCCCACAAATCCCTTTTTCGGGGCCAACAGTCAAAGCCACGGCTCCGTGGAAAGGCCAGATATTAAAATTGTTCCGTATCCCGCTCCTGTCATGCCATTAAAGGGGCATTATGAAGTCACAAACCCCTTTGCCACTGCTCACATGGGAAGTTTTGTACATAGCACACCAGCTACATCCAAACCTGCAGCCAGTACGCTTCCCATGCCCTATGACTTGATTAATCCAGACGTGACTGTTAAACATGGACATTTCCCAGTGCCCGGTCTCTCATCTCCAACACGTGAGAGCCGCTCTATGCCCCGCGCTGCGTCGGACAGTGATGAGGACTACAACCCCAAAGAGAGAGTCCCCACTCTACGTCCCGGCCAGTACGACGGCAGTACACCCTGGAGAGAGTTTCTGCACAGGTTCGAGAGCTGCGCAGAGGCAAATCACTGGTCAGCCAAGACAATGGCAATTCAGCTGAAATTCTGCCTCACCGGAGCTGCAGGTGCCATCGTCCACAGGAACCATCGTTCCTCCAGGTGGGACTACCGCCGCCTGCTGGAGGAACTCGAAACTGCTTACGGCCCTTCTTCAGATCATGCAGCGGCTGTAGCAGTGGAGCTGAGACAAAGAGTGCGTAAAGCTGGTGAGGCGCTTCATGTGTTCAGGGATGACATTTATGGGAAAGTAGCTGTAGCTTATGGTGATTGGTCAGAGAAGGAGCAAGACGCTATAGCTGTAGAAGTTTTCACAAACGGCCTGGGCGAGGCGGAGCTAGTCCAAAGACTGTTAGAAAAACGTCCAGCTACACTAGCCAAAGCTTATGAGATAGCCCACCGTCATGACACCACCAAGAGAGCTGCTTCCTATGTCACCAGCATCATGCAGCCGGGAGCCCGCAACCTCACTGAACGCAGGCCCCGGGCCGCTGTTGTCAGAGAAAGCGAAAACAATGAGACTGTAACTACACCTGCAGCTAGCCCATCACCCGATCGCTTTGTCCCACACACATTTGGAAAAACACAGAAGCAGCACCAGAACTTTAGGAAGGGTGACATCCGCTGCCATAACTGTAATGGTTGGGGTCACAAACAGAGCCAGTGCTCGTCCCCTAAAAGAAATACAAAGACTTTCACTCCGGGCACCGCCAAAGAAAGGCCGCAGACCACTGTGCTCCACCTTAAGGGCCAGAATCGTGAAATGAACATTCACATGCGCATATTTGAGCTGGAGTTGTGTGCAGTCCTGGACAGTGGAGCGCGGAGGAGCGTGCTGCCCCTTCATCAATACAACGCCATTCACCGAGACATGAGACCTCCGCTTCGCCCATCCATTGTAGAGACTCTGCTCGGGGTGGGACCAGGAGACGTGCCAGTTTTTGGTGAGGCCAAAGTACCTGTCAGCATTAACAACCGTCAAGTTGAAGTGGACTTCCTTGTAGCGGACATAGAGGGCAATGAAGTACTGCTTGGCCACCCTTTCCTCACTCAAGCTGAGGCCCGCCTTGATTTCGGTAAGCACCGCATAGTTCTGTTTGGAGAAGAAGTGCCCTACTTTCACCCAGAGACTGTTCCAAAGTCACACGCTGTGAGAGTATCCAGAACTGTAGTGGTTGAACCGGGACAAGAGTACCTAGTCAAGGGCAAGGTGCATTTTAGCACAGAAGCTCAGGGGGACATGATGCTTAGCCCCACAAAAGGCTTTGTTGAAAAGCACAAAGTACTCATTGCCAGAGCCCTAGTCAACGCACAGCCCGCCAACATCGTCCCATTACGTCTCTTCAACCCGGGCAACAAAGCTGTCACCATTAAAGAAGGTGCCATTGCAGGCCTCCTCCAACCAGCTGAAGCTCTGTCCTCGTCCAGTGTCCCCACAGCGGCAGACTTTCCAACCAGCTCCCCTGCAGTCCCAGGGCACCTCCAGGAGCTCTATGCCCAGAGCTCCACTGACTTTAATGATAATGAAAAACTTGAATTGTCTAACCTGTTGTGTGCCTATGAAAGTGTCTTTTCCAGGGGACCTGGTGATCTGGGCCGGACCAGTCTCGTGCAGCACGACGTCATAACCCGGCCTGGACCTCCAGTAAAGCAGCATCCTCGTCGTATGGCTGGGGAGAAGCAGCAAAGCGCAGACCAGCAGATCTGTGAGGGCCTCCAGAGCGGCATCGCCAGCTGCAGCCACAGCAGTTGGGCCTCACCGATCGTAATGGTGCGTAAAAAGGATGGGACTTACCGCCTTTGTATAGACTACCGGGCACTCAACAGCCGCACCATCACCGACGCATACCCGCTACCCCGCATCCAAGACACACTGGACACTCTCTCCACTGCCAAATGGTTCAGCACCCTGGATCTCGCTTCAGGTTATTGGCAAGTCGAGCTAACGCCAAGAGCCCGCCGTGCAGCCGCCTTTTGCACCCGTAACGGACTGTTTGAGTGGAACGTTATGCCGTTTGGTTTATGCAACGCGCCGGCGACGTTCCAACGCCTTATGGACCGCGTCCTCGCCGGCATGCAGTGGGAGATCTGCCTCGTCTACCTGGACGACATCATCGTGCTGGCCAAGGACGTGCCCGAGATGCTGCAGCGGCTGAGCCGAGTGTTCCAGAGACTTAAACAGGCAAACCTCAAACTAAAACCAGCCAAATGCTGCCTGTTCCGCCGCCAAGTTACCTATCTAGGTCACATTGTGTCCGAGCGCGGTGTGGCTACTGACCCCAATAAAGTCAACAAAGTTCAAGCTTGGCCCACTCCCACATCAGTCCAAGAGGTCAGACGTTTCATTGGCCTCGCCTCCTACTATCGCAGGTTTGTGAAAGACTTTGCTTCCATCGCCGAACCGTTACACAACCTGACGAAGAAAAATGCACACTTCCAGTGGCACGCTGAACACCAAGCCGCCTTTGACACGCTTAAGCACCGCCTCACCACGGCCCCTGTCTTAGGCTATCCACTGGACCATGGTGAGATGATCCTGGACACCGATGCCAGCGACACAGGTATCGGCGCTGTCCTGTCACAAATGCAGGGTGGCACAGAACGTGTGTTGGCATACGGCAGCCGCAAACTAGCCAAAGCTGAACAGAACTATTGCACTACGAGACGAGAGCTGCTGGCCATTGTCGATTTCACATCTAATTTTCGACAGTATCTACTTGGGCGGCCTTTCAAGGTTCGCACTGATCACAGCAGCCTGCGCTGGCTCACACGAATGAAAGAGCCAGAGGGTCAATTAGCCCGGTGGCTTGAAAAGCTAGCGGAGTACGAGTTCGAAATCCTTCATCGCCCAGGTCACTTACACACTAATGCTGACAGTCTCTCCCGCAGGCCCTGCCGCCAATCCTGTCCTTGTAATCTGCAGGACCCTTCCTTGCAGCTGAGAACCACGAGTCACCAAGCAATTCAGTGTGATTTGGACTCTGACACTAGCTCCCTGTTGCTGAGTCCGGTGGGGGTAAGCGCTGTCAATGTTACCAACACAGACAATTTAAAACAAACAGAGACTATCTATGTGACAAACACGAACGAAACCGTACTGTTCCCTGGTTGGACTATGGAGGAGTTGCGCCAGGCTCAAGCTGCTGATACGGACATTGCACAAATCAGAGCTTGGTTAGAGGCCAGCAGTGAGCGCCCCCCTTGGACCGCAGTCTCCCCATGCAGCCCAGCCACCAAAACGTACTGGAGTCAATGGAAAAGACTGTATTTCAGAGATGGAGTACTGGTCCGTCGCTTTTATTGTTTAGACGACACACAGTTCTATCCTCAAATTGTTCTCCCACGTAAAATGCAACCCGACGTTATGCGCCAAATGCATGAGGGGCCAGTAGGTGGACATTTTGGTATTGAAAGAACTGTGGCCAGACTTCAAACCAGATACTACTGGTACCACATGAGAGAAGATGTGGCCCTCTGGTGTCGGACTTGTACAAACTGTGCATGCAGAGCCAGACCCCACAAGACTCCACAAGCGCCCATGGGAACTGTCAGAGTTGGAGCCCCCATGGAGCGCATTGCACTGGATATCATGGGCCCACTCAATGAGACAGAACGCAAGAACAGTTACATACTCGTGATTCAGGAGTATTTCACAAAATGGACTGAAGCTTTTCCGATTCCTGATGAAAAGGCTGTGACAGTGGCAAACGTTGTTGCAACAGAATGGGTGTGCCGCTTTGGAATGCCTCACTCTCTGCACAGCGACCAAGGACGCAATTTTGAATCAGAGGTATTCCAAGAAATGTGCTGTTTGTTTGGCATCGACAAAACCCACACTACACCATTCAGACCGCAGTCCGACGGCCAAGTTGAACGTTTCAACGCCACACTCCAAAAGATCCTGGCCTCCACTGCGGAACGCTGTCACTGGGATTGGGACTTGATGATCCCATATGCAATTATGGCCTACAGAGCGACCAAGCACAGCGCTACTGGTTTCACCCCCAACTTCATGATGTTCGGCCGTGAAATAAGTGAGCCAGTGGACCTTGTAGCTGGTTTGCCCCCGAACTCTGACAATGCACCTTCAGCCCCCGAGTATGTGCAACAAATGCGTGAGCGGCTGGAACTGGCTCACAACATCACCCGAGAAGCCCTCGGCAAGTCAGTCACATGTGCAAAAAGACAATACGACAAAAACGCTTGCCACACACAGTACAAAGTCGGTGACGCGGTGTGGTATCTGATCAAAGGAACACGTTATGTCAAAAACAAAGTCAAAAAGTTTCTCCCTGCCTACGAAGGACCTTACTTTGTTATGGGACATTTGGACGATCTAGTCTACCGGATCCAAAAGAGCCCCAGAGCTAAGGTCAAAGTTGTCCACCATGATCAACTCAAACGCTACCGCAGCCGTGAGCCCCTGGACAACACCTGGGTCCCGGACCAATCCCAGAACTGGACACCTTCTGAGATCCTTCCACCAGCTGTGGACGGGCACTCTGCAGACCAGGAGGACCTCGGCCTGCACAGCCTCTACTCTACTGCCTCAAGTGACGGCCCCAGCGCCGTCCGGCCGTCCACTCCACCTGCTACTGAATCGACCATGATCGGGGCTCCTCCATCCACTCCTTCCCATGTGATACTTGACCATGGTGGGGGTGCGGTGGGAGAGCCACACCACCAGTCTCCGCATGAACCTCGGCCCCAACGTCAGCGCCGAGGACCGGTCCGGTATGGGGACTGGGTTACTGAGTGAGTCATGTATGACAGTTCATATTTGCACTAGAGAATTTGCAGTTTACATTTTTGGACTCTAGTGTACTTGTTTAATACTTTTGCTACAAAAAGCACATTTTTCTTTACATTTTAAAAAAAAAAAAAAAGGAAAAGCTGAAGAGACAATGCTTTTACATTGCACTTTATTGCATTTGAATGTATGTTATGATTAAGGTTAGTCAGACAGTATTACCTCCGGTCGCCAAAGAATAGAACTTATATTGTGATGTACTCCTATGTTTACTCCTGTGTTCACTGTTAAACGAGCTTTAAAACTGCATCACTTTAGACACTTGTCAAATTAGTATAACCTACCTACTCATTTGAACTCACATACTATTTGGGACACAGCTATCTCTTCACGTTTTTAGGCCTACAGATATAGAGATTGTGTACTAAGTTTTGTATGGAATGGAATTAGTGTTAATTGCCAGTCCATGGTGGGGGTAGTGTTGTGCGATGTGTCTTTTATATGTGATTTAGGTTAGGACAGCTCAGTGTGTGTGAACGTGAGTGAGTGCGCGTGTCCGAGGCCCCGCCCACGAATGAGACCCGCAAAGCGGACGGGTGTGTTGGAGTTTGAGGAGTGTGAGAGTATGACCGGAGGGAACGGCGACCGGTGCAGGTAGAGAGTTAAATGGCCCTGTATGCTAGTGCAGCCAAGCAAATAAAGCAAACCACTCTTCAGCAAGACGGCCTCCGTGTTTCTGTAAGCCACCACCACACGTACAGCGAGAAGTTGAGGGAGTTAAACCCCGGGAGAAGTACCGGCCCTGGAGACGACGGATCTCCCCTGTGTCTCCCAACCACGGTTAGGGGACGAGAAACAGGAAAGGTTTAACAAAATCATTTTCAACAATAATTTAGTTGAAACACTCCGTTCCATTGGAATAACGACCACCAGTAAGTAAGTTTAAGTCCAGTTAAACCAATGACAAGGGGACTCATGGATTTGAATTCATTTCGTCCAATCATGAAGCAGCAGGGCTGAGCATGGACGGGTCTGACCAGTGCGTATCCTAAAACAGCTTCACTCTTTGAAAAATAACTGACATTTACTTTAAGAGACAGTGTTGCTTCTGATGCGTCATAGAAGTGCAGTTTTCACCCTTAATCTGTGTTGAAAATGTTAAAACATCCATTTACTGCTTGACTATCTGATACACAAAATATGTCCGAACATGCCCAAGGTTGCACTGCTCACAGCTTCAATATTTCATACAATTTGTAGAGTCATAAAAAAACAACAAAAACAAACTTGTAACTGTGCAGCATACTTCCCCAGGTGCTTCTTTCATATTTTCAAAGTCACATGTTACAAAATAATCTCTGATCTCTAAAACATATACAAACAAAACAAGCAATGGCCATATTTACACAGTATTATAGACGACAATATTCAAGTAACTCAGGAAACATTGGCTCTGTCCAATCAACTACCTCTTACTTTGATCCCCAACAATTCCAACAATCCAGTGTCAAATGGAGTCAATAGTAACCCTTGGCTTTTACGTCTCAAAATATTAAATAATTCAAATAAATATTGAAATGTCTTTTCAGTAACGCAGATGCCAAAGGCCACTTGACTCCGGAGATCACTTTGCTCGTCCATGTCCAGTGACTTTTACCATTGTTCATTATATCGACGTTTCTCTGGAAAAACTAAATGATGCCGGTATTGTCCCATCATTGGATTTCTCTTCAGCTGGACTCTCGACTGGAAGCTGCAAAAGTAAAGGAGGAGAGAACATTGGGGAAATATACAAAGTTATTTACCTAGTTTATTATCAGTTATCCCATATATAAAACCTAAACAAATAAATTGTGAAGTAAAAAAGGATTGTTTAAAAAGCAGTGTGAACTACAAATGATGACATAGAGATATACATAATTTAAAATATTTGTGCTGGCTCCTGTCACTGGTGATGACATTGGTGATGACTTCGGTGTCAAATGCAGAGGACATAGTATGGGGACAATAATGACAAACTCTCCTTGTGGGCCCCATTCATTTAACCATGTACTATCGGAGAAGTAAAGACGGAAGGGCCCTGGTGACTCTGCCCATTGACTTTATTGACTCTACATACAGAGCATTAGGCACTTTGCCAGCCTGTAGCGTTTAACAAACTCAGACTCTCACTAGGTAATATGTCGGTGTCTTGCCTAAGGACACAAGTTTTTCAGGTGTGATAAGCCGTTATGGCCACAAAAACAGACCTAAACGCAGAAACTGTACAGTAATAGTTTACAGTTCATAGCCTAATAATACATGTCTCGAGAAATATAAAATGTATAATGTAGTGTGTCACTGGGTCGTTGACTGAGTGGTTCTGCTCCTGCGGAGGACGCTGAATGACCCTTGAAGCCAATCAAGCCTGAAGCTAATCACTTGTTTCTTGGACGCAGTGACTTTGTGTTGTGGCTTTGAGCAGCAAATGGCATGGAAACTACAAGGAGTGAAGTCAGAGGAGTACATGGAATGTCGGGATACAAAACAAGCCTATTTTCTCAAGGGGAAATGTAAAGAATAGTGGTCAAAAACTTTTATTTTTGTAAAAAAACAGCCACTTAAAAATGTGTTTTTTCTCATGACTTAATTATCATTTATATACTCAATAAAAAAGTGAATGCAGTTGTCAGCAACATGCATCCAGCTGAATAATTATGTTATCAAATATTTGAACTAACTTGATACTACAAAGCAGGGGGTTTACAGATGGAATTTAGGCCAATATACTGTATTTATAAACTTATTTAAATGTAAATTAATAGGCCTTGTGCCCTGTGTTTCAAGTACTCACCAGCTCTCTTTCTTTACTCTCCACTCCCATGTTCACATTGTTTCTCTTCAATTCAGATTTGATTAAAGCTAAAACACAAGAAAATAACATGTGAAAAAAACCAGCATAATGGAGAATGTAGTTCATAAAATTTGTACCAGTGAGAATGATGCCGAGTATCATCCAAGCGCAGAGGAAGAGGTTTCCTGACAGCGGCCCAAAGTCAGTGGTCAGTCTCCCCTGGATCAGAGTGAAAATGATCCCAAAGATCTGTGAACATTGGAAGAAGATACATTTATGTGTCATGTCGCTCGTTCACCTTTGGATTTAGCTTATTCCAGGTTATTTTTAGAACGTAACCCCTGCGTTAAATGAGGGACCACTGTAATACAATTTGTCGCAACAGAAAGAAATTTAAAACGTTCCACTTTTTGACGCTTTGGGCTGAGAGCTGATTGGCTGAGCTGGAACGGTTCTATTTCTCATTTACTGTATGTCTAAAAAATATCACGATAGATGGATGCCTTTAACATGGACTTCTGTAAATAAATTGTCTTGTTCCAGTTTGCTTCTTTATAGTGCGCATTGTATCACTAACCTGTGCAAAAGCGTTGAGCAGGCCGGAAGACGTGCCCTCCGACTCCGGGTATGTGATCTCCACCCCAAACTCAAAACCAAGAGGTAGGTACCCGGTCATGAAGAACCTGAAGATGGTATGAACAGTTACAGTATATTAACACACCAGAAAGTGTTGGAATGGTGTTGTGTGTGTGATTGTACCCTGCAGGAGATGTATTAAGGAAGGTCCAAATCATCTGTGCATACAGTATATGGTCATAGACGTCACAATCTTGCCTTATGTGGATACAAAAACAACGCTTTGCACCGTTGTCTGTGTTGGCATAAACAAGATCCATCTTTTATGTTCTGTCTGTAACTATTGTCACAAGTGCAATTTGTATATAGATTTATAAGTTAAAGGCCACTGGGTTTTTGCCAGCAGACCAACGTGGTGTGTATTGTGTCTCAATTATTTGTGTAAGATCCCATTTTGTGTTTTGCTAGTTCTAGGGTGAACTGTCTATAAGTGCACAGTAAACATCTGTTATAAGAACTCTCACGCCTCTCTGTGCATTCGTGAACAAGCCGACTGTCTATAAGTACAGTACCTTTACAAAGAATATGGAGTATATATATGAAAAGTCTTCGCTCAGCATTATTTCCAAAACGGTCTGACCACTTTCATGTCCCATTGTGCTCTGCTGCTACAGCCCACTGCTCCTGTGGCTTCGAGAGCCGAGTATATGCCTGAAAACCAAGTTTGTCAAATAAAATCTGTGCGCGAGTACAGGACGTCCCCATTTTCCTCCATCCCCATTGCCTTTTTGACTCCTTGAATCTCTTTTAAATTACAATGTGCACAATTTCCCCTTGAACTTCAGCCATTCATATGCATTAAGTGTCTGACACCACAAAGGAGAAGTATACAATTCAAGGTGTAGTAATAACACAGGTGTTGTATCATTTTTTACCATGTTTCCTGCTTTTTTCACATTTAATAGAACCAAATTTTAAATAATGGGCAGCTGGGTTGTGTATTCATTGTGATGAAAAGAATAAGTGGATCACAAATGTGTCCAAATTCATACATTTCTAATATGCGCATTGCTTTTCCCTCTGCTCTTAAAGGCACCTGCTGGCCCTGTCTCATTAGGATTCACAAGGCTACATGTAAGCAAATGTGCAGTAGAAACGGTTCGATCCAGATAATCCAAACAGGGTGGAATTTATTTCACACCACAATTGATGCTGTTTGTTCAATACTATCATGTTAAAGGCGCGAGCTCCGGGTTTTACTCCTGCTTTGTAAAGTACTCAACTATAGGTGCTACCAACTCTGTAAAACTCTTTTTTTTTTTTATTTGGCAGTATGGTTTCAACAAATGTATATACTAAATGTCACAAGTTATGCAGCAGAATGTACAGCACGTGCTTCATTGTTTTGGTTTCACTTGGATAGGGGTTTTAAAACGGCCTGAAATAGATTCCTTATCGGCCAGAAAATGTGCCTTTTATCATCCGCCGTTCCATGACAGACCCCTGTTTGAGAACCATGGCACTAACCAAGTAAAAGTAAAAACTGAAAATGACCTGAGGATGAAAACAAACCAAAATGTGCTTATACATGATTTTGGGAGTCCGGTTTTGAGTCCGATCATGTAGCGTGGACCATGATGTCTGCTCATATAAATGCAGTGAGTGTCCTCTCCTCTGTCCACTTAGCCAATGGTTTATGAGCGTGATGTCATGTGACCTCTTACAGGACAAACACATCACTGATCACGACCGCTAAGCCAAAGCGGGTAGCACATACCCCAGGATTCCTGCGGTGACGAAAACCAGATAAATGTTGTTCAGGTTCAGAGTGAAAGTGAAGACCACCATCCCGACGAAAGACAGGACGTACACGATCAGAGTGGTCATCCTGTGGACAAAAATACATTTCGATTGAACGATTATCTGTGGTTAGTGACAATATAAAATATATAAATTTTATAATATATAAAATAAATATATATTAAAAATCACGGAAATTCTAAATGGCTTATCTATTACAAAAATACATATATCCAGCCTTAGTTACATAGTATTGTGGTGAAATGTCCATAATATATAAACGTGAGCCGTCTTGAATCACAGTATACATTAATGAAGTAAATTGAAAAAGGACCCAACAAAATAACAATAATAATGCAAAGTCCTTAAAGGTCCCTATCAATTTTCATCGGCCTAAACCTGAAAAAATAGTTCACATTTATAGAGGGAGAAACTCAGGCCAAAATGGATTGTAGATTAGAGTTTAGTAATGACCGTGGATATACTGTATTACATGGACTTTACATTTCTCAGATATTGGAATAATAATCTTGAGTAGGTTTTCATCATAAACTAAGATTTACAAGTGGTTAAGACAACCTGTGTGTTCTATTTGCAATTATCATTTTAAAGCATTCAAAATTAGTAGTAATCTTTATTTATATACCGCCTTTTCACTGCAGATCTGAGTCTCAAAGCGGTTTACAATTGTTAATTTTGGGCATTTGTTTCTCACTCCACACAGAGATGGGAGACCTATTGTACATATTTTTAGTGGTAGGGGAAACCGGAGTACCCGGAGGAAACCTATGCAGACACGGAGAACATGCAAACTCCACTTAGAAAGGCCCTGGTCCGATCGGGATTCGAACCCAGGACCTTCTTGCTGAGAGGCAAGAGTGCTAACCACTCCACCGTGCACAGCCACCGTGCCTCCCTAAAAAAAAATAAAAAATAAAACATACACTAGTTATAACATTCTGTACATTAGTAATTGTGTGCAGTGTATGTGACCAACTACAACATCTTTCAAACTGCAACAAACTAGCTCCACCAGTAACAGTTTCCTCACTCTCAAAAAAAATATTTTTCACCTGCTTGTATTTTTGACCTCTGTCACATCTTTGGATCAGCTTTTTCAGAAATAAAATTGAAAATGTTATGTTCCCCCGCTTTAATGGGATAGGAAAAGGCCACGAGGAAGCACTTTGAAAACATAATAATCAGTGGAAATGAGATTCGGTTATACATTTATTCATTAAATTGATTATTACAATTTAGCTTTCAACATGTCTTGTCTCTCAAACATTTATAATACTTATGAGAGAAAATAGGGTTGAATTAATTAATTTGGTCAGGGATAATGTAGAAGAAAATATGACATACTTGTAAGTCTTGGTGTGATCGAGCCACAGTCCACAGAGAATAGAGCCGACCATCCCCGCCACGACCAGAGTCAGGCCGATGCGACCGGCGTTCAGCTCCTGACCCTGACGGAGGAAATCCAAGATACATGAATCAAGAAAGCAAAGCTTCTACTCATAATAAATAAATAAATAATAAACAGTGGTTTTTCATTCATTGAGTTAAACTAGGGGCGACAGTAGCTCAGTTGGTAGAGCATTGGCCTTAAGGCCAGAAGGTTGTGGGTTCAATTCCCACCTCTGCACCTTCTCCACCGGCTCCCACTGATGACTGCTGTCGTTGTGTCCTTGGGCAAGACACTTAACCCCACTTTGCCCAAAGCTCCCACTGAAAGATCAAGGCTATGCTCACACTCAGAGAGCAGCCGTCCTCCTGTGGACTCACCACCTGCAGAGGGTCAGTGAGGGGCTGGTGCTATGAGACTTGGGTGGCATCTCTGATTGCCACCCCCCTGACCCAGAAATGGATTAAAGGGTAGAAAATGGATGGATGGATGGATGAGTTAAACTATCTTTGTCTTAACTGTTATTGATGATGTTAAAAGGTGTTCATTCATTTGGCAACACAAGTTCATTTGTCCATACACAAGGCAACTCAAAGTGCTTAACACAACAAGAAAAGTAACATTCAAATCACACAAGAATCACAGTAAATTAAAAAGAGTGAAGATACAATCCTTACAAACCGGCAAAAGAGCTGTTTTTTAACCTGGTTTAACATTTTCTGGAAGACTGTTCCAGATTTTAGCTGCATAAATTTGAGATGCTGCCTCCCCATGTTTAGTCCTGACCATAGACTGTATATGTACTGTATACTGTATATACTGTCCTGACTCATGAGGCCAGTCCCTCATAGTCTAACCACTAAGAGGCTGCAGATGCATTTCTGTGCGAGGCCATGGAGAGTACACAATCAGAGCTTTAAAGTCTATTCTCTGAGTCACAGGAAGCCAGCGTAGACCAACGGCTCCTACTGCATGTGTTTGTTCTCATTACATTTCCTGTGTTTGAACTGTTTGATTCTCTGATCTGTTGGTGAATCGACAACTTCGTAAAGTCCTCCGAGACGACTGCTGAGAGCTGGACTGATGTGGTCATACTTTCTGGTTCTAGTCAGGACTCAAGCTGCAGCTATCATAGTTTTGTAGTACTTAATGAGAAGCATTGTTTTAAGAAATTGAGAAAAATTGAGAAATAAAATTAGATTTGAGCATGACAAGCTTCCTAAAGAACATAATACAATTCACGATACACAGAGATGAACGGATTGACACCCAATTGTGATCAATAAATCACAACATTTCACAAATGCAGTCGTCTCGAAGGGTGCCTGCGAATTGTTGATTTCCCACCAGATTAGAAAAACAAAATGAATCGATCTAAATAATAAAACAAATAGAATAGTAATTGACCAATGTCATTTGATCAGATTGGTGCAATACTATTTAAAACCAAACCATTTTAACAACAGTGTTTTCTTGTCATAAATCACAAACTTATGAAACATGTTTATTTTGATAATCAGAGCAGTTCCTGTGATATGGATATGGTGTCACAAAACAATTTCAGCGTGTCCCTGAATGGGATGTTAACAAGGTAACCAATGCTCCACAACAGCAGTAGTAGTTCTAATAAAGATTAATGGGATTATGTTATTTTCCATATTCTAAAATCCAAAAGGTAAAGTGGCTTAACGATCACATGTGCTGTAGTCCGAGATTATAAGAAGCGGCTCAAGACCGGGCACTTTCAGTTAGAAAGTATTTTTTTCTTGGAATTATGAAACGTGTTGGACTGGTGTGGTGAAGGGGGAGTTGATAAGTGTTCTTGTTTTCCCCAGGGTCCCCGCACCCCTGGTTGTGACTCTCTGATGTAACACATTCCTGTCCCATCTGGCTGTGGTTTTACTGTTTTCTCAGAGGTGATGTCTCAGTGGATTTGTGTAGCCCAGGGCAGAGAAGGGGACAGAGGACAGAGCCGTGGTGGGAGAAGGCATGCGTAAACTGAAGTCCAGAATCCAGGACAAAACCTCTTGTCATCACAGATCACAGAACAGTCTGCGTTTTCTTTGCACATTACTGTGGTGACCTCTGCTTGGGCTTGTCAAGGTATTCACAACAGTCACAGTCAACAAATCACAAAGACAAATATTATGTTCTTCTTCTTTGATGTGTTTCCAGTAATAATAATGTCCAATAACTTATTCAGTCAACCTGGCTAGGACCAGTTTAAAATGGCCTCAATTCAGGTTTTAAAAGAGTTGGACATTTTAATTAATAAAAATGTAAATGGTGAAAATGGTCAGAAACAACAATACAATTTTAGATTAGTCAAATATTTCAGATATCTTAGATTTGTCCAATATCAAATAATTATAACTAAACCAGTCAAAAACAACAATATTTAACAAGATAATACAGATGATTAATATATAAAACTAGTCAAATGGCATTGCAAATATAAATGCAATAAAGTAATAATAATAATATTTATAATGCCAGGATAAATGCCTAAATCCTTCAGTCTTTCAAGATACAATAATGCATGGGTTTTGTGTAGGTGCAAAATAGACCCTACATGTTAATCTAAATAATTCTATAATAATAATAATAATTTGGTGAGAAAGTCTTACCTTGTAGTATTCCATAATCATCTGGTTCAGAAGAGTGGAAACAGAGTAGAAAGAACCTGTCATTATACCTGAGGAAGAATGAAGAAAAACAAAAATCATAGAGTTAAAATGGCTCTTGTTTTTAGTCGTACACTAACACGCTCTGTTATTATTGAATATATTATATAAAAATACATTCTAATTGTTTTTTCATTCATTGTTATTTGACTGTTGACTTATTCAAACTCAATATGCTTTGGCGAAGTACATTACTTTATTGAATCAATGTTTTCATAAAGCCTTTTGAACCAAGAGCCTAGTGAAAAAGCGTATCTAGCTACATATGAAGAATGTTCCCATAATATGAAACATTGAGAAAAGTTGCCTGAACATTTCCTTTCCTTAAATATTCTCAAGATCTTGTTTATGAGTGTATTTAAGTGCTTGTGAAATGAACGTATTCATGGGCATTAAAGCGGTTTGTACCATAACTGATGAGCAGCAGCAGGAAGGCCTTGTTCCTGAACAGGTTATAGATGGACTTCCTGTAGGAGTAGTCTTCAGGGAGGGGGCCGGACAGAACGGCCTGGGCCTGACTCGGAGGCTTGACGGGCTGGTCCTTAACCACTACAAAAACACACATGACGATCAAATTATATAACGATGCCATCGCGCTGTGGAATAGAAACAAAGAAATAACCCTAAAAGAACACGTTGCAACAATCTGGGGAAAAAGACCACTCACGATTTCAACATTTGTACGACCAAACCTGACTAACTGTGCATGATATACACCAGTGTGATTTTGAGCCAATAATCCTCCTGACAAGAACACATTTACACTTTTCGATCTTTTCAATATTGGTGTAGCTCAGGGCAGTCAAACTCTTTATGGTCAGGGGCCGATAAAAAAAATGGGAACTGGTCGGGGCCGAAACAATAGAAGAGATTTCCTTTTCTTGTCATAGTTTTTTACATTATGAAAATATTTTAACATGACTTTAATGTGACATGAGTTTCACTGTTATTTTCTGGTTTATTTTTCTGAAAACAAAATGTGTTTAGTGTTTAGATTGAACCAAAACTGGATCGTAAATAAAGTAAAAGCATTATGTAGCAACCTATTTAACTTATAATTATGTGTTATTGGGTTAAAATGTTAGAATACATTAAATTAGGTTGTTTTCCTGAGAAAATAGATGCCTGCCTTGGTCACCCATTACCATCAATGCTGCAAGTTAATAATAATAACAAATAATTTAAGGGGCCACTAAAACTTGTCTTTTGCGGGCCGGATCTGGCCCCATAATTTGCAACCGGACTACATGGATTTGCTAAAAAAAAGAAAAAGAAAAAAAGAAGAACAAAACCATGACGACTTGAGTGTGGTTAGTGCAACATCCCGAGGGACGGTTCAGCTGTTCTTAGCACAATCTGTTATTTCATAAGACGTAGCTAATGACCTCAGACCCCTGAATTTGGAAGTAAACAGTCATCTCACAACCAAACTTAACATCAGGTGCATAGATAGTCTATGGTCCTAAAGCATTATAGTTCCCATAATGCAGTGGGGTAAGGCTGACAAAACTCTGAGTCATGTCCCTATGTGTGCGTGTAAAGCCCCAGACTTTTACGCAACTTGTTATGATACACAAATGAGTTGTTGTTTTGACCAGTGGGCACGGCTAGACCATAGACTAATAATTTGGTAATTAAAAAAATCCAATTAAATCGGTCGACCCCTTCTATGGACACACACAGAATCTTACAGGATATTAAAGGTACAGCGTCAAGGGCATGAGATGAAGTCGGATTTTCTTGGGTTTGGAAAAATTGGGACTCAGTTTTGTCTCCCTGTATCCTTATTTTAAAAGACTATAATATTATTTGGTTCTACTACACTACTGATAGGAGACCATCAGTAGTGTCATATAGACTTTTATTTCATTTACTGTCTTCAAAATCTGTATGTGCGGAATAAGAAAAAGCGTATAAAAATATTTAAATAATAAAGCATTGTTTTTATAGCGGGGTGATCGGGAAGAACGGCCCCCCTGATCTGAACCCGAGCGGTGTTCAGTTGTTGGACTTCTGTGCCAGTCACGGCCTGTCCATCACGAACACCATGTTTGAGCACAAGGGTGTCCATCAGTGCACGTGGCACCAGGACACCCTAGGCCGGAGGTCGATGATCGACTTTGTAGTCGTATCATCTGACCTTCGACCGCGTGTTTCGGACACTCGGGTGAAGAGAGGGGCGGAGCTGTCAACCGATCATCACCTGGTCGTGAGTTGGATCCGCTGGCAGGGCAGGAGGCCGGTCAGACCTGGCAGACCCAAGCGTGTAGTGAGGGTTTGCTGGGAACGTCTTGCTGAGCCCCCTGTCAGACGGACTTTCAACTCACACCTCCGGGAGAGCTTCTCCCAGGTCCCGCCGGAGGAGGGGGACATTGAGTCCGAGTGGACCATGTTCTCTTCCTCTATCGCCAATGCAGCGGCTCGTAGCTGTGGTCGCAAGGTCTCTGGTGCTGGTCCCGGCGGCAATCCCCGAACCCGGTGGTGGACACCGGCAGTAAGGGATGCCGTCAGGCTGAAGAAGGAGTCCTATCGAGCAATGATGGTTCGTGGGACTCCTGAGGCAGCTGTCCAGTACCGGCAGGCCAAACGTGCCGCGGCCCGGGCTGTTGCAGAGGCAAAAACCCGGGACTGGGAGGAGTTCGGAGAGTCCATGGAGCATGACTATCGGTCGGCCTCGAAGAGGTTCTGGCAAACCGTCCGGCGCCTCAGGAGGGGGAAGCAGTTCTTTGCCAACACCGTGTATGGTGCGGGTGGAGGGCTGCTGACCTCGACTGGGGATATTGTCGGGCGTTGGAAGGAATACTTCGAGGTTCTCCTCAATCCCCCCGTCACGTCCTCCGTCCAGGAGGCAGAGGCTGAGGATGTTGGGGCGGATACTTCCATCTCCCTGGCCGAGGTCACCAAGGTGGTTGGCAGCCTCCATGGTGGCAAGGCGCCGGGAGTGGATGAGATCCGTCCTGACTATCTAAAGTCTCTGGATGTTGTAGGACTGTCTTGGCTGACACGTCTCTGCAACATCGCGTGGCGATCGGGGGCAGTGCCAATGGAGTGGCAGACCGGGGTGGTGGTCCCTCTCTACAAGAAGGGGGACCGGAGGGTGTGTTCCAATTATCGTGGGATCACACTCCTCAGCCTCCCCGGTAAGGTCTACTCCAAGGTACTGGAGAGGAGGCTACGTCCGATGGTCGAATCTCGGATTCAGGAGGAGCAGTGTGGTTTTCGTCCCGGCCGCGGAACACTGGACCAGCTCTATACTCGGTAACGCTTTATATTAAGGTGTGCTTGTTAAGTATTAATAAGATATTAATAGACATTAGCAACATGCTTATAGATTGCTTATATGTACTTATAAACATATTAATAAGCTGCTCATTTCACTATTCTCTAAATGATGTTCTAGTTCTTTTAAGCATTTAATAAGTAATTAGTAAGATACTTATTAAAGGAGGAATATGTTTATAAATATATGAATAAGCTGCTTATTAAACTATTATCAATACCATGTTAATAGGCCATTAACAATATGCCTATAAAGATATTAATACGCTGCTCATTAATAGGCAATAGTGGTAATAGGCCACTAAAAATGTGCGTTAATAAACTGCTTATTACACTATTTTGCAGTACCTTAATCTAAAGCGAGGAGCATTTTTGTTAATGCAGAAAAAAACACAACAATGATCTAAGATGTTTTTATTTATTCAAACAGCAACAATTAAAGTATAATATATGAAAATTAAGTTTGTGCCAAAAGTTTGTTAGTAACTTCAAGGAGCCATGATGAACCCACTCATGCGCCGACCTGCTCTGTTCATGAATTTGGCTTTGGCAAAACAGTGAATCAGCTGACTTCACGAGCCTGAGAGATTAGCGGAACTCGCCTAATTTTGGGCATCGTCTGGTCCTCCCGGTTCTGCGCAGTGGACGAGCTCCCATGATGCTTTGCGCCAAATACGCTTGCGTGGCTGTCATGCACGTGCACAGAGGGGCCGTGCTCTGACCAATCAGAGCTGCTGATCAGAGCGAGAGTTAGAGCGGGAGTTAGAGCGAGAGTTAGAGCGGGAGCCAGACGAGTAGAGTTTGTGGCCGTAAAATGTGGATTTAAAGGACAACTCACCCTCAAATCCACTTTTTTTTTTTGCTGATAAACGGTATAAATGAGTGTCCAATAGTGTTGTCTACATATCCTGGTCATAATTTTGTCACTTTGGTGCAAATTAGTTGAAAGTTAAACTTTCTGCCTAAAACCATCTGTGAGGCGCCACCTGCTGGCGACCTGTATTACTACATTTACTTAATATATGGCTACATTACGCATCTCCATTCTATTTATCATGAAATAAAGAGTTTTTTATTTTATTTATGCCATAAATTGGCATATTGTATATTTCTGACCAATATATCAATAATCGTCATATCGTGATAAAATTGTTATTGTAATCTTTATCGTGAGCTTTTTATTGTGTATCGTATCGTATCGTGAGGTACCCTTAGGTTCCCACCCCTGTCCGCTAATCTCTCAGGCTCGTGAAGTCAGCTGATTCACTGTTTTGCCAAAGCCAAATTCATTAACAGAGCAGGTCGGAGCATGAGTGGCTCCTTGAAGTTGCTAACAAACTTTTGGCACAAACTTAATTTTCATATATTTTTTCATTTAGACTTTAATTGTTGCTGTTTGAATAAATAAAAACATCTTAGATCATTGTTGTGTTTTTTTATGCATTAACAAAAATGCTCCTCGCTTTAGATTAAGGTACTGCAAAATAGTGTAATAAGCAGTTTATTAACGCATATTTTAGTGGCCTATTACCACTATTGCCTATTAATAAGCAGGGTATTAATATCTTTATAGGCATATTGTTAGTGGCCTATTAACATGGTATCGATAATAGTTTAATAAGCAGCTTATTCATATATTTATAAACATATTCCTCCTTTAATAAGTATCTTACAAATTACTTATTAAATGCTTAAAAGCATATAACTAGAACAAAATAATTTAGAGAATAGTGAAATGAGCAGCTTATTAATATGTTTATAAGTACATATAAGCAATCTATAAGCATGTTGCTAATGTCTATTAATATTTTATTAATACTTAACAAGCACACCTTAATATAAAGCGTTACCCTATACTCTCCATCGGATACTCGAGGGTTCATGGGAGTTCGCCCAACCTGTCCACATGTGCTTTGTGGATTTGGAGAAGGCGTTCGACCGTGTTCCCCGGGGTGTCCTTTGGGGGGTCCTCCGGGAGTACGGGGTCCGGGGTCCACTGCTGAGGGCTGTTCGGTCCCTGTATGACCGGAGCCAGAGCTGTGTTCGCATTGCCGGCAGTAAGTCAGACCTGTTCCCGGTGAATGTTGGCCTCCGACAGGGCTGCCCTTTGTCACCGGTTCTGTTCACTGTATTTATGGACAGAATCTCTAGGCGCAGCCAGGGGCAGGAGGGGGTCCGGTTCGGGAACCACAGGATTTCATCTCTACTTTTTGCGGATGATGTCGTCCTGCTGGCTCCAACGAACCAGGACCTGCAACATGCACTGGGACGGTTTGCAGCCGAGTGTGAAGCGGCTGGGATGAGAATCAGCACCTCCAAATCCGAGGCCATGGTGCTCGACCGGAAAAAGGTGCCTTGCCCTCTTCAGGTGGGTGGAGAGGTCCTTCCTCAAGTGGAGGAGTTCAAGTATCTCGGGGTCTTGTTCACGAGTGAGGGGAGGATGGAGCGTGAGATTGACAGGCGGATCGGTGCAGCGTGCGCAGTGATGCGGTCTCTGTATCGGACCGTTGTGGTAAAGAGGGAGCTGAGCCGAAAGGCAAAGCTCTCGATTTACCGGTCAATCTTCGTTCCCTCCCTCACCTATGGTCATGAGCTGTGGGTAATGACCGAAAGAACGAGATCGCGGATACAAGCGGTCGAAATGAGCTTCCTCCGCAGAGTGGCTGGGCGCTCCCTTAGAGATAGGGTGAGGAGCTCAGTCACACGGGAGGAGCTCGGAGTAGAGCCGCTGCTTCTCCACGTCGAGAGGAACCAGTTGAGGTGGCTCGGGCATCTGTTCAGGATGCCTCCTGGACGCCTCCCTGGGGAGGTGTTCCGGGCACGTCCCACCGGGTGGAGGCCCCGGGGAAGACCCAGGACACGCTGGAGAGACTATGTCTCTCAGCTGGCCTGGGAACGCCTTGGAGTCCCCCCGGACGAGCTGGAGGAGGTGTGTGTGGATAGGGAAGTCTGGGGGCGTCTCTGCTTAGACTACTGCCCCCGCGACCCGGCAACGGATAAAGCGGAAGAAAATGGATGGATGGATGGATGTTTTTATAGCGCTTTTTTGGACACTCAAAGACGCTTCACACAGCATTATTCTTTTACTCCATACACGGTGGTGAGAAACTACTACTATAGCCACAGCTGCCTCGGGGCACACTGAGACAAGGCAACCAGTATGTGCCATCGGCCCCTCCGTCCGCCACCGACCATCCACGCACACGCCAGACTCGACGGTGAAACTGGCGCGTCACATCCTGCTCGTACCTATGAGCGCGAACAGAAAGAGCGCCGTTGAGAGCGCCGCTGTGCCGTAGAACATGATGCTGACGTTGTACGCGGTGAGCTCCGGGTCATCTGGAGTGTTCGGCACCAGGACGGGGGGCAACAGGAAACCAATGGCCGTCCCCAACTGAGGAGAGACAACGACACAAGTAAGTAAGTAAGTAATCTTTATTTATATAGCGCATTTTACAGACCAAAGTCACCCAAAGCGCTTTCAACACAGTATGAATGATTCTATATGAGGATAATGTGGGATGAGCGACTAAAACAACATCGTATTCATTGAAATTATAATTAAGCAGAGTTTACAGATGGCTAAGGCCAGGGTGCAGCAGATCCACAGACACCGAACTTCATGCAGTTTTCTTTACGGAAAAAGAAAAGAATTAGCAGTTTGTGACAACTTTTTATCTGACTTTGATGTCAACATGCTTCATGTCTTAAGCGGTTTTTTTTTCTCTAATAAGTTACAAGGCTCCATTTATCCATATCAAAAAGAGCCATCCTAATGACCTGTTCCTTTGCTTTTAGGTAGTCATCAGTGATTTACCTTCTGTAAATCGTAAAGGTAGAGTGCCACAAGATCTTGCAAGATGAAATTCCCGTACTATTGGTGGGATATGATCGCATGAAATATTTACAGTTTTTTACATTTAATGTGGACAATAAAAACCCTAGATCAGCCCCTCATCATTGATCCAACTATTCTCTTCCAGTAAATGTCACTCGTGGTGAGGGACTGTTTTAATATAATGTTAAAGAAAAAAACTTCTAAATGATACAGGGTCATATGATCAAAAATACAGTATTTATTCCTATAAAAATCTAATGCAGATATGATCTTTAAGTCATTGAGTTCTATACTTTGAGAACCCATAGTCCCAACAGACAAAGATATATGATAGGTGATATAAATTGTGCTTTCAATTCGATTTTTTAGATTAGATTACCAGGAGTCAGACAAACTTTTTAATTAATATCATTTGACGTTTCTCCCTGAAACAATCTGGTCTTTTCTCATTCCCGCAGACCCAAATTTGTGTGTCTTACCTTGTATCTCGCAAACATTCTCTCTTGTGACGATAACCCAAATATGTTTTGAATATGTGAGTTCAGTACATGACAAACTATGAAAATAATTTTAATGAATATGGGCAAGGTTGATGAAAAAACATGCACTCACTTGGTTGCCTAAGACAGCGGTGGCACACGCCGTGGACACCTCTCTGGGGCCAAACCAAACAGAGGCGATGCGTGAAGGGAGCCCCAGAATAAACACTTGTGCCACCGAACATATGGACTGAGCCGTGAAAGTCACCCAGAACAGATCCGGGCTCACGCTGGCACATTTCAGCCACGCTCCGGCACAATTCAACCCAGATCCCAGCAGCGCAGTGAGCCGGAGCCCTCTGCGGTCCAAGAGCCAGGTGGCGGGGAAAATCAGCGGCACGTAGGCCACCATGTAAATAATAGAAAGCCAGTCAATGTTGGCGTTGGTCACCCCATAGAAGTGGGTGAAGATGCTCGTGATTATGCTGTATTGGATCCATTGGAAAGCATTGACCATAGAGTAAAGGCAGAACACGGCCAAAACGGCAAATCTTCGCGGGTAGAGTTTTGTTTCCAAATATCTGGGCCCATCCTGGTCTTCTCCAAGGTTGTTCGGTGACTTGGAGCTGTCAAAAGAAAGTTATAGAGTGTAGATTATTATTATTGAGAAATTATAATATTGGGCTACAGAGTTTTAAAGTAAGAAAGTTGATTACATAGATACATAGATAGATAGACATTGGATTCTGTATATTGAAAATAGTGTGGATGCGTGAATACAACAATCTAATACAATAATATACATTGGATTTATCTATTTGGCACATTGACCTGGTAGCCCTGTTACTTTGAACTCAAAACTTGTCCTCACATTCGCTTAAAACTTTGTATTTCTCTTCGTTTCCCTACATTAGTTTTCCCTTTTACAAGCAGTAGCAGGAGCAGAATTACATGTTAAACATTAAGCCTATCTGACATGGTGTTTTGCATGTCATTGCACCCTACGCATACAATTGTAACCTAATCAATTTTCTGAGAATGTATAATCTTATCTTAGTTCTATGGTAATGGACATGTTTATTTTGTATTGATTTATTGTATGGGTTTGGAGTGCTCTTCGAATATTGATACAGTGAATCCAGAACTTTATTACTCCCAATTAGCCGAGTTTAATCACATTACTATCCTTATCTAAAGCAGACGAAATAGGAGAGAGTTTAATTACATGTTTATAGAAGGTGATGCTGACATACAGTATGCGGCGCTCACTTCTATCATACAGCCATGTGGTGCTGTTGTCCTTCATAAATGATCCTCCCCCAAATCTCCTACCTCTGCGATTACCCCCCAATATATATATATAAATAAAAACATTTACAACAAACAAAATGGAGACAGATCTTAATTCTACAGTCGCTTTTACCCTGCTCCACTGGGCAGCATCGCCTCGCGTTCATCCGCCTCTGCTTCGGGCTCTCCGTGCCGCTCTCCCGGGTCTGGGTGCGTCTCTGTGTCCGCTATTCTAGCTTCTGTCCCGGTCTGAGCGGAGGGAGGCTCTGTCGGGCTCTTCCTGGAGATGGGTGGGCTGTTGTGGTCAGGTGCTGCGCCTGTATCTGCGCGCACATGCTCCTGGATGAGCTCGCCGGCTACCATTCTTCCCAAAGAGAGACGAGGTAAATAGAGATAAAGGCAAACGCGCGTGTCCTCATTCGTTCAAACAATGTCTAATAATAACGTTTTTTGTTTTTTTTTAATTTTCTTTTTATCGCCGCGCGTGTCTATTATACGTGATCCTGGTTGTGCGTAGCGGATATGAACGGTATGAACGCGCCCCGACGCCGCTTCCGTGTGGTGCCATGTCTGATCCGTGCGTCAGTCTCAGCTGCTGCTCTGCTTCCAGTGCGAGCTCTTTGTATTCAGCCCAGAGCAGAGCCTTTCGATGCGCCACAGCCAATGACAGGGCGGCACAGACTCATCCATCTGCGTGTGTATGCGTGTTGGTGTACGTGAACGTGCGTGCGTGCGTGCGTGTGTGTGTGTGTGTGTGTGTGTGTGTGTGTGTGTATGGATCCATGTGGAGGCTGACAAAGCATGATGCAACAGCTCATATACAGGCGCTATGTTATGTTATGTACATTTTAGTGAGTTTTGTGGTCTTGTAATTTCATTGATGTTTCCTCAACCATTTGGTGGATCCCTTTTTGATTCACTCTAACTAATTGAAGATTGGAACTGAAATCTACCTGGTTGGGGCATCTGTATCACTTGGTTTTGGGGAACTTTTACCAGAAAACTGCATCTTAACTATTTGGTAAATGTCTATAATTTAAAAACTAATGGTTAAAAAGTTATTAGTGCTTCTACATCTTGGGGGGGGGGAATTACGTTGTTTTGTTCAAGGAGTGAACATTAACAGGTTAAAGGAATGTGATCCTTTTGGCCTTAAATATCATAATGGGACTATTTACTCATTGTAAGTGATATAAAAGAAAATACGTGTTTGGAACAAGCATGTGGCGTAGACCAATGCTACTCCCCATTTCACTGCCAGGAGGTTGAATTTGTTTTTAAACTTGTTAAATCAAGCATTGCAATGATACACAGATACATAATCACAGTACTCAAAACTAAACAGGACTTTTAATCAGCATTCATACATTGTCAGAGTAGAAGCCAGTCTCATGTTTTCAGGAAGACTGTTCCAGATTATAGCTGAATACATCTGAAATGCTGCCTCCTCATGTTTAGTCCTATACTTCCAACCCAATAAACCAATGGCGCTGTTTTAGTTTGGTCGTAGCCATTCACAAAGTAGATCTCTAATCTCATAAATATGGAGAGTCAAACAAAGCCAAATATGTCCAACTTCATCTTTAAAGACTGCTCATACAAAAACTGAAGTATTTAAATGTTGCACCTCAAAAATGTAGACTGTGTAATACTTTCAAACATTGGACACTTTGTTTTTGACACTTACGTTTTATTTTTTTTATAAACTTTAGTGAACAGTTTTTATTATTATGATTTTTATTGTGCCTTTGTGTTGAAACAGTCCATGAAAAAACGCTCTGGAACTATCATGAATCCTCTCGGGCCTGTACAAATAAACACATGAATAACTGGTCTTACGTTGTAAATAAGAGTCTATTGTCCAAAGAAGGGATAAACATGAATGATCATTTAGAGCTACAGACCTCAGAGCACATATAAAACCTTACAGTTCCAGAGACTTCCTTCAATGTTTCAAAGACAAACTGCTGAGGAGTAGTTCACGAGGCGCTTCTGTTTATGCCCTCGAGTGAGACAACAGAATTAAAGACAGTGGTGTTTGTTTGCTCTTACTTCCTTGTTCCGCAAAATATCTGATTCATGGTGAACTGCCTGTACCTGTGTTCACCTTTTCTGGTCGACTACTTTAAGCCTAATGCATTCAAGAAAACATGTTTATTACAATTAAAAGTCAAAACTAACAAAAACACCAGTCTAATGCATTGTTACTAGAGAAGGATCAGGCCCGCCCCCAATGTAGGCAGTTACATGTGTAATGTATTCTTCTTGGAGTGGTTCAGTTGTGTAACTGATTACAAAAGAGAATGGTAACTTACTGGTTTCAATCAAAGTAACTCGAGTTATATGTACAATGAATGTAAGCGCACATTGTAATTGATTGAGGAAACAAAGATGATTATTAGAGTTTGTATAATTCTTATGTTGAAAAAAATGAATTTTCCTTTGTCCTGAAACCAGTATGTCCTCTGTTCTACTTAGACCAATGACAATCAAACACGATCAGTGTGATCTAACCAGTGTTCTAGACCAAAAGCAACTCAAAGCCACTCAAAAAACAGTGATATTGTAGTACAAATATGTTTGTACTAGTATTATAAATATAATAAATAATCAGAAAGTACCTGCTTGGGAGACTTTCGAGGCACAGCTATAACACATGATGACAGGCAGGTGCACCATGACTGTCCAGCACCACACAGCATAAAAGACCCAATGAAATAACTTTATTCCCAATGGTAAATGAAGGAGACTGAATGAATCTACTCAGTACTCACATTTTAGACCACAAATGATTTTTGATGCCAGTTTGAGATACATGTACTGCACAGGGCGTTGTACATCTCTGCAGTTCAACTACAACCAGCTCCATGACTTATTAGCTGTGACCATATGTCCAGTCTAATACTTTAATCCTGGTTTAACCCACACTACGGACTCATTCACTGGTCCATTCACCCCAGTTTGTGAATCCCCAAAGGCTACAACTATAATAGATTGCTACTTCAAATAACCACACCCTTTTTACTCATACACTCAGTTGTTAACAGAAGATCAGATACTTGTGGATTACTGCTCACCGGAACGGCAGAGAAGAATGTGCTAAGTAATGAATGAAAGTGAAAATGCAGGTACACAGTAAGATTAAGAACTGATAATGATATTTACAGAAGGACTTTAGTTTGAGCAGAAATGTTGGTCAGAAAGTTCTGATAAGAAATAGGTTGTATTGTATCTGTTTGAGAGTTTCTCATGGAGATTACATTTCTTTTGTAACCTCAAGACAACAGGAGGGAGGTCTCACTCTGTCTCAGCTTTCAAAAACAATCTGGACAAAAATATTATTACACATCCAGGAGGGCAGTGTGTATTTGGACTACGGTTAGGAAAAAATAAACACAAAATACCCAAAATGCATATTGAAAACAAAGCAAGTTAGAAACTAAAATTGTCTAAACAGTCTATGGTGTAACAAGGATGATTTGGTTTAAAGTGGATTTCAAAGTAACAGTATTTTGGAACAGAAAACATTAAACTAGTAGAACTCCCCAAAAGCAATGGCCATTAAATTAAGCAATTAATTTGTTTTGTTTTCCCCAAAAATGAAAAATATTCCCAACTCTATGATGTAATGACATTTCCTCTCATCCCTTCATAATGTGTATCAGTTCTGGCATTAAAATACAAAAATACTAAATATCCTAGCCTATTTTCCACAGTTAATTATTATTTTATGGTCAATACCTGAATGTTTTCTCGCCGTAACCCAAACCGCCTCAGTGTGCGTCTACAGTTTCTCATCACTATGGCAACCTCCACATCACAAACCATTGCAAACAAACACAACACAAACTCCTACGCTTATTCCCTCCTAACATTGGACTTTCCTCTGCCTCCACTTAAGCAGGATGTCGGGCCAAGAAGCGCAGGCGTTACAGGAGCTAAACTTGAGCAGAGAAACGTGGTGTCAGGTGGAGGGAAGTGCGCGTCAGTCCTGGGACCGGGCCCAGAGGAAACACTACCGGAGGCACTTGAAAACCAGCTCCAGTCTAGACCGGGCTCTGACGGGACAGAACCAAAGCATCACCTCTCGCCTGGACCACCCTGCGCCTGGCCCACTGGCCCAAAGACGACACTATGAGGAAAGCTGTGAGTGAAAGTGATCATGCACTGAAAATATGGGTTGTATCAATGTTTATGTAACGATGGTTTATGGACTCAACTGCAGGTCAAGTATTATGGGAGTTTAGAATATTATTTTTCCACATATCTGTCTTTATTTGGGTTAATTTTCATTGAGAACTACAATAGAAACTGTAGTCCTTATCTATTTAATGACCTGTCCTGCACTAGGACTGAAAAACTCACACTGCTATAGTCACTTTTAATGTAATTCTACATAATATAATATAATAAAAATAGACCATTTTTTAAACTTTTTAACATGTGTGAACACTTCCTGTCTTTTTGCACACCCTGAGTGATTCTATCTATGCCAAATGGGATATGTAAATGTCTCCATTGTGAGATCAATAAAGTTTATCTAATCTTATCTTTATTAGTCTATAAAAAAAGATGTAAAAAAGAAATTGTATATATATATGGTGGTTTTAGGATTGGGACACATAATTATGATGATCCTGTTAAAATAAACACATTAGAGGTGTGATTAATATATACAGTCTATGGGTGTGATTAAAGAAAATAAAGTCTTGCCCTGGCATAATGCCGCTGACTTTCTAATGAAATGTCATATGTGATAGTATGAAGTAAACAGACATGTTACTTAAGTGCAAAGTTAGAAAAGTCAAGAAACGTATTAATTACATTCTTGGTTTGACAATTCTACAGATCACAAAAAATATTTAGAATGTGTTTTTTATTTTAAATAAACTGAACAATTCATATTCTGTAACAACCACAGGTACACGAAGGAGATGAAAATAGGTTTAAGACCCTGTAGTATCATCGATATTAAAAACAGTTCACAACATAAGTATTTAAAACAATTCCAAGAACAATTTTAGAATAAGTATCACCAGTACCATCGGTGAAGGCTCCCAATCAGGAAGCTGTGGAGGCGGGTCTAAACAATTTGAAAAGTAACTGACCTTTAATTAAGTAAAAAACTATTTAAAAAGGTGGGGGTCAACTTTATAACAGGTTTTATTGATTCAAAACACATATTGATTTTCTGTATTCAATTATGGTCCTGATGAATTCATTCCCTGTTTTTCAGATCAGTCCCATCTGGTGTAGACCGTCATGGTTCTACCTGTTTTTTGTGGAGGTCCCTGGTCCAGCTCCAGTCCATATTCAGCTCCCTGCTTTTCCAAACAGCGGCCTCTCATTCACTGATCAGGCCGAGGCTCTATATACAGTACATACAGTAGACTCAGAGTAGTGTCTGGATTGGGGCTACTTCTGGTGGATCTTTGTAAAAAGTCTCTGAGCATTTTGACTTGTGACAAACTGAACAGCTTCTGTGGACAGTCCTTTGATCTGAGCGATGTACTGACAAACCAAAGCGATGTTGCACGGCTCATTTCTCTCCTGTGGGACACAACATACAACACGGTGTTTCAATATCATGGTTAATACTTTTTCAATCTTTATGTCAAACTTTTTTCCTTTGTTGACATAACTCCTTTAATCTTCATATTTTTCCTGATGGTTGTGCGATGAAAAATGTGACCACATGATGCATAATAAATAATTAATTAATTAATTAATAGATCATTATTTCGTCCATAAACAAAAAATAATAAAATCTATTCTAAATGACATTTTAACAGCTTAACTACGGCATATTTGATGACGATGTGATGAAGTACACTCATAAAGAACTTACATGTTTGTTGAGACCCAATGCAGGGGAGTCTGTCTCCAGACAGATGTGCTCCAGTGGAAGCTGCTTTATTAGCTTCACTTTCTGCAAAAAGAAAACCATTTAAAGGTGGAAATAAAACATTAAAAAATTTGTGTTTCATCAGTCAGTACCATTGGGTTGGTGCAAACAGCTGGAGGAAAAGAAAAGTAATATCCAGCTTTAACTCCATCAAAAGCCACTGACAACTTCCCTGCAAAATTATGGAGCAGAGCACCGGATACACCTAAAGCATTTTTCCAGTAAACACAAATGTTTAATCACACTACTGTTTATAAAACATTTATTTATGGAGCATTCTTATTTTAGATTTTGAAATATCAGTTTGTATTGATTTGTTTCACCTTGTTCTTTCATAGTGGAGATGGTAACTTTGGCTGCTGACCGAGAGTGGACGTTTCTGAGAAGAAGAAATTCATCTTTCTTTTAAAAACAGTAAATACAAATATAGATATATGTTAGCCTGTAATCATGATGAGTTCAGAAACCACACGTTTAGTACGCGTCAGACTGTGTTGTGTAGCACTCACACCGGGAGGTTGAGCTCTTTAGCGACCTCTAGCTGCCGGATAAAGACTTTCATCTGGTCCTCTTTTTCCTGTTCGGTCGGAGCACACCATGGAGTGAAGTCCAAACCAATCTAAAAACACAAGGGCTGGATCTAAGTATGGACACAGATGGTTTCAGGTTCCTATTGTGAGACTACAAAGCCATTTAATAACTCATGTTTAGACAGTGGCTGCTCCACATTCAGGCAAAAACGATAACAGTCACGCCAACAAAGTGGGGCTGTTGATTTAATGAAGCCACATTCCTCTGACTTTACTCAGAGCAACTGTGAAGTCCAAGAGGCCCGACTCAGCAGACAGCAGAGATCTTGTGAAGCGCTTTGTGACTCTGGTCTGTGAAAGGCGCTATATAAATAAAGATGACTTACTAAAAGTTAGAGCCACTAAAGGAAAACAGCACAATATATGATTTTACTTTTTTCATAGTTTGACTTGATCATTTTGCGATCAGACCAACATGTGAAAATGTTAAGAGTAAAACAATCTTTTTCTATTAGAAAAAAGATTGACTGGATAAAAATGTTGAATATATATATATATATATATATATATATATATATATATATATATAAACGCTTGAATTAAGTAGTTTCTCGTTCAATTCTTAGTCAGATCTGACATTTCAATATGACAAGCTTGTTCCATTGACAAATCTTCAAAATATACTACAATCAAGAGACATTTTACCAAATTCAAGTCCCCCTTTTGAATTTTTTGAAAATAACGAAAATAATTGCAGTCAATGCATTTTTCTAACTGCAGCCATAAACCTTTTGGATTTTGTTAAATTTGGATTTTTTTGTACATATTTATATATCTCAATACCTCTCCAATAGCGACCAGTTCTTCACTGTGTTTGTAGAAATATGGTATTGCAGCTTCCAGGTCCTGGAGAAAAAAGGACAGGTCTGATTCATACAATTTCTCAAAAACAAGCACCTACTATCTCATCTAAATCTAACTAGATACAAAATAAATATTTATCTAATTAGCATTATTTCACCTGGGGCTTCACACTGCGTTTGTCTGGACCCTCATCACTCTGAAGAGGATGGACCCCGAAACAAGGAGCGATCAGAGCGCCATAACTGTAAAATATAAACAAAATGTTGTACACTCAAAGTATTCATTTTTATTTTATTATTTTTTCAAGAAATTGTTTCTGTCCTTTTCTGGGTTCTTTTTGGTCACTTGATGCAAAACATGGCCTGAGATTGAACTTCGTAATTGGAGGAATGGATTTATTCATATGTAATATATACAGATTTGTAAAGCTGTAGCTACAAGGATGAAATCACCAAATCAGATTGGGCTTCAGTACCTTTTCTTGAGTTGTAGAAGTCTCTCAAACTCGCCCTGGCCTTCTGTTACTGCCACAAGCGTCTTTACTCCAGCCTGTACTCACGCACGCACGCACGCACGCACACGCACACGCGCACACACACACACACACGTTTAATCATTGGATAATACAGGGTTATAAAAATATTATATTAAATGTATAAGCATTTGTCACCAACCTGTGTGGTTCTTTTAATCACATCGTCAAGGTCCTGAAAAGACATATCAAAGCAAATAATTATCTAAAACAGGGATCTTAAATACTGTTTATACTATTATATTACATTCGAACTAAGCTAGTCAGCATGGACATTTCCACTTCACGTTATTGTTATCTGAACGTCAAGACAAGGGTATCTATTTGGCGATGTGGCAGATGCTTAGGGGCCGATCTGTATAGTTGCCTGAGCATGAAACCAGTGGACTGATTGTGTTGTTTAATGCTGTGTAATGACAATAAAACAGGTCTTGTGCTAACGACACCCGCATCATTTGTCATTTTCTTTCTCTATCTAGTCTTACCTGTTCAAACTCAGGCGCAGATATGTGACAGTGGCAGTCTACAAACCCATTCTCCATGTGAACGAATAAACTTTTCACTCATATCAAGCGATATATTCTTGCTATGAGGTTCACAAAGTTCACAAAACACGCTTAGCTGTTGCGGAACGTAGGTGGTTCCCTCTTGTGCAACCCGGACCAAGAAACTACACGGAACTTCCGCTTCGTCAACGTAAACAAAAAGTTGGCGGTAAAGATGGAAGCAGCGGATTCTGAGGACCAGAACTCACCAGTGAATGCGAACATAGAATACAGGGTTCGAGTCGTGTCCAAAAAACAAGTGCAAGAGCAGATAGACCGATATAAAGAGCTGTTGAAGACGGTTTTGGACGGACAGACGCAGTTAGCAGCAGACACGAAGAAGGAACTGCTGGGAGAGCTGCTGGCGGTGAGCTCAAATATGGCTCCGAGTTTGTTATTGTCAATTCAATTATTGCTCTAATCCGTTTCAGATATGGTGTAGTCGTAAATACACTTAGCTACTTAAACTTCTGTCGTTCTCTGTTCAGAATGTGTAGTTATTTCATTTAACCTAAGAAACTTAGAAATTCTACATAATGTACACATACTTTTTAGCATTTATTTTATTAGATATGTACTTCATTAATTAAAATATCAATATATAATATTGACCAAACAATTTCAAATATGATTATTGACTATTCAGAAGCGTTAAGTGAAAGATTAGACAACCAAATTATGAATCTATGGGTCGTGTTTGTCATTTTACTAGTGCCTATAGAAATATACAATAATAACACTAATTAATATGTAACTGCCAATGAATAGGTATTATTTTGGCTGTTGCAGAACTTCGAAGCAGCAGTTCAACAGAATGTTTTGGTGAATGGTCAACCCTGGATTGATGCATCTGAAGACGAAGGTAAACTTTTCCATCATTTGTCTCAGTGTCTGATTTTGCTGCTTATATGCATATTTATTGTTGGGCTGGGGGATTTTCTTTTTTCAATTGATTTAGATTTTTAGGGATGTTTTGTTGCTGGTATTAGCAAAATCTCCACTGCCTCATTTTATCAAGGTGTCAATAACATTGGTTTCTTTGGGCGACAGTGGCTCAGTTGGTAGAGCATTGGCCTTTAGGCCTGAAGGTCGTGGGTTCGAGCCCACCATAAGACCTACTTCACGACTCCCACTGATGTCTGCTGCCGTTGTGTCCTTGGGCAAGACACTTAACCCCACTTTGTCTGAAGCCCCCTCTGAAAGATCTCAGCTCCTGTGGACTCACCACCTGCAGGAGGATCAGTGAGGGGCTGGTGCTATGTGTACTGGGTGCAGCTCTGACTTTTGAGATCAGGACAACCAGATTCCATATAATTTTATTTTTTATAAGTGTGACAAGAATAGTTTTACACAAATATTGTTTTTAACTGGGGTTAATTTATAAATTAGTTTACTATTTTTAATACGTCTTCTTGAGCTATAATGATACAAAATGTGGTATTGGAACATCCCTATTTGTTATTTTCTAAAAAGCCCCTTTAAAAAACTATCAAAAATTGACTTTTTACAACAACAACAAAAACCTAAATGTTTTCTCATGTCTGAACTCTGCTCCAAACTAAACTGTCGAAGGATTGGTTTAGTTTAGACAATAAAAAGTCAAATATCCTGGCCCTGCTTCCTTCCCACTCAACAGCATGCTCAGTGGGAACAGTAATGTTGTGTCTAAAAGTGAAAAATGTGTTTAGAGCTCGACCTGCAAGGCCAGCTGGACGATGTGATTGTAGAAACAAGCAGCAAACGTCGCACTTACCCAAGAAAGATCCGTCATCACGTGGTTCATGCTCTGAAGGCCGAACGCAAGCTATTGGTGAGTTCCTCCTCAGGCCTCTAAAGGGTGGGACGTAATCTATATATTTATCTACACATTTAATCATGTGATGGAGCTACATTTAAGGCCGTAACACTGAAAAATGGCTTTACATTTGTAAGATAGTGGCAATAAAAGTAAACAATTTAATACATACAAATATTTTGAATTACTTCATGGTGAAAATATTTTATTTTCACTGTACATTACCGGAAAGAGAAAACTGTTACTTCAACATCGTTTTGCTTTTACCACATTTCATCCCAGTTTGGGCATTTTTCATATTTGTAATAATACTTCCTGGTGTGACGCTAGGTAGGAGATATATTACCTACCTATTAAACTGGGCAAAAAACTTAATTTGGAGTAATTATTGTAAGTGTCAAAAAAGGTGTTTATTGTAAATTATGTCAAACTTTATGATGAACCATGAATCAACCCTAATGTGATATCGTCAGTTCTAGAATGCTGCTCTACTTTTGTATTTGTTTTCATAATGTTCTCCCTCAAATTGTGGTTTCATCAGTGTAAAACTAATGTATGTTGACAGAAAGATGCACATTTACGTTCACTTTGAGTTAGAAAATCTCAAATATTCCACTTTTCTTTCAGGGTCTTTATGAGAATACAGTACAGCCCCATGAAGTGTCCAAGGATCCAGAGCAAGGTAAAATCACACGTTTCCAACATAAACTATTGATATGTTGGAAAATGTGCAAGTACTTCACCATAACGGGTTGAAAAGGGGTTGGTGTTCAGAAGTTGAAGTGTTAAAAGGTGAAAGTTTCAAATGTCCATTTTAAACAGAAGTGATTCTTCCTGAGTGCCACTGATAAATACATATGTGTAGGAAGAAAACTCACATTTTGATGTTAAATATTTTTTGTTTGTGCATAATTATGGTTACTTTGTTCCATGCTCTAGTTTGAACCGTTTTCCTTCACAGAGAGTATTATGAGCACGCTCTCGGCCGAAGCTCCTCGATTGGCAAAACGAGCTACTCAAGCCATACAGGTAAAAATGACTATGACAGAAAAAATGTATAATTGATATATATTGACAAAAACATATTAACTCATTGACTGCCAGCTGTTTTTGATGATTTCACTGATTCTCAAGACCCACAAAATATTATGTGCTATGAGTATGGAAAATATGAAACCAGATTCTGAAAGACTGGATTGTCTATTTTCATCAGCAAAAATAAGTTTCTTTCTAGCTATTTTTGTTCTCCTGTAATCCCCAGTCGAATAGAGACAGATTGACAGAAATCCCCAGTCTCACAAATACGTCAATGGCAGTCAATGTTATTATGTATTTATTTTGTTTTTTTTGTGTTTAGTCGATCCAGACGCTACAGAAACAAGCTGAAGGCCTATGCCAGATCCTCAACTCGCAACCGAGCGCCGCATCTTTAGAAATACACCGAGAAATTATTGGAGACTGTGGCCAATCAGACGCCCCGAGGCAACCGCAGCCAATCAGGAGGCTCGCAGAGGAAACGTCCATCGCAAACTGCTACATCCAAATGGGAAAACCACTGCAACAAATGGACATGAGGAAAATACAGGATTGAGTTATGACATGGGGAAACATTAACATCTTAATACTTAAACAATGTCTTAAGATTTCAATACACATGTTTTTCTTTTATCATGTCTCCTTCAATCCAATTAAGAAATGTATGAATGTTAAATGGTGCAATCTGAGAACGACGTTACATGTTTTTTGGTCAAAAACAGAAACAACCTTCTCTTTTTTTTTTTTTTTCCCAAGCTTGCATTTATTGTCCCAGTTTAGTCAATATTGTTCTGGTTTAGTTTATAGTTTATCCTTCCTTCTTCTCTATGAAGACTTTTTAGGGCTTTGTTCCCTGGTCAAAAACAGACAGACCTGGAGTTATTTTTAGATCCATCCACGTTAATATCATAAACTTTTGGCACAAACTTGTAACCCTGCCCCTAGTGTCTAAAGCTCCTGTCTCAGGCCTGTATGATGTATAAAATATGTTTTAGAAATTTATCAGGGGAAATTATGTTCTTTACAATAAAATTTCTGAGTTTGATGCCAAATTTGGGAACAAGAAAAAAAAAACCTTTCTTGTGGTAACTTATGTTAGAAAAGGATCTATTTTTATTTTTTTTACCCTTTGCACTTGTTTCACCACATAATCTCTGCTTTAGATGATATTTCACATTCCAAAACATTAAATAACAACGTTAATAGTCTCGTCGTCTTCAATGGCGTAAATATAGCCTGACATTTCTTCTTTTTAGTTTCTGGTAGCAGTAAGAAAGACCATAACTATTATCAGCTCCTGTAAATATGTCTCCAACCGAAGTAACTATTATTATAATTTAAGAAAACTATTGAATACAAAATGTTTCAAACTACACTATGCAGAATTAACCTCACAGTTCCTGGTTGGAAATGAACTACCAAATATTTAGCTGGTTCTATAGAATTTTACTGGCAATACAATAATTGACTCCAGACTTCTTCGAAAAGGGCAGTGGCTTTGAAGTTGAAGTGAAAGTTTTTGAGATGGTTTCTGTCCTCCGCCTGTCCACACTGAAGTAACCACAACTGTGTAACTGTACATGCTCTCCGGAGATACTCAACCTGAATGTCAACGCAACCAAAAATCAATTGGGATGTAAGTATGTGCAGTGATTTGTGTACTCATGTAGTTGCTGATTATACTATTATTAATACGATTATTATATATATACATTACTGTGTGTGCCAGGGGACAGAGGACGAAGGGCGGAAGATGAAGAGGAGAGAAAAAAACAGAGTTGCGGCTCAGAAAAGTCGAAAGAGACAAATGCTGAGAGCCGATCAGCTTCACGAGGTCAGTGCGCATAGATTACTACAAAGTAACTGTATTTGTGTCCACTCTAAGAGCTGTAATAAGGAAATTATGCATTTTTGTTTTGTTTTCTACAGGCCTGTGAATATCTGGAGCAGAAAAACAGAAAACTCAGGAAAGAGGTATTTATAACAACAATTGGATTTTACTTATTGGGAGCAGACGTCAGAACAAGTTTTCTTTGTCCCAGCAGATTCATCCAAAACATATATGAAAAAATAATAATAGTTATGATAATTGTTTTTGAAATATCCAGGACATAAATAACACAGAACGCAACCAAAATAACATTTAAAGTAATCTGAAATATTAAAACTGGGGAACTTAATGATACATGATTACTACATAAAATCCATCTCATCCTCGGCCTCAAAACGGCTTGGTTCTGTCACTTCTAATGTTCTATCACCACCTTTTCTGAGCCAGATCTATCAGCACTCAGCCCAAAGCATCAAATAGTAACTTAGAGTTAAGATGAAGACAGCGTGAAGCTTTAAAAACTTTTATAGAATGGAATTTGAGAAAAAAAGCCCTATATTATTACAAACCCAGTGTTTAGATCTCTACATTACCTTAAACTTATTTTTTTATTTGTGTATTTATTTACTTAAAAACTTGACGAGATATATTATTTATTTTTTTTACCTTTTATCTCCTCCTACTTACTCTCTGAAAGCTTCTACAAACACAGCTCTGAGTTTTTGACATACAGTTTAATGTTTGCATGTATGACCCCTGGGTGAATAGGGCCCCTGTCTCTCCACAGATCTGACTTGTACCTTGTTTGGGGAAGAGTCTGCCACCTGCTTGTATCTTTGCAGATATTATTTTTTCATTTCCATCATGATATAAAATGTTTCTCATCTGTGTCTCCATCATGGTGACTGCAGGTGGACTCTCTCTCTGAAGAACAGCGTCTCCTCTCAGAAGCTCTGTGCAGTCATGAAGCCTGCTGTCCCATCATGCACTGCTCCTTCAGTCTGCAGCAGGACAATTCAGCCTCACTGTCCCACTGAGGAGGGCACTTCAAACCAAACTCAATCTTCACTTGTAATATGTACAGTACAGACCAAAAGTTTGGACATACTTTCTCATTCAATGAGGTTCCTTTCTTTTCATGACTATTGACTGTAGATTCACACCCAGGCTGTGTAAGGACTGTTTGACCAATAAGGAGAGTGGTGGGTCCTGGGCCAGATGACCCGGCCTCCACAGTCACCGGACCTGAACCCAATCTAGATGGTTTTGGGATGAGCTGGACCACAGAGTGAAGGCGAAAGGGCCAACAAGTGCTAATCATCTCTGGGAACTCCTTCAAGACTGTTGAAGACCATTTCAGGTCACTACCTCTTGAAACTCATCAAAAGAATGCCAAGAGTGTGCGACGCAATAATCAGAGCTAAAGGTGCGACTTTGAAGAGCCTAGAATAAGACATATTTTCAGTTGTTTCATACTTTTTTTTTTTTGTGCATACATAATTCCACATGAGTTATTTCATAGTTTTGATGCCTTCAGTGTGAATCTACATTTTTCATAATCATGTAAATAAACTCTTTGAATGAGGTGTGTCCAAACTTTTGGTCTGTACTGTATATATGTAAATAATTTTTAATGAATGCTGAAATGAAATGTATGCATTCCATTTGGCTTGCTCTCATCTTTCAGATACGCTCTTTAGGAAGACTTATTTGTATGAACAAATATATGCTAGTTTGAGTTTATTGCATTTTACTTTGAATGGACTGTGTGCAATAAAGTCATTACAATTACAATCCACTTTTTTTGTCAGAATCTTACTGTCTGTTATGTCACATGTAGCTCCTAAACAAAGTACCAATGTGGGGAGTATTAGCTATTTTTGTACCGTCTTTCATTTCAACAAAAAATGTGGTAATACTTTTATAAAACAAAACAGATGGAGCCAAAACTAGCTAAATTCAAATACATAAATTGGCAACCTAGTTTGGGTTGCCATGGAGACTAATTGCTTGAAACTGATTAATTAATTCTGTCAACTTCAGACAATGTAAGAGCAGCTGAATAATGGATCACTTTTCACGTACAAAAGTAAATAAAAAAAAGGACAGTTCACTCTTTTTGAATTCACCAAATATATTTAGTGTAGGTCACAATCTCTTGATACAACCGCTCATCATAACATTACAAAATAATGTTTATTAAAATACTTCAAAACAAATCTCTGAACCAAGTACTTCTTATACATAATGGTTATGTGTGGGCAATAAGCCAACACATTCTTCAGAATTAATACAAAACTCATAAAATCAGTAAGATACATACAATTGACAAAAGCAGCTCTTTGTTCAATACAGAACTATGTTTCCCAGGATGCATTGGTCCACGGTTGTTTCCTTTAGTGACCAGGAATAATAGTCTTAGTTTGATGACCGCTGAGAATAACTATTTCTGAAGCTCTTGGGGCATGCTAAAAGTCTCATAAACGGTGGCTGCAAACTCCTTCACCTGGTCATTCAAAAGTAAATCCTACAAAGACAAAAAAGAATTCAAAAGGAGAAAAGACAAAACAATGGCATCTTTAGTAACCAGATTTCACCTGTACAAAGTGACTGGGTGTTTCGCTGCAGATAGTGTTGATTTGTCCGTTAATGATGGGAATGATCTTAGCCAGCGGCAAACTCACTCCAGACAAACTGTGGACAGAAGCAGCGCTTTACCAAACACTTAATTAGGAAGGTCTGTTCAGGGCAGGAAACCAATCTCTTTGTCATTCTTATAGAACACCTAATTTAGTAACAACAAATGGCATACTCAGAATTGTGAAGCTCTCAAAGCTGCTCCAATTCAAACCAATGGAATTTTTACCCTTTTCTCACTTTCACTAAGTGCTAAAACTGGTGAATATAACTTGAATATAAATGCAGCAATAACAGTTTGGTGAAAGGCTACCAAACGCGTACTGCTGCAAGTAAACAGTGTTGCTATGGTAACTAGCACTTGCCCTTCTCTGGTAGAAAACCAGGTTTACTCTGCTCAGAACCAGTCCAGGACCAGCACCTTGATAAAGGGCTTCAACTGTCTAAATGATTTCCATCCATCCAGCTTCATCCCCTTTATCCATTTCTGGGTCAGAGGGGATTGACAGAGCTGCCACCCAATTCACATACAGTGTTGGGAGTAATGTATTACAAAAGAAATGTAATTACTGTATTGTATTACTTTTTGCTGTAAGGTATTACAAATCAAAAACAGGCTAATATTTTACAGATGGACAGACTCCCATTATTAAGAGTTTGTTGGAGACAAATATGTGGAACATAATAGTTAAGTGCTCTTAAACCAAAAGCTCCATCAAGCAGCTCCATGTAGCATCATGAGCTACATTTAGTATGTGTACCTTTTTTTTTGAGAAAGTAACTTAAAAGTAATGCAGTAGTAGTGTAATGCATTACAATTCAAAGACAGTAATATTGTAGTGTAATACATTATTTTGAAATAACAGTAATATTTATTATTTATTGTTTATTTGGTTGGGACAGTACATGTTAATGAACACATCACTCCGGATTGTAGCCATGGGTAATTTGCATCAGTTGTCCCACATTCGCACTCACAAACACACACTCAATCATTCACCCTGAACTATTGCACATGTTTTTAGTGGTAGGGGAAACCGGAGTACCCGGAGAACACGGGGGAGATCATGCAAACTCCACTCAGAAAGGCCCTGTTCCGACCGGGATTCGAACACAGAACCTTCTTGCTTAGAGGCAAGAGTGCCATCCACTCAGCCTCCGTGTGAATAAGTAATACATAATGTATTATGTTTTTAAAGTAACTTGCCCAACACTGTTTACATAGCACCAGCCCCTCATTCATTACTCCGTCAGCAACAACACAGCCTTGGAGGCATCAGGCAAAGTGGGGTTAAGTGTCTTACTCAGGAACAAGACACTTCATGGATCTATTTTTGTTTATTTAATACCATCACAAGCCTTTTTAGCTGTGCATCTGGCTGTTCCTACACCCATGAGGAACTTATGAACATCCGACCCACCGTTCCCATGGACCTACTGCCTGTTTTCTTGGCATCTGCGGCTGATTTAGTTCATGTTCTAGCCAAAAAAGTGTGGGCCCGTAAAAGGGGAAAGCGCGGAGGCCTGCTTGTGCGTCTTATGAGGAGAGGAGCGCGCACGGCTCTCCCCGGCATTTTTCTCTCCAACGTACGCTCACTGGGCAATAAGATGGACGAACTCAGCCTGCTCATGAGAAGAAACAAGGACTTCGCCACATCCTATGTCCTCTGCTTCACTGAGACCTGGCTAAATGAGCGGATCCCGGACTGCGCTCTGGAGCTGCAGGGCTTTGGGCTGTTCCGCGCGGATCGCCATTGTGCGCTCTCAGGGAAGAGCAGAGGCGGTGGGCTGTGTTTCTACGTCAATACAAACTGGTGTAACGATGTGACAGTGATCTCCAAGCACTGCTCTCCTGCTCTGGAATATCTTTTCATTCATTGTAAACCATTTTACTCCCCTCGTGAAATTGTTTCATTCATTCTTGCCTCTGTTTACATACCGCCATGCGCGGACGCGCGCGAGGCTCAGCACGCACTCGCAGAGCAAGTATTGTGTATGGAACGTTTATACCCGGACTCTCTGATTATTATCCTGGGGGATTTTAATAAGGGAAACTTGAGCCAGGAATTACCCAAATACAGACAGTTTATCAAATGCCCAACCAGAGAGGAGAACACTCTGGATCACTGTTACACCACCGCACGGAGCTTTTCGCGCTGTTCCCAAGCCAGCCCTCGGCTTCAGATTCAGATTCATTTATTTCAGAAGGCTTCTCAGATCACTCCATGATACATCTGGTTCCTGCTTACAGACAGAGACTAAAGCTCTCGAAACCTGCAGTGAGGAGCTCCAAAGTGTGGTCTGATGAAGCTGTGGAAGAGCTGCGCGCATGCATGGAATCTACAGACTGGGACCTTTTCAGAGCTGCCACAGACAGTTTGGATGAATACACGGACACTGTGACGTCATACATCCACTTCTGCGAGGATAGCATCATTCCAACAAGGACCAGGGTCATCTATAACAACAACAAACCCTGGTTCACTGCTAAATTCCGGCAGCTCAGAAAAGCAAAGGAGTCTGCTTTCAGGGAGGGGGCTACAAAGCAGCTGTGAGATTTCATAACACTTTGAAGCAACTTTTGTTGAAGTTAAACTCATCATTCTATCAATGTGCAGAAGCCAGTACTTTTCCCTTGTTTTGTCTATCTGAAGGCCAAGCTACATGGCACTGTGGCAGCTGCTGATTGGAGGTCTCCATGCCTCCGCTCTGTATAATACACTTGCATTCTGTTGTTCGTGTTGTTCGTGCTGTCTCTACCATCGACAATAAAACATGTCTTCTGTCTGAATTTATGACACAATCCCAGACATGTCATCTTCTTCAGGTGGTGGAGGATGCGGGCCTTGTCTGTAACATCTAGAGAACAGAAGACTTTTTTTTTTTTTACACAATTTTTTTTTTTTTTTTTTTTCAGGCCAAAACTGAAAAACCTCAAGAGAATGCATCTTGATCAGCAATTGGACAATCTGCACAGCCCCTGATTCCAGTCAGACCTGCTGTGAGCTGCTGAGACATGGACAATACTATCGTCCTCTTTTGGATGGACATAATTTGGAACAATTGGATTACACAATTTGGACATGATTTGGAACAATTGGATATCTGAATTGGATTTCTGAATCTGGACACTAAAGCTGAAACGTGTGATTGAAATAACACGTTACAGAAGAATTCATGGCTCGACACAAATGCAGCCTGAAGAAACCAACACAGAGAAGTGGGAGAGACTGTTTTCAAAGCAATATCTGGAACCACCATCGACTGGTATTTAACTGAAGATTGTTGACAAGTTTTATGAAAGATCTGAAAATGTTTTATGAGTTTTCTGAGTTTTTGAAGTATTACGAGTTCTGAGTTTTCTGAAGTACCGAGTGAAGTACCGAGTTTAAGTATTGAGTCATGATGTTATGTTGCTGTTTATCAATCCTGATGGTCACATGAGAATGTGTGACCAGAGGGGGGAATGTGAGATTTCATAACACTTTGAAGCAACTTTTGTTAAAGTTAAACTCATCATTCTATCAATGTGCAGAAGCCAGTACTTTTCCCTTGTTTTGTCTATCTGAAGGCCAAGCTACATGGCACTGTGGCAGCTGCTGATTGGAGGTCTCCATGCCTCCGCTCTGTATAATACACTTGCATTCTGTTGTTCGTGTTGTTCGTGCTGTCTCTACCATCGACAATAAAACATGTCTTCTGTCTGAATTTATGACACGATCCCAGACATGTCATCCTCCTCACAGCTAAATATCAGTTCAGGAAAGAACTGAAAGCAGCCAAGTCCCGGCACAGAGAACGACTACAGGAGCAGTTTGGTAACAACGATACTGCTTCTGTCAAAGCCCCCCCCCCCTGTGCTGACGACCACAAGCTAGCTGACGAACTGAACTTATTTTTCAGTCGCTTTGATGCTGCCCCTGACACCTCCCCCACCCCCCACTACTCTAACGACCCACCCATCAGCCCTGCCCCCAGCCTGACAATAGCCTCAAAAGACATTAAACAACTCTTCTTGAGGCTGCACCCCCGCAAAGCTCCTGGACCGGACCACGTGTCTCCGGCCACTTTGAGACACTGCGCCAGTGAGCTTACTCCTGTGTTCACGGACATTTTCAACACCTCTCTGCAGTCCTGCCATGTCCCGGCCTGCTTCAAATCCTCCATCATTGTCCCCGTCCCGAAGAAGCCCAGGATCACAGGACTCAATGACTACAGACCTGTAGCACTTACGTCTGTCGTCATTTGTCATTTGTCATTTGACTTCAATCAGTCCATCTCAAGTCCCTCACCTCCCCCCTCCTGGACCCCCTGCAGTTCGCCTACAGAGCCAACAGATCTGTAGACGACGCCATTAACCTGGCCCTCCACCACATCCTACAGCACCTGGACTCCCCGGGGACCTACGCCAGGGTCCTGTTCGTGGACTTCAGCTCTGCCTTCAACACAATCCTGCCATCCCTGCTTCAGGACAAGCTCTCCCAGCTCAACGTGCCCGATTCCACCTGCAGGTGGATCACTGACTTCCTGACAGACAGGAAGCAGCGAGTGCGTCTGGGGAAGAATGTCTCGGACTCTCGGATTATAAATACAGGAGCCCCACAGGGCTGTGTTCTTTCTCCCCTGCTCTTCTCCCTGTACACCAACCACTGCACCTCCAGCCACGACTCCGTGAAGCTGATCAAGTTCGCGGACGACACCACCCTCATTGGACTCATCCCCAACAACGATGAGTCCGTCTACAGGAGGGAGGTGGACCGGCTGGTGTCCTGGTGCAGTGGTAACAACCTGGAGCTGAACGCCCAGAAGACAGTGGAGATGATTGTGGACTTCAGGAAGAGCACTGTCCCCCCGCCCCCACCCTCCGTGATGGACTCCCCCATCACCTCTGTGGAGTCCTTCCGTTTCCTGGGCACCACCATCACCCAGGACCTCAAGTGGGAGCCGACCATCAGCTCCCTCATCAAGAAGGCCCAGCAGAGGATGTACTTCCTGCGGCAGCTCAGGAAAGCCAAGCTGCCTGCACAGATGTTGGTGCAGTTCTACACGGCCATCATCGAGTCCATCCTCACCTCCTCCATCTCCGTGTGGTTTCGCTGGAGCCACAGTCAGGGACAAACAGAGACTACAGCGCATTGTGCGCCCTGCAGAGGAAGTGATCGGCCGCAGCCTTCCATCGCTGCAGGACCTGTACGTCGCCCGAGCTCGAGGCCGGGCTGGTCGTATCCCAGCCGACCCCTCTCACCCTGCACATGGACTATTCCAACCACTCCCCTCAGGCAGGAGACTGCGGTCCATCAGGACTAGAACCTCCCGCCACAAGAACAGTTTCTTCCCCTCTGCTGTTGGACTCTTGAACACTTCTTAACCTGTTCAAAGTCCCTTTATAAAGTCACTTTACTGCCCATCATACGTCACTTTACTTCACTGTACTGCTGTCACCTTACATTGTGCACCATGTGCACTTGTATATTGTAAATAGTAACTGTAACTCTATTTTAAATTTTAATGTATTCCTTAGAAGTGTTTTTTATTCTTTATTTTTGTATTATCTCTTTCTGACTGTTGCACTGAGCCAAAGCAATTTCCAAGTTTGTGACTTCCTGTTACTTACGTGGCAATAAAAATGATTCTGATTCTGATTCTGACCTGTAGATGTAAGATGTGCATACCTGTCAGGTGCCAAGCTGTGATCGGACTCCACAGATGGAGATCTGAAAAACGTGGCCAGGTTGTCGAGCAGACGAGAGAAACCTCGGTTCAGACAAGTGTGAAGAACCTTTGTGAAGTCTGGACTGAGGACACAAGGAAACATACAGGTGCATGTAAATAAGACTTTCACTTGTAAGAGTGCTTACGTGGGCCACTGTCCCGCACCTGTCCAACATATCTCTGGTCTCATTCAGCAGGCGAATTGTCAACACGTCATTTTCAGTCAAACCACAGGCCTGAAAACAATATAAAATACATTAAGTTATGTATTAAATCGATATGAAAGATCTGCACTGACTGGACTTTGAGCATAACCTGGTCTGCGAGTGCGTCCTGGTCGTCTGCTAACATGTACCAGGACAGAGGACGCTCAGAACCCTCCACCTCAGCCCTCATCCAACTGATCTGCTGCTCCAGCTCCAGCAGAGACAGGCTCTGCTTCAGGGACATACTGGGGAACAAGCAGGCACTCTTTTATGGTGTGATCCAACATACATGATCAATACAAATGAGTAATATTATCAATGTCATACCTTCCTAATGAGTTTTGCACAGCTTTCTTCACCACTGTCATAAGTTCTATCAAACCTGGGCAGAAACAAATAGGACTGAATGTAACAAACAAAGCAATAAGCTGCATGTCAACAATATTTGGGTTTACATGCAGCTTATTGTACTCATGCTTTTGGATGACCTCTCAGGGCCACGCGCTTCAACCTACAGAGCTAAAATTTGGATCACTACAATCTGATTCTAGTCTGAATGTAAAGGGATACAAATTACACTCCCACTTTAAACTCTGTAGCACCACCTACAGGAGGCCTCCGACTTAAACATTGTCAGTAACCTGGTGTACTTACCATCTCCTAATAAATGCTGGATGCTGGACAGATACTGCTGCTGAACATCTGGAGGAGCCATGGGAGCCTGAGAAGAACAAATGATTCCCACAAAAAACATGCATTAGTTATGGGTTTTTTGTGACAGCAAAGTGTTTATTGGGAATGCAACAATATGTAACTCTTGACAGGGTTTGAGGTCCAAAAAGGATAAAGTCACATACCGTAGTGTTTTTGTTAGCAGAGTTGTCAAGATACAAATATCCACCAATGATGTTGAGCTGGACTCGTAGCAGAACCACTAGCATACACGTGCTGTAAACACCAACTATTGTACGAGTAAAACCTGTAGAAAAACATTTGTTAGAACTTCCAGGGTCTACACTTAACAAAGTAATAAAGAGAGGAACGCACTAATTATCTTTAAGTCCGCCCAGATATCCAGCTTGTTATCTGGTCTGAAAATAGACGTCAAAATGTTAAGATGAAATACTAGACTATACTTAGTAAGAAAAATAAGTTGGAGTTGCGTGAAAAACCTTGAGAGGCAGTAACAGCAGATACATTACTCACTTGGTCTTGAGCAGTGCAGTCAGACTCTCGGAGTTGAGCTGAGCTATAATGGCTTCTTTTAAAGATGGAAGCATGGACAACACTGAGACAAGATTTTAAAGAAACATTCCCATTAGATTACATTTATGGATTACACACAATACATCATCATTAATGAATGATATTGAATAGATGGTACACTGGGTGTTTACCGGTCATGTTGCAGGTCCTCTGGTTGCTCTCAAAGTGGAACTGTCTTCGGGCCTGAGAGATGTATTCATTGGCCTCTCTTTCCTGAATATCCCTAATCTTTCTCTGTGCATATTTACCCAAAAAGTATACGCCTACATGAAAACAACAGAGAAAACATTAGCAGGATCTCGTCAAAATGAAATACTAAATATTATTTGTATTTTTACAAACATCATTGCAAAGTTATTGTTGCTAAAAATCAGTTATCAATTATTAATTTCAAGATATCAGTAAGATATCAGTAACAGGTTGAACAAATGCACCTTGTGCTCAACCTGTGAGAGATTACAGATACATCTTGTGCTAATAAGAAGCTTAGCTTCATCTTGTAATAGCACTGTCAGGAATATTCAGTATATTCATTACTATCAAAACATCACCAAATCCCACGCATACAACACAATTTTATAGAATTTAGCAAACTAGCTAATGCAGTGAATACTACAATGTTTCAAATATTTAGTAAATTATTATTTCCATACTATTTACTATTTAGCATGAATGTTGTCGTAGAACTGCTAAAAATATGCTAACGGGAAAATGCTAAACTTACCACCAACTAATGCGCCAGCGAAAATAAATTTTCTTTTGTGGCGTTTAATAAAGTTCCACGTTGATGAAAACATTCTCAAATAATTACAACAAAGCAAAGCCCAAAATAAAGTGAAAAAAATATGTGTCTATTTAGCAAACATGTTGACTTGTCACTTCAGGGCTAGCACGCTAGCAGTCAAGCTACACAGAACGACATTAGAAAACGGAAGTAAATAGAAAAGAAGCTGCCGACATAAAAGTTTTCCTGTTTGCTTACTTGTAGATTTAATTTATTTTGTAAAATAAAACATACATAGATATTATATGGTTGTTTTATGAACTATTATTTTTTCAAACATTATTGAATGACAATGACAAAGATCAAACATTTTTTATGTTGAGTTTATTTCTTTAATTACAGGATATGACACATGCTCAGTCTGACTAACTTTGCAAACAGTGGAGTGATGTGATTGGCCGGTTTTAGTTGGTGCGACCATTATTTTGTTCCCCCTGCTGCTCTGTACTGTCGCGTGGTGGCAAAATGAATAATGATAAACACGAGCCATACATCTGACTATTGCGATGGGACCAACAGGAGTTTGTGAAAATAGTTTTTATCCCAGTGATGCAGAGATACAGAAGTGGATGGACAAGGCTTTTGATATGGTAGGGAACCTGCAGCATTTAAAATTAATACAATTCGCAGGTCAAAACGTGTCATTTAATTCTTTAAGGAGCAGTAATACCATTTGAATGACTCAAAACATGGACACACTAAACATTTACAAGATACTTTTGTATGACAGGCCAAAGATGCTCTGGAAAATGGAGAGGTTCCTGTTGGTTGTCTTTTAGTGTACAACGATGACATAATTGGGAAAGGAAGAAATGAAGTTAACCAAACCAAAAATGTAAGTATTACTGTCCTGGTGTATCATTACAAAATCATGACGTTGTTTGTTCCTAGATGAAAGAAATGGCGATGACTCTACTTCTCCATTTCTTTCATTTATCCATTTTTACGACTCTTTTGCACGCTGCTTAGAATTGGATGTGCGCGTCAATCTCATTGTTTTTTGTTCCTAGGCCACTCGTCACGCAGAACTAGTGGCTCTGGATGAACTCAGAGACTGGTGTGAAGTCAGAAATGTGGAAGTGAAAACCGTGTGTGAGAGAACAGTGCTGTACGTCACAGTGGAGCCATGTATCATGTGTGCTGCTGCGTTGAGGCTCTTCAGTATCCTAGAAATAATCACACATACTCAAAGTAAATAATGCGCAATAACTACTATGTATGCCAGCCATTACTACATTCTGACACTTGTGACCAGATGTATTTAAAAGGTAACATAGTCAAATCGTGTGGGTATGGCTGGTCGTGCTATATTTATGATGCAACTAGACAGTAATCTGTAACAGTGTTTCTCCTTGACAGTGGAACAGATATCCCTGTGGTAGTTTATGGCTGTAACAACGACAGGTTTGGAGGTTGTGGTTCAGTTTTGGACATTTCTTCTGCAGATTTACCACAAACTGGAACCATGTTTAAGGTTTGTCTTTGTCAACTTCTTTTAGATGTACTATTAATGCTTCAGAGCTGTCTGTAGAAGCTCTGTAGTATATTTATTTAAGTATGCTTTATCTGAACATAAACCATAGTCATGAGTGAGCAAATACGTCTTTACCATTACCATATTTCAATAAATTGGCCACTATTGTACTGATGATTATCCTCTAATTCTATTGCCAATTAAACAAGTTGTGTTTAGTGTGTTGCTGGACACAGAGCTGAAGAAGCAGTGGAAATGTTGAAGACATTTTACAAACAGGAAAATCCAAATGGTGAGACCCAAAATATTATATTATTAAATCATATATATATATATGTTGTAATTGAACAATACTTTTACATTTTTGTTCCAGCTCCAAATCCCAAGACCAGAAAGCAGTAGATAAATTGTATGAAATATTTACTGTTGTAATTTTAAACCATAAAATAAATATGTTTTTTCTTTCAAATTCCAGCAGAGGGAAGTATTGTCTGCCTTAATTTATCCATTTTGTAACACATCTCCTGGTGTTTAAAGCCTCTCAAAACATTAATATGCATTCAAAATCCCAATTTGATTATCTATATACAGACGGTAAACAGAAGTCATAGCGTCATCCTGTACATGCAATTTCATGCCCTGTCAATGTACTTTTCCAGCTTATCTTGAGACATGAGAAAAGAGAAATGGCTAAATTGCTCTGCACAATTTTCTATTACTAAACTACTAATGAAGGTACTAAATATTTAATTATCAAGCCCTCTCGTCCCTACCTTGTACCATAACACTGCATAGTTATTTTAAGCCGGCACAGTAAATAGGCAATCATTACACGCGTACAACCTCTGTTAACATTTTGACTGCTCTGTTCAATACACCAGATCAACCTGTCGTAAGCTGCCTCCTTCCCCTCGTTATTATGCAGATTTATGCAAATGCACCCAGAGAAAGTGTTTAGAAGTGTCACTGTGGAGCGGACGTGTTTGTGAAGCCGCTAACGAACCACAGAACAGCAGGTTTTAGAGCCACACCTGGAGAAGGCTTACAGAAAGAAATAGATTTTGTTCGTATATCGTCCTCTTTCAAGCAACCACTTATAGGATATGCAGAGGAATGAGGCTACTATTCAAACCAAGGGGACGCTTAGACTGTCTTTAAAACATATGAATTGAAGGCATTAAATTTATTTAGTCTAGTTTAGTAATTGTACAATTGCTTGCTGTGTAAAGTTGTAAATAATAACTTGTTTCTGTGAGTCTTTTCAGACTTATTGTTTCAAGTTAAAACCATAGATCAATGTAATTCATTTCACTGCCCAGCCCCTTGGAGTGATCTAAAAGTAAAGGAAATCATGAATCATTTTTCAAACTTTCTTTATTAACATGTTTTTGTGAGGCTCACAACTGTAACTCATCCATAAATCAGTTTCTTAACATGGACTGTTCCCTTTTGTTTGTTCCTATTTCCAGCAAATGCATATCACAGTATAAGAATTTCATATATTAATATTAATATTAAAACATTTCAACTTCTCAACAACATATCAGCTTAAAAACAGAAATCCTCAGTCACCTGAATAGTAGCTTATAAACAGTATGTACACTAATAATGACACTGTTGTTATCCCTATGGGAATACATTTCAAAGCATTTCAGCAGAAGGTCGCTTGGTTTATGTTCTTGTGCTGTCCAGGCAGGCTTGTCAGAATTTGTCCTCAAGGAAGTCCATCGAAGCAGAGATAAGGTTGAAGGTGAAAGTCACTCGCCTTTAACTTTAGCTGTAAGAGATGAATTAACATAGTTTAATAGGTGGGCTTCATGGATCTATAATAATATCTGGATAAGGTATTACTAGTTTAGAGCTGTCCCACCCATGGGCACAGGGGGTGCCCATGGTAATGCAGACTAAATTCAAGCGGGCTACCCAGAAGAATGTCCCATAGAACTCAATGTAAACTAAAACAGCTCAGCATCAGCTGACAGAGAACCTGCAGCTTTCATAATGATAGGATTTTGTGGGGATTTTAGTGTCCCTTGTCACCCTGAACTTTTTTCCTTGTAATACCTTGTCCTTTTTATAAATCTACACTTTAATGCAACAAACTGCTCATTTTGGTCCTGCTCTGATAACCAGCAGCTGATTGGTCAGTACGCAGCTGAGCCCCTCTGTGGACATGCATGAGGGCCACACACACCCATTTACCCCAAAGCATCATGGGAGCTCGTCCACTGCACAGAACCGGGATGACCAGACGATGCCCAAATATGGGCGAGTTCCGCTAATATTTCGGTCCCCATGATGTCCCATGCACTACTGAGCACAAGCTATTGATTTGAATAGGGCGCCATCTTGGATCACCAGGGCTTGGTGGTCTTTCTGGACAAATGTTAGCCTAAGAGCGCTTACAGAGTACAATACTAAAAATGTATACTGCCCTGTAAAGGCTGTATATCAAAAGCTATAAATTCTCACACAAACATTAATACTACTATTTCTAGGTCAAGTTTGTTTTATATTTCCTATCAGTTAGAGTAGAGTAATAGACTTTTTATGCTGCCGTTTTTCCCAGGTGGAGCCCAAATGTCAACTTGACCTGCTCTAGTCCTGGAGTCTCAGTGAAGAACCAATTTTGATGCACTAGTTTTGAATGCAGTCAAACTCTCTATGCTTATCGGTAAAGCTGATTTTTATGGTCCCAAATGAAAGTATTGATTTAAATAAGACCACAAAATGCTGTCTCTATCTTATTAAAAGGCATTTATCTTTTTCATACTTAGATAATAGATCCTTGTGGGTTAGGGGCCCAAAAAATACCTGTATGTTGAGGCCAAAATACACCTGTATGTGTATTGAGAGCTTGTTAGATAGATTTGATTACATACTTCCAATTTTAGTGGTTCAAAAAAAAGGCGTCTAACCTGTGCTGCGGGAGGTGTGCTGGTCCCAGATATAACTGTTGAGAATCTCTCCAAAAACGTAGAAAACCCCGATGAGACTGCAGAGGCCGCTGAAGAAGGCCAATCGAGCCATGGGGCCAATCTTCTCCAGGACCGGGTACACCCACACGCCGGTCACATTATGCACCCAGCACGTCCTGATGGGTCAAAGTAACACACTTTTATTGTACCACTCATAACCAAGGGCGATGGTTTTGAGATCTTTTTTCTTTTTATGACTATGGGTTTGGCATATTTTCAGTAAGGTAGGCTCCTTTTGTGGCACCGGAACCTGCCACAGCTGATCAGTGGCATGTACACAACAATTGGCGTTTTAAATCGGCATGTTGGCTACAAATGGCGTTTTAGACGTTTTAGAGGTATTTGGATGAATTAAAAACATAATATATCTTCTGATTATTAAAATCTAATTTTTGGCCTTCTTTTGGCGTGTGGTGCAGTGGCTCTGTTGGCAGAGCATTGGTCTTTGGGCCCAAAGGTTGTGGGTTCAATCCTTCCATGAGACCTACTTCATTGTCTGCTGCCGTTAATATTTAATCTAAAATGGTTGGAAGACACAATTAATTAAGTAAACCATTAATAACATCTAACATGGCCTGGTTTGAAACTATATCAAAACATTTGAACCACAGCCACAATACAAGTTACGTGGCACACTTGGTAAGCACCAGACTTAGATGCGACAGATCATTTGAATTCCTGGTAAATAAAGGGTTTTTAAGCAAGGGTTTTTTTGAGTAACAAGATTACAGAGAATTAGGCAAAAAGAGCATTTATAAATAATCATGTGGTATCAAAATTGTTATTTCATATTTCTCTCCAAACAAAACAAAGTGTGAAATTTAGTATTGTGCAAAACACTACTTTGGGTATTAAAATAAATTATCCATTCGTCTCGGAGGACTACAATACAATACAAAATACGGCAATAAAACGAACACATACATACATTGGAGCCATTTGTCTGTAGAATAGCAATTCATTCAAATCAATTACTTGTTACTAGGGGCGGGTGATATACATTGTAGACGATAATATAACAAGTCAATAAAACAATTTTTTTTAAATTTGTTTAAAAAATATTATTATCATTATATATTTTTTCAACTTATCTCCAAAACATTACAATTAGAGCTGGCAAGATGCCCATCACTGCTTTATTAGTACATTTCAGTAAATATTGAGCAAGCCTTTTTGGATGTGTTCTTTCCGTGTTACTTGAATTTGATTTTTTTATGTCAATATATGTTTTTGCATGTTTTGCAAAGATGTGTGAAGCACTTTACAAATAAAAATCTGCTATTTTTATCTACACTGCCTCTATCTATAGATGCCCTGGCAAGCAAAACATTTCAGGTCATTTTGTGTAAAAATTAAAAATATTTTAAAGATATTGTGAAAAATCTCGTATCGGGAGATGGGAAAAAATATCGAGATATTTATTTTTGCCCATATCGCCCACCCCTACTTGTTACAACTTCAACCATGTGAGGAGACAAAACTGACCAGAGAATGTAGCCCACTCCGAAGGTGAAGACAGCCGCCAGACCCCACGGCCTGCTGGGATATTTGTGGTGGGTGGTCCTCATCTCGATAATGATGAACGGCAGAACTGTAGTGTGCTGGAAAACAAACATGTATTAATACTTCCAAGGAATGTGGCGTGTGTGTCTGCAGGGGGCGCTGTTGTGCAGGGAGGGAGGGAGGGAGGGCAGCTTTACCTGGATTGCCCCGAGCTCACAGCTGCAGCTCTGAGGTGCCATCAGACACTCCACACGCTTACATTTCAAAGAGGCATAATTATTACTGACTAATCCCGTTTCGTTTGGGGGGAAAAGAGAGGGAACGTACAAAGGAACGAGTTATGGTTAAAGTTATAGTTCAACAAATCAGTGGATGAAGGGAGAAGTTTGTGTCTCAACGCTTGTGATAAAAATTGTTGAGCCTCGGGAAATTAGGATATCCTCCAAAGGTTCATTTGTATTTCTAAAAATTAACTTAGAATGTGAAAATACATGATATACTCAATACATACAACATGAAATATGCCAAGCCTTGGTTTGTCATAATTTTGATGATTCGATCGTGCTTCTTTTCTGTACATTAAAATGCCTTGATGGTCTGACAATACCTTTGGCAACAACATCATACAGTACAATGTAAACTAATGAAAATCCTAACATGGAAAGAACCTGATGGAGACTTCTGAAGTAAGTTGAATAGTGTCAATGATGAATGATGAGTCCTTTACTGTCTGGACATGTTTTATATGAAAAAATAAAGAAAAATCTAAATCTGCACAGCCATGTAGCTCACAAGTGTCTTTAATTTACAGACCATGATAGTGACGTCTCGAGCCAAGACCCTTCACCACTTGGGAGCAACATAGCTGTGCAGATTTGTCTTTATTTTTTTCATATTGTGCACCTTTTTTTCAATCAAGGATGCTATTTCAGGCTCCTGGGATGTGCAGCCTTATTTGAAGCTACTGGTTATGTTTTATCTAAAATGTATGTGACTTTATGTATAGTTGTGTTTTGGGTCAGGGTGATAACAAACTAATTTATGAACTACTAAATGAAAAGGAAAAAGAGGAGACTTTGAATGTTTCTTATACTGTGTCATTTCACAAAGACCGGTCTGAGGATTTCTGAACCGTGAACCTCCATAGACTGTAATGAGAAAACAAGAATATGATTACATCTTGCTCTGGTCTATTCCCACCGAGCTTGTGATTACTGTACAAATTGCAAGTCGTCCCACTGCTGGGGATGGCCAATTTACCCATGTGGAAATATTTTCTACAAGTTTCATAGGACTTTCTTGAAATGTATATATTACACATATGGCGATTAAACAACATGCAAATTCCATAGAAAGATTGTATACTCCAAATTATACTTGGAAAACCATGTTTAAACATAACAAAAATTATGTAAGATGTATTTGAATTTCATTGATGATGCTTTGACAGTCAAATCCATCACAAAGTTCATAGTAATATTTTATATGATTTTTTTTTTAATTGAGTAAGATTTGTTTGCATTTTATAACTAACACTAAAATATACACATTTTAACTTTAGTTTCTATTGTTATACAGAAGACAGGCCTAAAGTATGTGATATGTGATAAAAAATGTAAGGGGCGACAGCGGCTCGTGTATGTATTGAATATTCTCTGCTGTTCTCAATTCTACAAATTGCATTAACGTCTTGATATAAAAGATACGTACTGCAAATACAACAAAAGGTAGACGTACCATAAGTAAGTAAGAACAGCTATTACACACTTATTACTCCATTACGGTTATTATGGTATAATAAAGAGAAAATACACACATCATCCATATATGTATGACATACAGATTTTATATTGATTATATATTGTAAAAATTAAAATTATACAAAGACTGTATACAATTTTTATAATAACAACATAAAACACTCTTTTTTTGCCATATATGAAATATGTGCATCATACAAAAGTCATACCATGTGATGTGACATTTTTATATATTCTATGTGCAACTTTTTCATATGGGTAATTCCACCCTGTACAAAGCCAGTCAAGCAGATCAATACAAGACATGTTCAAACAATAACTGAACAAAAACTATCAAGTCATGCATTACATATGAAAAAAACTGTGTCGATGTAAGTTTGAGGTTTAGCAAATTGGGAGGTGTCCAAAGGTTACATATGTTCACCAACAGTATGTTTTGTTTTGAAGACTTGGTAACAGCGAAGGTGTGGTGTTCAGATCTAAATGTGCACCAAAGGAAACGGGAACCTGCGCTGGACAAAATGCAAAGGAGACTGGATAGCAAAACTATGCAACATGTTTGAAATGAAAAGGTTTTAAATGCATATCATTCAGGAAAACAATCTCCTGACTTATCCTTGGACCTCTCACACTGACCACTGCAGCATATGAATGTACCACAAGAGATGAAGTTACGCTGACCTCATTGTCTGGTCATCCCAACAGATCCACGCCAAAATGCAGAAAAGCCAAAAATGCCAATAAGACATTTTGAATATTCAACCTTTTATTCATACTTTTCAAACAAAAAAGCGAAGGTGATTTTAGTTTTTTTGCAGATGAGTCTTTGTCCAAGAAAATGTAAGGAAAGAAATGCAAAATGTTGTCTTTAAAGTGAATTTAGAAGCACATGAAACATTCTAGGGCTGTTTCATTGGAGTTTTCATTCAACAACTAGCTGGCTTAAGCCTTAACCTGCTGAGCTGAAAAGTGAGTCATAAGTAAATTGTGTTGTGATTCCGGCAGCAACTCACAGCTGTTTTAAAAGTTGAATAGTTGACTTGTCAAACTATATGTTTTGCACAGACTTTTTGAACCATGACAACTGACAGTTCAGTACGCCAGTTAATAATGAGTTGACACAAATTGGATTGAGATTAATTTAGTCAGTTGATGAGTTACACTTAGTCGATTTATAATTGCAGCCCTTCTTCTAATAGAAAATTCATTGTGCATAACTTAGTTAAGTTCAACTTTATTATTTCCGAAGAGGATATTTGTCCCCTGCATTTGATCCATTCTGACCAGTGGGGGCGGGTCCCGGCTCAAAAGGGGCCACATTGACGTGCGCTGACATGCTTGCAATACCACCCCAGGCCGATGGGGGTGGACCCGGACTAAGAATTAGCCAATGCTAACATATAGCATCTTCTTTCCTCTCGAAAACACCTTTACAGGATGGTCCAAAAGTTGGCTCTTGGCCCAAAGCTCCGTTCTACATGTGTGTCAATTGTACAATTGTACATGTTTTAGGGGTAGGAGAAACCGGACTAACACCAGAACACCTGGAGTAAGTCAACACAGACACAGGAAGAAAATGCAAACTCCACTCAGACCGGAATTGGAACCCAGGACCTTCTTGCTGAGAAGCAAGCGTGCTAACCACTCAGACACCCATATTGTACTTATGGGTGATGAGAACATTGTGGATGAGACGCACATGTATTGCATCATGGAGGCCAAATACACACATTACTTGATTGGGAAGTTGACCTGTTGACCATGCTCAGTGCTGTCTGTTCTGTAAGGCAGTAATTGACTTAAACTATTTCACTCTTTCATTACTGAAGTGATTGTGCCAGGACTTTATGCTTTGCACGGAACAATTATAATCTTTATTCATGTTGACAGAGGCTGAAGCCTCCTTTTCATTCTGTAAAATCCACGGCTCGCTGGCTGCTCTGACTCCATTGTTTCAGGCACATTTTTCAGTCGTCCCTCGGCCTTGCCCTCGCCACGTTTCCATGGTGCAGGATTTAAACAAAACAACAGTCATTTCCATGGAATACAGATAAATATTGACAACAGCTCGTGCACAAGGCCCTCTGCAGCTCTCCGTCTGCGTACACTTGGATAAAGACCCTGCAAATGCCTGAGCGCAGATTAGCACGAGAAGATGGAGGCGATGGGAGGTGAACCCGGCATGATGATGATGATGTTGTTGTTTTGGTTGTTAGCGCAGTAGTAGCCGCTAGCAACAGTCGTGGCATGACATCATTGTGCTGCGCGCCCTTTACAGCAAAGAGGCTCGCCGACTTTGATGAGTGTAGTGTTAATGGGGTGAGCACAGCAGTGATAAGACGCTGGCATGTGAAGGCAGGTGTGCCACTCTGATTACACGGTTAGAGATACGTTCTACAAACAAGACTGTTTGATTACACAAATTGTTGTCATTATTTGTAACTACAGAGAACTCTGTTACATGCTTTAAAGTATGCGTTTGCAACCTCGATTTTTGGAGAGAGCTTTAAGCCCTAATAAACTGACATGGTCACATCATTTTAGGGTTCTACGACAAATAATTGCAACACCATATTCATTCTTACTCTGGTGTCACTCACTATTTTGGGCTTAAAGTCCATTAACAGAGGCTTGTCCACCATTAGGTGGATTCACAAGTTCACTGCACGCCAAAGCACCATGCACCTGTGCACACTGGACTGAGTGGCACAGTTTTCAATCAAAATATATAGACTACAGTAGCATTACAATATGTTATTGTCTTTGATGACTAGGTCTGCACTACATGCCTACAGGACGGGAGCAGCAGCTCCTCCTCAAAGCGCACACTTGCAAAGCCACACCTCTACTCCTGCAAGCCACGCGCGGACTTCGGACAGACCAATTTGAATGCTGAAATCATCCCGACAGCTGCCAACACAACACGCAGAGTCCCAACTACTTCCAGTGTGTCAGAACACGGCAAACCAATACTGTATATATCCAACTCTCTCTAACAACCCAAACCGTTGGACCAGAGGGTTGATGTATCTTGGCCTTAAAAAGCTTTATCAACATATGCTACTAATTACTTGTAGAAGAATACAAAGTATTTTTATTTATGATTTGCAAAATAATTTGATTGTTAAAGTTATCGACGATCATATCAGTGATCAGTCTCAGCCAGATCTGAACATCTTGTTTTGACGCAATTCAAAAGGAAAAAATAACGTAACGCATCATTCAGCGAGAGATCATAGCGGAAAAAGATAATTTAGCGTAAGTATGTAGGTAAACAATAATAAAACAGTTCAGGACCTGTTGTTATTTGTTGAAAGAAAGTTGAACAAAGAACTTTTGCATGCTTCACAAACTATAATAGCTTTATCCGACCACATAATATACTGTGGCATCTGTCTGTGAGCCACTGTCAAAACAGAGATTAGTCTTACATCCTGCGCCTGAACAATCACAGCATCTATTCAAATGTAGATGAATAATGATCTCCTGAAGGACGAAGAGCTCTCTCACACCTACATATAAAGTGGAAATGATAGAAGAACTCACCATGCCGTGGTTGAGCCACTGTGGGATGAAGTTGTCCAGGAGTTTGGGGTAGACTAGCTCCCGGTCATACAGGTACAGAGACCAGAACGTGAAGACAACAAACTACGAGCGAGAGAAAATATTGAATTCATTAAAATTAAGATGTATGTGTCTAAATCTATTCACATTAAAGTCAGTTTTTTTCACTTGTGTTTAGGAGCCACAATGAAGGTTCCAGAACTAAACTGAGTTGGGACGTTATAGTATCCACACTTTCTTGTGTATTTAAGAAACAAAGACTAAGGGATACATCAATTATCATAACATATTGTAGGTTTCACTATAAAAAATCATCTGTAGTGAAAATAGTGTGTTCTGTAGAGGAGTTAAAATCATAATACAATAGTGATGTATCCAATATTACTAAACTAAGGCCTTAAACCATAACTGAGATTTCTTAAATGACACAACAAAGTAAAATATATTCTTAAGGTTTAAGTTTACGTTAATCATATTTTTTACTATGAAGTTAATTTTATTTGAGTGCCATAACAACTATATTTCACATTCTTCTGTGACAATAAAACAAAGTGCACACCATTTTCAAACCTGGTGCAATGCTAACTAGTGAGTGGAAGTGGAAGTGATGGACAAGAAAGAAGAAACAAATTAAACATTTTGGCTTATCCATTCTGGGGTTTCAACTCTCATTACTGATATTGGCTCTCTTTATATCAACACTATAACAAATTGTGTATAAGTAGTGAGATATAAATTTGAAATCCTGAAAGCCATTATACCATATGCTCATGCATAGCAAAGAACGTGGATGATGTATCGATAACTACAGTCACTTAGACTTGTTCTTTCTTATCAGCTGGGGAAAGTAGGATTCCCGACATCTTTGTATCCATTGTGCAGTGTGTAAACTGAACTGCAGCGTGCTCTACCAGCTCAGAGCGACCTCTATAGCCGCCTATAGGCCCCTGTACGATGCTCAGGTTTCTCGGAGCGTGTGTCTGAACCAGAACAGCAGCTTTGGGTAACTGCCAACGGAGCTATTCTGTGTTATAGAGGCTTATTGAGGTTAGCGCTGTGGCTAAAGTCAGGCTAAAGCATGTGACCAGAGTGTGCCAGGGCAGACAGGGGTCACTGTCTCATTGAATCCTACACCACTCTACTGGCTTCACTGTCTGATTAAAATGAATGCCAGAGATATCCAGCACTAAGTATAGGACTAAGAGCTTTAGTTTTTAATACTACAAAATAGCATTGCTTTAATGTTACATATACCCGTAACACTGATTGAGAAACTGTGATTGGATATAGTATCATTACAGATTATTTCAAACCAATTCTTTAAATAACACATTATTTGAAACCAGCAAGTCTTCTTTGCTTATCAGTTCTGACTGCTGCAACTACTTATAAAACATCCCATGTGTAACTGATTACATTTTCATACTAACGTACCCAACACTGAATCCCAGGATGCAATACTAGTGTCAGCATCAATCTCTCAAAAACTACTAAAGTGGAATTTTGTGAAATTGCTGTAGTAACTGTATTAGGCTGTCTATCAGGATAATGGGGCTCACCACTCCAACAGGGAATGCCAGCACGGCCATGATCCAGTCCCGGAGCGAGATGAGCTTCCTCAGCTGCCTCTCCTGCTCCCTGCTCTCCCCGGCTCTGGTCAGGAGGCTGGAGATGTCAATGAGGACGCAGAGGGCGAAGAACACAGCCTGGATCACCTGAATCCACAAACACTGTTGTCAGATTGCCGAAACATGACAGATGAATGGGACAACAACCGGTATTAAAAAGGTAAAATACAGCAATATCAATACAGGATGGACTTCTAACCCTATTTATAGAGAACAGTTGAAGTTGTAGAGGACGTAGCAAAGGAGGAATATTGTATGTGTGTTCTATTGTTCTACAAATCTACAAAATACGGTCATACCATGGTATAATTGGAACTTCTACAATCCTAAAACTGATGCTGTTTCCTCCTGGTTACTGCTTTAAACCAATGGGAGCTGGTTCCCAAAATAAAAAAGTTGTCTTATTAAACTGATTATGTAGTGTGATTTGAATGCTGTGGTGAGCTTCCATGACATTGTTGTCACTATTTTGAATGACCAATCAGTGTTTCCCACACATAGACTAATCTGTGGCGCACCGCCACAGATTAGAAACCGCCCGCCACAAATTGCGTTTCGTATTATTATATATATATTTTTTTTGTTACGCTATTTAAAACATGCATCGTCTAGTGCCGCCGCAGCGGTCAATTTGACAGCGGGGAGGGGGGTTTAAAATGTGGCGGCCCTTCGTAACTCTCACTCAAGCTACGCGTCTCTCCCACATACAGAGACCTACACACACACAGCCCCTCCCCTTCGTGCACACCGCGTGTCTCCGTCTCCATCAGCGATCATCGCTGTAAGCAGCTGTGTCTATTAATTTACCGCGGTAAAGTGGCCCGCATCTTTCAGCTCTATGAACATGCGGCCCGCATCGGGGAAAAGACGGTGCGCGTTTTGTTGAGAACTTACGGTAACAGCGGAACGTCCTTTCGGAGTCACCCTTTTTTATCGAACAGAAAGCGCGCTGGGGTCAGGGAGACACGTTTTTGTGATTAAAACCTTATAGAGGGATCCTACGGTCACGTGACTAGCAGCCACGGCAGCCATACTGGAGGACAACCTCGGCGAGTAACAGCCCTGCTAGCTATCTATAACTGGACGTTCAAAACTAGAACTCTCTCGAACTACATGAAAACTGAACAGAGAATTTGAAACTTCTGCAGTTAGTGACCCAAATATATACTCAACCTAAATTCATGAATCAGATCCTCTGAAAATGCGTCATACAATGTATTATTAATGTTTATCGTTACATCCAGGTTTACCGCGGTCGCATATTGTCGCATTAAAACAGTGTTTTTTCATGAAAACGTGAACAGAAAATTCTGAAAACCTCTGTGCACGTGTATTAAGAATGTATATGTATAATGTATTCTCCGATTAACATTTAATGTGTTTATTGTTACACCATTGATCTATGTGTGGCTACACTGCAGTGGAAATAATGAGATTACATTCAAATCAATGGAGCTTTCTGCGTCTACTGTGAGGAGCCGTATATTTTATTAATAAATACTAGTACGGGGCACCCTCGAGCACGGCTCAGTCGTTCACATGTCTGCTGGCCTTCGGTAAGTCAGACACCTGTGAACCGGGTGAGGTCCTGTGTGAGACCAAATATATAACAGCTATGCTACAAGCTAAGCTACAGTCTATGGAGCAACCCCACGTTGCAGTCAGACAGATATGTTTTATCCTTAAACTTCTGTTTGTTTCGGAATAACACTAAATCCGCCATCAAATTGATTTTACTTAGCAGAAATGAAATGATCCGAGCATATTCGGGCGCTCTGGGGGCTATTAGTTTTTTGTTGTTGCGTATGGTTGTGCCATTTCTCTCTCGTTTCTTTGAGATGTCTTCTGTTTTTGAGCCGTGTGAAGTAAGGACGGCTGGCAGTCGGTAACACAACTTATTTTCCCTGTCTCTCCTTTTGCTGCAGCCAAAAACGGCAAAAATGTTGAACATGTTTATGCGGTCCCGGGTGCACGCCACTATCATACAGCGTTTGCTTGTCCTCCAGTATGGCGGATGCCCCGCGAGGTCGAGGCATCGTGACGTCACGTGAGATATCTCTATTGAGATGCCACCCGGCACACATAGCACCAGCCCCCTACGATTCCTCCGGCAGATTGTGAGTCCTCAGGAGGATAGCCACTCTATTGTTTACATGTATAAAGTACACAATTTGGTCCGCTAGTGCAATTTTCAAGTATTGTAACTATTTACTGGAATAAGGTGTGCGACTAATTTCACTTGACTCATGACCTTATTATTGCCCTCTGCCACTGTACCAAAGACCAGAAACTTTTACTGTAGAAATATTGAGAAATATTGAGGTAAAGTAGCCATTTTGGTCCAAAATACCTCCAAAATAGTCAAAACATGTCACTTTTGATCTACTGTAACTTTTTACTGTAAAAAGGTGTGCGACTAATTTCACTGGATTCATGACCTCAAGATTGTCCTCTACCACTGTACCAAAGACCAGACACTTTTACTGTAGAAATATTGATTTAAAGTAGCCATTTTGGTCCAAAATAGCCTAAAAATGGTCAAAACATGTCACATTTGATCTACTGTAACTTTTCACTGTAAAAAGGTGTGCAACTGATTTCACTGGATTCATGACCTCAACATTGCCTTCTACCACTGTACCAAAGACCAGACACTTTTACTGTAGAAATATTGAGAAATATTGAGGTAAAGTAGCCATTTTGGTCCAAAATACCTCCAAAATAGTCAAAACATGTCACTTTTGATCTACTGTAACTTATTACTGTAAAAAGGTGTGCGACTAATTTCACTGGATTCATGACCTCAAGATTGTCCTCTACCACTGTACCACTGTACCCCCCCCCCCCCCCCCCCCCCCCCCCCCCCCGCCCCGCCCCGCCCCGCCCCGCCGACGACCACCACACATTGCCTTCAAACCTGTGGGAAACACTGCCAATGACAATTTTACATTGGAATTTTGTGAGCACAACTTACTATGGACCCAGATATGGTCTCATTGTGGCCACCACATTCAACATTGGTGAATAATTAATTATTTGGTGACCAAGTCCTCCAGTTCCTCATATTTGACACACTAGTAGAGGTCATAGACGGTAGCTGTCTGTTAAGTATATTTTATTAAGTTAAACAAAAAGCCACTCCCTCCTTACTGTATGTGTGTCATAAAACTCTGGAGTCAATAGAGATCCAGCGCTGCTACTATGAGACGGATCAAGATCAGCCAAACTTCATTTAAAAAAATTATAAAGTTAAAGAATATAAACGGGCATGACGCAGACTTTTATAAATACCTAGAACCTTGTGACCTCACCCAGGCAGCTCTAAGAAGTTAATTAGAACCTGAAATTGAAAATGAGTGATATTCTGCTGCCTGCCAAGGCAGGAGAAGGCTACAAAAAGAAAAAGCATTTTAAGGTAATTTCTCAGAATTCAATTCCATTCAATTCCAATTCAATGTACTTTTGTATAGCCCTAAAACACAACAGAGGTAATCTCTGAGGACTTCACAAAATGTTTGATTCACCTATAACAGATCAAAGAAACAGTTTGAACATGGGAAATGCAATAATAACAATAGGGTCCAAACGGAGCAGGATGCAAATGTGCATAAATGTTAATACAATTTAAGATAAATAAGGACACGTTCACACTTGTTGGTATGGTTCAACTGGACCAACTCTGGTTCACTTAGGGCAAAAATGCTATATATTTGTGAATGCAAAACCACCAAACTCAAGAACATGTGTCCACTAGCCTAGTTTACATATTTTGAACCAGACTTGGTCCAGTTAAAGTAACAAGAATAACTTGTATGTTTGAAAGAAACATACAAGTTGTCTGCAGATCCCTCCAGGCCGTACTGGCAGACCCTGGAGTTGTGGCGCACTGTTCAACTATTATTCATGCATTATAAAAACATCTAAAAACCTAAATTTATTCAACTTTTGGGATAAGCACATAATGTAAATTAGGTATAAACCTTACATGGAGAAGTGTATAATGTGCTTGGAGATAACCAGCCCTAACCTGTTCCACGCTGCCTTCAGGGACCGCAGATGTTGCATTGGTGCATTTAAGGGCTTCTGGTCTGGGTCCTTAACAGCACAGTTAAACAAGGAACTGCTTTAATGTGGAAAATATGACACAGCATTTTCTCAGGGAGTACTTTAATAATCTTTACCAGTGAGATCAGCCAGAGCCTTTACTATGAACCCAAGATGGAAAACTTACTAGTACAAGACCAACTAGAACTACAACTTGTTATCATCATTACTATAAAGGAACAATATGTCCAGTAAAATATTATTTTGGTAGTTCAAAAGTCTGTTTTTCCATCAGCTACTCAAACAGCACTTTGTGTTAAATAGTGATTATTGTAGTATGAATGTGAATTCAATATTCAAATTAATACAGATTGATCAACAATCACATCAATTACAAATGTGTGAAACGGTTTTAAAAAACAAATCTTCTGTCAAACACAATTATACTCTATTCCATATGTAAATAAAGTCAGTGTCTTGCATAAATAGTTGAATAAGGGTTTGAATAAGGAGGGATGTTTTCGGTACAATTACTGCAATGGAAAACCAAATGGCTGGAGGACAGACATTCACTGTGGACAAATTGTTTGGAGTTTGAATGGTGGCTCTGTTCCCTGGGAACATCCTTCAATTTTAACAGCTCATTACTGAATTAGGGTCAAGATTTCATTTCACTTTATAGAGTCCATAAAAAAACTATATAACAAAGGCACTATGGGAAATATATTAACTAAACAAGCACACACTTGTTTTAGAAGTTCAAATTGTGTCACGGTCAACATTTTAAAAATCCTGTTTGGATTAGCTACTATTGTAAATAAATACATACTAATACAACTAAAATAAAACATGCAAACTACTTCAAAAGACCCAAGATATTGTTCACAAATCTTCATAAATCTGTTACAGTGGGGACTTATTCAATAATGAGACACAATTAATACCATCTCAGAGGTGTGCATATCAAGATGCTGATTAGACAGCATAAATACTGCACAAGTGCCTTAGGCTGGTCACAAAAAACATTTTACATTTGGGCCAAATAAGTTGGGGCCAAATAAGTCCAACGCCTTTTCAAACAGTGTATTTTTCTGTATTGTTGTATTTGGTTTGTTTTTTGTACACACATTTGAAATACATATTAGATTTTGGTTTTTATTATTTTTAACTAAAAATGCAAGTTTATTGTCCATTAAGAACTTTTATAAATAACTGCTGTGCTATCCAAATTGGTATTGAGTATCCAGTAAATTTAGTATTGTGACAACAGGTATGATTCAGTATTTCAGCACAGTAACGGGAACAATAGTCTCGTTTGACTTTGACAGCACCATTGTCACTGATTTACTTGTTACTAACGTGAACGCGAAGCTCGTGCCCGCGGTGCCCGTATCAAATGACAGCAGCAGCAGCAGCAGACAAACCTCCCATGCTTTTCTGCAAATCCAGTGAGGATTTAACACAAGGACACTGTAGTAGTTTCATATGAAAACCTCCGAACACTGGTGATATGTGTCACTGGTGATGGGGTAAATAGGATAGTGTGTGGCTAGCTACATTTTGGCGCCTTTCGAACCCGTTGTTTATTGTGAATAATTTTATTACTGTTACCAAGTCTATGAAGGTGAGGAACTTCCAGCTGCCGCCGTAGGTCTGGTGAGCCGGCATGTCCAGGGCTTTGTAGTGGCAAAGGATGGAGAAGTAGGACAGGAGGATGGTTATCCGGAGGACCTGCGAGGGGATGAGCGCCATTTCGCACCACGTCGAGTTGTTTATGCTAACTCCAAACACTAGTCTACATAAGACGCTGCTACAGGTTAGCTTTCCGGTGTTATTTTTATTTTTACCGCCTGGGACTCTGATTTCAAACGTGTGTATTTTCACCTAGCTGCTCTGCAACCGTGCCCGCCGCTCAGTGCCCCTGACAGCACTTCCGTGTTGTTGTGGTGACGTCAGAGCAGGCTGTCAGGAGGAAGACCCCTATCACCACCATGGATCTCAAATAATCACGGGCCCAAAGCAATTGCAGGTAAGGTTATGTAATCATTCTCTTGCATTATATTAGCTTTAATCTGCTGCTGCTGTCCAAATTGGACAAAAAATAAGCAGCAATGATTTTGCTGAAAGGTTGAATGGAGCATTCAACCTTTCAGCAAAATCATTATGCACATTTGCTAAACCCATTACATTTTAAAGGGGCATTATGTGTTTTTTTCATGAAAAAAAGTTCATATTTTGGCATATTTGACCTTGTAGTGAGTGACCTAGTGGCTCTAAGAGTGGTCATTGTTCCTTTACTTTCCATCACAGTGGCCTTTAGGATGCTGTCGGATCTATTGTGTTCCCTAAAGTAAAGTATAGCCACCCGCTCATAGCCACTACAAGGTTAAATACGCAAAACTATAAACTTATTTTCTACTTAAAAAGTTATATAATGCACCTTATTTGAAGCTAATATTTGGTTAAGTTTTTATTGTTTTATATATTATCTACCTTTCATCTCATAGTATAATCTATCCACCATGTATGAAATATTGTAATAAATATAGCAAATGCTAAAAATTAATTTGAACTTGAAACTTTTTATTTTCACTTCTTTTAGTCTTTACCAAAAAAGTATCTCCTTGTAGATAGAAGGTTGGATACCTCTGATTAATTTTTTTTTTTTTTTTTACTAAATTAAGATTGATAATTTAGTTCACAGTCATTATTTTTGTGTGAGAATCAATACGTATATGAATCAATATTGTATCAGTATTGTTTATTGCTTCTGTACATCTGCTGATGCACAGAAGCAATAAACAGTGAAATCAGGTTGTGATTAGCGACTACTTTTAGGATCGATTCTTTGGGTGATTAATTCTTTCTGATAACCGATTAGTTGTTTTGACCCCAAAAAGGTCTGTGAATATATGGGATTCTCAAAAAGGACAAAAAACTAAATTTATGTTTCAGGAAAGTTTTCATAAAGACGAGCTATAGAAAAATATTCATTTCTATTTCATTATGCAGTGATTACAGCCTTCTCAGCCACAAATACCTCCTCACAGAATGTTTTAGATTAGTTGCAATTAACCGATAAGTTGTTACAGCTCTGCACCCTCTGAAAGTTAATTGCACAATACGTAGGCTGTAATCAAATCATTGTTTTGTGCAATATTTCTGATATTTTTTTGCCTGTTTCAGTTGTATTTTTTAATGAGCTTCAGTTGTTTTGTCTCCTTGAAGCTCAGTTAGTTTCTCAGAGTCACATGCCTGGTCCCTCCCACAGAGATCCCTCCTGACCGCTCTTTGTGGCCCACAGCTTCGTCACATTACTCTGAAACAGAACATCATTGTTGAATGACACAAACCAATTAAAAACCGGAAACCAGGGTTGAAAACTTTCATTGTGTGTGAATTTGTATTTCAAGAATATTTAATGGCTGAAAGGCATTATAAATCATTATCCAGGAGAAATATTGTCCATGCAGTCGTGTCTGATTATTTATTTTGATGAAAAGGCCGGACCCTCGAGACACTCCAAAATGTATTCAGTTACATTGTAAATGCAAGCTATTCTGAACCAACCTTGTCAAATGCTATAGTACACACAAAGATTGCACTGCACAGCAGAAATCAAATCTCTGAAATGGGAAGGACAGGAGTGGCCCTGGGTGGAAATTTCACCCTATAACCTGATGTGGTGGGAGACACAGAGCTTATTTGTGGTTTGGGCACATTCAGTGGAAAAAGTTCTAATGGGTCTGTGAATATTTGAGTTGTAGCAGATTCGGGGAAAGCTTTGAGAAAAGTTGAGTTTGATGGGTTGTTAGTGGGACAGTTTTGCCTTGTGGTGAAAATGTGTTTTATGGATGATTCTAGCTTCTTTCAGAGCTGTGGAGCTGCATGCTACTGGGAACAACAGCTTGGTACAAAAATGTTCCACTGTGGAAAAATCTCTGTGTGTGGAATCAACAACAGGGACATCCTTGGCAAGGCTAATTTATGTGTCAAGTTTAGTTCTGGTGTGAAACCAATGTAGTAGGATTTAGTTAAGACCAATATGTTCCACAGTGGAAACTTTCTGGAGTCAACAACAAAGAAGGCCCTTGGGGGGTGTTCCTGAAAAGTCGCACAGAAAAGCCGGGTTTATTGCCCCTTAGCCAGCTTAGAGGGACCGGGAACTTTTCCTATTCCACTTATGGGATACATTTACATTAAGGCAAAAACAATTATTATCATGCATTTTTGTATTTTTCATACTCCATACATTTGATTAGACTCTTAGTTTCTGCAGAAGCTCCTGCAAAGACACATCTTTGTCTTCTTTCTGTGGAACCCAAATGTTTAAGGTGTATAGGAGGATTTTTTGATTCCGGGGTGGATCATCAAGACTATCGGTCCTCCTAATTGTCAATCATTCTGGTGATACATGCTCGTCAAAAAAGACCAGAGAGTTTTTTCAAAGAGAGGGCGGTTCTTCCCTAAAATTTGGGAAAGTCCTTCTATATAATCACGTTTAACCCAAGCAGGTTTAATTATTTAGGAATGTTTTACTTAACGTATTTAATCTTAACATAATGTACATTCTGACCTTTGGGTACTGTACGATTTATATGGAAAATATTTTTTAGCAATGATATATTTAAAATAGTCCCTCTTCTTGGCAAAAATAAGACCAGTGAAATGTTCTGGGCAGGATTAGTTAAACCAATAACAGGGCACCTCAAAGATTTGGATTTATTTTTACCAATCAAGAAGCTGCCGGGGTGAGCATGGAAACCAGTTCTTGTCTTAAAAGTTTCTCTCTTCACAATTAACTGACCTTCACTTTAAAGCACGGCTACCTCATTTTAAAACTATTTCTGTGTTTCCACCCCCTGATTTGTAATGTTTTGCATAAGTCAAGGGAGGTTGAAACACCAAATATCTAATTTAAAGGAACAGTATGTACAAATCTGGCCAAAAGTGGCACTGCAACCTCTCCCACTCTCCCTGACTCAGGTTGCCAGATATGCAGACGAATCCAGCTGGGAACATATTATCTGAATAGACAAGAGTTTTGTCAACAACAAATCTATAACTAACATCTTTTTCACAACGGCCCTGATAGAAAGCCGCCTTTTATTTCTTGTTTTGTTGTTAATGATTTGTGAATCATAACAAGACCTTTTTAAATTCTACAGCCTGAAATGTTACTTTACCAGTGAGATTAGCTCAATGCTGTGAGTTCTGGCAACCCGGATCACAGGCTTTCTGATTGGTATAGAGATGATGTTTTATTTTAATTAGTATAGCTATTGGTCACTCTTTCCTTCTGTTCTAAAACTTGTGATGCAACACTGAAATTTCCCTGCTGTGGGATGAATAAAGGATCTCTTGGTCTTAATCTTAACAGTGGAGGGCGGGGGCATCAAAATGAAAACAATAACAATATTTAGGGGCTGTAAAATGAAATGAAATCCAAATATCTCGGCTGAACTACTCTTGGAAAAGAGTATGGTTCATTATAGTTCATTATTGCTTTTTGACAGATTAGGGCCATTTAATGTTGAGTTGACATGAAAATCTTACATATTGCTACTAAAATAAAGTTAAATTATGTAAGGACTTCTGTCTCTGGTCCAATGTTTCTCAGTCTGTCTGTTATCTGCAGTTATGACCATTACTCTTATGTAAGAAAGCCAGTCCCATTTCACAACTCCACCTGTCATTCAAAGTCTATTCACTTTAACTTGCATAATAATACTCACACAGGTACACTCCCACATCACTACACACTCACAGTATGTTTTCAATAAACATTTCCGTTTGGACTGAACAGTATGTTTTGTTGGGGTATTGCTCACCAAATACCACAACAACTCCTAGTTTTATCCAACAATCTCTTTTTGTAAGTAGTACTAATATCCATTTTGCATTTTACCTACTAGACCTACTTGCTGGATTCACCAATATTTCATAACTCTACAATAATATCGATATGTTTCATAACTCACATGCAATTCATTACTGGCAGTGACTTTAACTTTGCCCCTTTATTGGCCTGTGATACAGAGTAACAGGGTGGATGTTGTATCTTTTAGCATGCCTTTTATGAACAAAAACAATAATTGCATACATTTTGAATAAGGAAGTTAGCAGACTTGTTTTGTCAGGGTCGCTATTTACCAATATGCTCTGTACTGCAAAAATTATTATGCAGATTACATGCATTTTGTTGCATTCATTTGAAGTAGGTGCAATCAATGTGTCAAACGGTTTTTTAAATAAATGCTGGTATTAGCATAATGGCTAAATTTCTATCTATTGATCTCGGGTAGGAAAAAAACACATTTTGACAACATAGTGATCCAAATGGACAGACACAAACTGAACACAGAAAACATATACAAACAGTCAGAGTTAAAAAAAAAACTAAATCAAGTTTTCTTTCATTGATTGATATATAAATGATGTAAAAATGTGTGTATCTTTTTTGCTTTGTCAGGAAATTATTAACTTGATGCATCAGAGGTTACTGAGGGCCCATTTGAACGTGTAAAGTTAATCCTTGGAGTTGCTCAACGGTATTCTGTGTGAATCTAGGTGTGTTTGTATGAGTAAGCATGAGCCATCCTTCACTTTTTGTTTTGTGGAGACATCTACACATACAGGCCTCAGGCGGGACGTCCACTTCCAGGTAAAACACATTTCTATACCGTAAGCCGAGTCGCGACAGGTTCTCTGGTGTCTGTGGGTGTTTGTACAGAAGAAAGACGGGATAAGAGGCCAAATGAATCATGACCTACTGTTCATTTAATACAGTGGGAAACACATTTATTATATGTGTCAACTTAAATATGGTTGTGCAAGTTAAAACAAGTTAAGACAAAGGACATATTTCTTTGGAACTGTATTAACACATAACGGCCTATGGGACATCTTTCACTTTCAATAATAGCAGTATTGAAGAGTTCATTTATTTCACAGCACTAATACAAATTTGAAAGAAAAAGTAGGTAATCTTTAATTTGTATCGACAATCATATTCTACTGATATTGGTACTAAAAAAAAAAAAAAAAAAAACGACAACAGGAATGATTAATGTCACAATGTTTCCTGTTATGCAATTTGTTTGTATTAAAACATCAACATTTTAAAATCAACTGGTATGACTTGTAATAATGTTTTTAATGCCTTGTTGTTATATCTGGTTTTGTTCAGCACTTTGAGTTACTTGGTGCTCTACAAATCAACTTGCCTTGCCTTTTTTGATATTTTTGATAACTATTTGAGTTCCCACTTCTCCATCTCTGTTCTGTTAATGTGTTTTACTATTTTATTCAAACATGTTGCACCCATAGACTGTAAATATTTTTCACCTAACTCCTTCAAATATATCAAACTTTTATTGTTGTGTTGTACAGACAGGATTCATATGTTCTTTAGAAATCATTGTATGTGCATGTTCTGTGTTTCTGTTACATAATTGGACTAAAATTGGACTAGATCTGGAGTCTCTGTCTTTTTACTCCACTATAATATGCACAAAAACATAATACGACTGGAATGATAGACTGAGAAAAAAAAGCTTAGATGTTACATGGTCAAGTAAAAGTGAGACTTCTTAGAGATTTTAGTTGGATCAATATATTTTTCACATCCAATGGGCTGAAACAGTATTTAACATTGGCTGATGCACAGAAGCAATAAACAGTGAAGTGGATGGAGATAGTGCACGTCTGGGTTTCCACATGTTTCATCAGAATGACAGTTGGCCCTAAAGCACAGTAAATAAATGAACTGAGTCATTGGAGATCGTTTGGCACTAATCCACTTGTCTCAGTCCTGATCCGGGCAATGCTCTCTTGTGGTTCTCAACTTCAGGACCTACATACATATTCTACAGGGGATTGCTATTTGCTACTCATCAAAAACATGTATTTGAAAACAAGCTGAACAATGATTATAGACATTGTGTAGATAATGATCAATGTGTGACGTTTTATAATTTAATATATAGCTTAGATGATGATGAATAATGATGAAGTTGCTCTATCAGGAGCAGTGGTCGTGCTCATGGCCCTATTTCCAGATGTTGAAGCTCAGGACTATCATAGCTGGAGGTTTTTACTTTGTGTTCTTGTTTTTTTTAAATGAGAAAATCTACACAGACACATGTAGAACGTGCAAACTCCACTCAAAAAGGCTCCATTCCGACCAGGACCCATGACTAATCTTGCTGAGAAAATGTCCAGGGTAATTTTTATATGCGTGCATTTTTGTGCATTTTTGTCTGAGATGTTTTTTTCTTTTGTTTACAATTAAAAAACGATACATATCCTGTGCATACCATACTGCAGAGCATCGCTGGCAGAGCATCCACCTTCAAAATAATAACTAAGAGGGGTATGCAAGTCAAGTGCAATAGCTTGTCCATAAATCACATTACTGGCCAATGAAATGCGTGTGTTATTTGGTTGCCTCGCTGTGTCGCAGGCTGAGCTCGTTCTAGAGGTGACCGGGGAATCCTGCATTAAAGCCTGCCCGGCAGACAGCGGCCACTGCTCCTCCTCCCTGAGCTTCCTCCCCTTCTTCTCACCCCCCCTCCTCCTCCTTTTCTGCCCTGGCGCGCGCTGGGGGATCCGCTGACGTCACAAGTACTAACACGCACGCACGCACACACACACACACACACACACACACAAACACACACCAGCCTCTGTCCTTTCCTTTCACCCCCCCTCCCCTCTCTCTTTCTGCTGTTATTCTGGGAAGAGAAGCTCGGAATAACCCCCTTGTGCGCGCGTGCGTCTGTGCGTGTCCGTGATTGCGCGTGCGTGTGCGGCGCGCGTCTCCTGATTTCACCCTCTCCAACAAACAGACCCTGACTGACAACACGCAGACATCGGAGCGAGGAGCGCCCTGCCGAACGCACTGACGCTCGCGTTTTTTTAGCCGCGTAACTTTGAGCTTTTCTGTGGCGTCCAGCCCCTTTCTCTCTGTGCTTTCACGCCGCGGTTCTCTGCTGGAACTACACCTTTGCTCTGCTGGCGTCTTGTCAAAGCCACAGCCAGGCGGAACCCAGCTGTCCTGTCACTTGTCCTTTCGCCTAGCTCCTTCGTGTTGACATTCTATCCAAAGGTAGGATTGATGACCCTGTTGTACTGTGACACCGCTCAGTTTGTCTTTGGTTTGCTCCATTTTACTTGACACTTGGGTGATTTGCTTATAAGGGCAAGAAGGCAAGGCTAGGCTATGCAGGGGGAATACCCCGGGCACACATTGCATTGCATGCAGATTACCCGCGTTGCGTAACATCCTGAGGAATTTGCAGCGGCTTGAGCTCGGTACTGCGATGCGAGGCCAGCCGGGAGAAAGGCACAGATACCGAGGGCGAGGAGGCAATAAGCGCACAGTCATTGGCAGTGCGTTGTCAGATGGTGGAAACACGCGCATCTAAATGACACCTATTACAATGTCCTTAGGCTATTCCAGTGACAGTGAGTTTCAAAAGTAAATAGCTGAATTTTATTGGACATTATCGCGTAGATATGTTAGTTTTACGCACGGCAAAGCGCATTTTAACACAACAACAGGAGACCTAATTCCATCCATACTGTAAAGGAACCAAAGCGGAGAGCAGTGCAGAATGTACACAAGTGGCAATAACGAAAATAAAAATGCATCCGGCCACCGCTGTCATTGAGTTTAACCGCTGACATATTCTTTATGGGTTGCTAATGCCCAAGTAACCAATATAACTGTATCGGCACCGACTTCTAATCGTTCAACGTGTGGTTTTGATGGAATAATGTATCTTCTCCTTTTGCATCTTCTGCGCCAGATTTGCCTTTAGTGACTGGAGCCGTGACCTTACGCTGTCTGCGAGGTGTTTCCTTGTTGCTCGTGTGACAACAGTATCACATTTCTGACTGGTTTGACAGTAAAGTCTCAGCGGAGGAATCATGGGATGCAGGAAGGAATTTCTGGGCCAATCAACGGTGAAGATACTTAAATTTAATGAAGGGGACATGGTTGTAGTTTTTTTTTGTTTTTTTTTGCGTTCATGTAGACCTATGTAGGTACTCCCAGGGACATAAGATATTGTGTTTAAAGATTATATGGATACTGTTGAGTCCAGAAATGCTGGAAGTATGGCTGTATACTGATAATACTGTTTGCAACCTTTGGATAAAGCTGTTTTACGCACATATATCACACTGCATACATATGGGTGCAACAGGTTGAAAGAAGAGAGTAGCCTGTGGGAATAATATAAATTGCAATAGTAATAGTAATATTCTTCTTAAACCAGACAACAAACTTAAAGCTCGAATACCTTACTTTACTTTCAAATTAATCCTCTAAATCCATATATTTCTGGCTCAGTTTAGTTACCAAGCATGCATTTTGGCCTTCTTTCTCACGTTTAGTCCAGCCTTTTCAGACAATAAAGTAAAGAAAAGAGTGGCTGAGTGAAGGTGGTCCAATCAGCTCCAAAGATATTGTTTTCTAATAAGATGAAGACAGCAGGTTTTGGTCTCATTTGTTCACAACATTTTGCTTTTACGAGACTTTTTCTGGTTGGACAAAACAAGTTAGATACCTCATCTCTAACCATATTTTTTGGGGATTTTAAGACATTGAACAGGAAGTGGCTGCACTGTATATCAATATGATATGCGCTGTCATATTGAGTTATGATACTTGTTGATAGTGGAGGCGGGGATTATTGGAGGCTCCCCGGGCATTCTCACTCTTTAGGAGTGGGATGACTTTTGCCTGTCTGTCGCTCATATGTTGCTTCTGCGCTGGGGAGAGCTCGGTTTATGTCGGTTTGTGTGTGTGTGTGTGCGCGCGTTAAACATCGAGAGAGAGGGCTGTGGGTGGTGCACGGCTGGTTCCGGGAATGTTCCATGACGTGTAGTCTACAGCGGGGCCCAGCGAGGGGAAGAGCGAGGGACGAGCGCGATGCCACAGTGCTGGTTCCTCTGCCTCAATAGAGATGCATTGTACAGTGTCAAAGATAAACTGTGTGTAAAGGGTTAGTCCAGGGTCATTCTCTTTGTTTATTTGTAAAATAATTGCATCTGTTTCAGTGCAATTATAGTTGTATCTCTGGCTGTTATGTGCATGTATTGATCCAAAGATGTGTGTTATGGTTCTTTGAAAATAATTGATATGAGCCACTTATTAGTAGTAGTCTCTGTGTTTGGTTCAGAGAGTTTCACTTGTTGTGTATTATAATTTTATAATATCTCACTACTCCATCCTGGTTTGTTCAGTATTACTTACCAAACTTTGAAACCTCATGTTACTCTGTAATACACTTCATGTAACTACTCAAAACTGTTTGGTGCATGCATTTATTCTTGCAGGTTTGTTATTTTTTGTCTAGAGATATTGCGTGTGTTTTAAGCCATTTGCAATCCACTAACTGCAGCTTAGGGCTGTCTTTGGGTATTTTTGGAAATTCAATTGTGCCTATAATGCAGGAGGGCATATACGTGTGCTGTTGCAGATTTGACTGCAGATGAGCGGTTTAATTATATTGGTTTGTTTTGTTATTTACCTCTGATATTAAAGAAGTTGACACGTTGAGATCTACATTGTATTCTGTTCTTTATATCCTAACATCGAAGTTCTCTAATGAAGACAGATCTTGGCGGCACTGGCCCAGTTTCTCAACAGCTTGTAATTAGTCGCACTTCATGCATTTTGCATCAGACTCTGGCTCTAACTCAGAGTTTTGTAATCACCAACAGCCAATCTGCACTTGATCGCTTTAGGACAAATGTGGACAAATACACCGATACTAGAGCAGGGATAACACTGTTGTACTGGTTGGACCTGAAATTAATACTATTTTTTTTTTTACATGGAGTTGTATTTAAAAAAACAAAACAAAAAACCCCACATATCTTTGTTCACATTCTTTTTTCCAAAAGCTGTCTCCTTGACAGTACTATAAATTGACATTAGTGGATGCATTTGACACCTACTATAAAAATAAATGATCCCATGGTTTTGGAAATGCTAGATCAAAAGTGCCAAAGCAGTGACATGTCTTTGGTGCGTTTGAGGTCCACTGGGAATTTCAGACTCTTCCAATCCACTGAGACTGAATTCCTACTTGATGTCTTTTATCCATTGTTTTTTTTTTTTTTTTTTACAAATAAAGTGCAGTGGCAGCTGATGAGCTTCTTTCTTTGTTATTAAGACTAATAATAGAACACTGTATCTTTATTACTCCAATGAAATAGACTGATTATTTTTTCTTCCAAAAAAGTCTGTGCATGAAGTGCACACTTTGACAACATTGATGAAGAGAGTAATAGTTCACATAATAATTACACTATAATAAATAAATATATAGTGAGTATATACACACTATATGTACACTATATATTTAGATCAATTTGTGCATGATTGAATACTCTATATTCTCCTGCAGTCTTGTGGCCACTGAGAGGAAAAACCTTTCCCCTGTCTTCACCTGAAACACATTCTGTCTGTTCTCTTTTCATTTATTAAACAATGACACTAGTATATGATACAAAAAACCAAAGCACTCTTATTAATTATGGCATGTCTTATTAGATGTACTGAGCCTCTTGGTTTTTGTGTATTTTTTGCACATTGAAAATGAGGGACCCTCCTTTATTTATTATAGTATCAATTATAGTTTTGCTATCTTATCAACGCAGCCATGATGGCGCTTTGTTGTTATGATGACAAACTTTAATGGTATATGCAAAACTGCTGTTTCTAACTGGAAACCACCAGAGACCGTCTTCCTGTATGATGACATTTCTGGTCAATTGCTTTTTGAAATACCCAAATACATAACATCATGTTCCATATTTGTAATGCATATGGTTTTCTTAATTTCCTAAACTACTTTATTGACCTTTTCAATGTCATTGTGGGACTTCAGCACATATGCTCCGCAGAGTGTTGTCACCTATCGCCAGCCAGTGTCCTTTATGCTTACATTATCTCTGTTTTTAGGGGCCGAGTCTGTGGACGAGAGGAGAAACATCATTGATAATCAGGTAAGATCCAGGTGTGGCTGCAGTGGCAGATGTGGCAGATGTGGCAGATGTAACGTATGAAGAGCTTTGTTGTGGTAAAGCTTGTCCGTAGACAGTTGCAATGGTACTGGTGTGCTGTTGTTGCTATGTTCGCACATGAATAAAAACCCAGGGTGAGCAATTGTATGATGGTTTTTTGGATTTACTTTGACTGTTTACAATGACGTACTCTATTCTACTCACTACCTCCTCAAGGCCTCCTAAAGCCCAATCCTGTTCCCTGTCGTTGTGCTGTTATGCAGTCAAGTACAAACATACATATTGTACATACACTATGTATAGCTTATGAGAATGATAATGTTCATAGTTGGATTAATCATATTTCCATTTTTGGAGAGCTGCTGTTGCCATAGTTACCAACACGCTCTTCGTTAGAGAAAGGTGTGACCGTGACTCAAAGGTGTGAACGACACAAACACTATAGGCCTACATTTTTACAGGATGTGGATTTATTGACTGCTGGGAATGTAAAGTTTAAGATTGCGAAAATTAATTACTCTCCATTGCAGTTCTTTTATTTTTTCTGCCAAATGATTAAATGTAAACTCATGGAAATTGAGATCATAAAGATGTATCTGCCTTATTTTGTATTCTGTCTGGAGATTTTGACTTTCAATCTGCTCCATTTATTCAATTTTCAGATAAATGTTCCTCAGGGAAATTGTTCAATTTGACCCTACCCCTGCTTTATTTACAAAATGATTGCTATTATTTACATTTAGGTGGACATTGGAGTTTGATCTTTCTCTTTTCCTACTCATAATTTGAGTATAACTAGTTGACTGGTCCAAAACTACAAGGCCCCCAGTTTCTTAAAGACTCATTTGTTATGCACCCAAGGGTTCTAAAACAGATTCAATTGGAATTTTGGCTATTTTTTTCAGTCAAAATAGGCAAAGCGTGAAAGCGGATTACTGCAATTTTTTAGATTTTCACAGTCATGTCATTTGGTCTGATTTTTAAGCAAAGTTTGTGAGCATAACAAGTTGGTTAGTAACAGCATTGTTAATATGAACTGTACCAGAAAACGGTTTGGGTGATTCCTAACCAGAATTGGTACTTTTCAAGTTATCGTCTCAATCAAACAACATCAAACAGTTTCATCTATTGTTTTGATTTCCCGCTTGAGCAATTTATACTTAAACTTATCCAAACCCTACCATAGTCCCTCAAACATAAATTCATATTTTGAAATTGCAATAGTCAACCCTCAAAGTAATCGTGCAGCTCTGAACAATAAAGCAGTGTAAATATATCCACCATTAGCTTGTCCTATGTGTGAATTGTGTGTGAATGAATGAAACCGCAGACAGTGGACGGAGTGTGGGAGGCTGCCATGGAAACTAGGCCCCGACACAGAGACGGCAGAAGTGCACAAAATAAAACAAATTGTCTTTTAATTCTTCACCAAGTCCCAGTTTATTGCTATATATACTGACTGATACAAGGGCGGGCATTGCAGTGTCACTCGAAAGAAATAACATCTAATTAACCAAGGAGGAAAAAAGCTTATGCTGCTTGTCCATTGCATCATGATTTAAGAATTCTGGTGTATGAGGTAATTCAAAGGAAAAATCCTGATCTTCTTTGGCCGTTTGACGGTGATTTAAAAAGGAAATGTTTTGTTTGGGGTCACTTTAGTGGATCCTGGATGCAGACAGAGGACATGTTGAGTGTTGTATGGATGTGTTCAAATATCATCTTTCCACAATGTTATAATAACGTCCCATTCATTCAGTCATTCACAAATTCAACGTTTTCCTTTGAGCATGCATTAACTAAAAATGCCATTGGAAGAATGCCGGGGTAATAGATGTTGTGCTGAAGATATCCATAACTTTCTGCCATCTGTAATCAAAAGTGTTTTTAATGACGACAACTGACATATATGACACTTGAACCTTATAAACAGCTTCATTTTCTTATGTCATTTTGCGCCGCTCTCTGATGCAGTCTCCATAGTAACCTGGAAAAGTCCTGATAATTGAGCAGACCCTTAAAAACTCCATTAGTCGAGCAGTAATTGTATTATGTCCTGTTGCTATGACTCCTGCGGCTCGTTTTGGCTGTTCCTGTGTGTGCGCGTGTGTAGGTGTGTGTGTGTGTGTATGTATGTGTGTGTGTGTAGGTGTGTGTGCATGTGTATGTATGTGTGTGTGTGTGTGTGTGTGTGTGTGTATGCGCACAGTATGTAGCCTCACATGCATTTCTGTGCAACATCTGATTATGATTTGAATGGCATTGTGGGGTACGATTGTTACCTAGAGACGTCAGGTTTAGTCTTTCTTCCTGTTTTCAGAGTAACTATTGTCTGCAATATCTATTTTTTCTTTGTCAATTCTATTTCTACCTATTATTTATTGATTTTTTTAAAAATATAGATTAATGCAAAAAATAGTATTCAGTGACTAAATGTTAATGAATGTATCTTTGCAAATGGATTTGGTTTGTTCATTTAGCACACAACATTCTTTGATCATTCAATATTGTGATGGATATGTAAAATGAATACTTGTTTGAAGATATATTTTGAGAATATTTTAATGTAATTAAACATGTTTACTGTTCATAATATTAATATCTGGTGACATCAGTTCCCTCAAATTAGATTTTGTCAACATCGCCCACCCATTCTTGTACTACTATTTTTGCAACTACTTTTCCTCAAATGAAATTACTCTCCTACAGCTGCTACTCATCCACCACTAAGTTTACAGTCATCTGTATACGCTCCTATACTTTATTTTATATGTCTATTTATTTTATAGGGACACACATTAATGAACATTAGTATAAAAAAAATGTAAATATGCCAGAATGTGTCTGAAAGTAGGTACACTTAGTAATATTGTTTTTCCTGTTTTTTTTTTTCATGCAGTCATGGCCACCACTACTGTTTATTATGTTAGCCTGGTAATCAAATGCAGTAGAATATGTTTAAGATAAGAGTCTATTCCTTGTTATATGGATGATGTACGAGTAGCCTGGTAACCTCAGTGAGTTTGGGTCCGTACTTCCTGGTTTGTGCCCGAATCCATGGCCTCTGTGTTTGCCAATTCAAATATGATGAAAAACAGTTGGGCCACAGAGAGCAGAGATGGCTTTACATCCTGATGCAAAACCTGGGGAGATGGGCACTTCCTGTTTCTACAGCTGTTTATACTGCTCTATTGTGGTTTCAGATTATACTATGTGTCACTGCATTGAGATGAACAAAAAATGCCTGAAACACAAAGGATGAATTCAGCCCTTATCTTTTTTTCTCAAAAAAAGTGAGACCAAATATTTCATTATTTTGTTTAGCTGTATATTCTGATATAGACCACAGTTAATTATAATAATATACAATAATAAATGAAGTAGGGACATTTGTATTACTATTGTTATTAATTGCTCAGTTATTATGGGGCAAAAATTAGTTTTAAGTCAAACCTGGCTTCTATTGTTCTGTTGTTTTTCTGTATGCTCTGTTGTAAGCAAAGTCGGACTGTTTTTGTTGATAGAAAGTGATACCACGCTGATATGAGGTGTCAGCCTGATGGTCCAATGACTCTTTATTATTGTACTTTGGCATACTATTGTTTTCAATCACAACTTTTGCTTGTGATGAGAATATCAGCCTACACATTCTCTACGGCATGTATTTAGCATTTTTTTGCGAGCAGATTCAGTGTGAATGAGTGACTAATATTGAGGCTGCAGTTGAACAGGATGTCAGTGGGAGCAGAAGCTGAATGAATGAAGGTCACATGTGCCTGGTCTCCTCCTCCTCGGCGATGACTTCACTATCGTCCTTGTTATATCACCCTAGCGCAGTTCTGTTCATTCAAGATTTCTTCACTAGACGTGGTACAATCTGACTATTGAGGAAATTCATATATACTGTATCTTGCCCATGAATCAGTCTATATAAGTTTTAAAGAAGAGCAAAAAGGAGGGCTGCTGTCTTGGTGAATATCAGTTCCAAGAAAAATATTATGTGGGAAAATGGTATTCAAAGTGTTTCCTAAAACAGGAAGTTGACCATAAATAAAACACAGGTAAGCGTGAACAGGCACAAAAACACAAAAAGTAGATTAACACAGCACAAAAACTAAACAAGCACAAACTGAAATTATGTCACAATACTAAATTTCCAACTCAATTTCAATATTTGATACCAATTTTGATGCCACAGCAATTATTTCTAAATGCTCTTTTTGGGAAATAAACTGTAATCATTTATTCAAAATAACAAAATGTTTAAAGGGGTCACAAGGTTTTATTAATTCAAATATATATACTGTATTAGAATGTATTAGAATTGCTCAATAATTGTCCATTTCTGTTTGTAATTTTAATTAGTATTGCTCAAATTATAGTTTCAATAATAAGTTTAGTATAGATTTTGTATCTGAATTTTGATCATTTTGAAAACTTATTTCACATAGTCAAATAATCAGCATCTTGACACCACTCCATTCATTTTGACTCCACAAAAGTAGTGGCTTGTGTCTTCTGACGTTAGTCTTGTAAAGCTGAGTCTTGGGAGCTGTCAATGGAAAGACATCTGGCGTACAGTATGCCATAGATCTATTGTTAGTTTCATTGAAGAATGGAAGATGGAAGATGGAAGATGTTACACAAGAATAAGGCATGTGATTTGTCCTTTGTAGCTGAATGTAACCCAAAATGGCAGTGTTCCCCTTTCTGCTCCGGTCCCCACGGTCCTCCCCTCATCGTCACCAGTCATTTGGTGAGGGTCTTTGCCAAAACAAACAGGTGGCGCACTGTCTGGGGCTTCCTGCTTCAAACTGAGAAACATACTGTATTCTGTCCACTCCATCTCACCCAACTCTGCTTTGGGTCTGGACTCAAATGACCACTAAGGACAAGAGACCACTTTGTTGTAAGGGTCGATTATCGCCGATATTGACATTATCGGTACAGTGATACAATTTGACTAAACAATAGGATTTATGAGTCTACTGCACAACACAACAGCTGTGCCAGCAATGGTCTTGTAACACAGTCCTACACATTGCACATGTCCCTGAGCAAATTACTGTCTGATTAGTTTTATTTAGTTTGGTTTGTTCCACTCAAAATGAACTTCATTTCACTTAATTTTAATGAAATCACATCAAAAACAGTCTCTGACGTACGAGATCTATCCAACCAGTCCGTACAGAAAAAATAAATGTGGGTCTTCTTTAAAATTAAATTAAATAAGTATTGTTGGCACTAATATTTTCACTTTTACAAAATAATGTTGGCCTTTTTGACTACCATTTATTGTATCGGCCTCGATAAGACCCATATATCGGTTGAATGAATGAATGAATTAATGTTTTATTTGTACATTTAAGATGAGAAAAACCAAAGCAGTGTAGTTGTACATTGATTATGCGAAATAAATAAACAATCAATGTTCAAAGTAGTAAAAAAATGTTTGTGTAATCCCACCCCTACTTACAACTCTGATTTTACAAAATAAATAATATCTTCCTTTACCATTTGCAACCTAGCGCTTGGAAGTTTTTAACATGTTTCATGATATTTATCAAAAATAAGGACTTTGTATCTCTGTATCTTGAATATTGTTTGTCAAAAAAACCCAAACCTATATTTACATAGTTTTTTTCTTCACCGATATGATCAATAATTCAACAAAAACACACATTGCTTTAATTGTGAACTCTACACAATGCAATTATCAAAGACTGGCAAATAAATGTGTATTAGTCTTCATTGTGACATCACCACACGTTCGAAGCTGGTTTTAAACTAGTACCGTCTGCCATTGGTGTGGGAGGCGATGATGACTTTTCAAAGACTTAATGAGGAACAATGGTGATGTGTTTCATTGCAACATACAACCATTCTTACCAAGTCTGATTCATGCTATGGTAAATCATAGCAGATTGAGTGAAGGAGGCTGTGGATGGTGGCAGCTGCTACATTTTCACTGGTAATCGGTCTTTTTCTTTGGGCCAAAAGGTGATCTTTTACAGCGTTGGATTCTTTCAGAGCGGATTTAGTTTCCTCCTGTTGCCGTGGTGACTGTCCATATCATACGACCCTGAGCGATCACATGACCTCAGGAGGAAGTGGAAGTGCAGCTGAGAAAGAGGAGAGCAGAGGTTTTTCAAGAAGACACTGACTCACTTTTCAATCTTTGACATAATTGGAAACTATGCATTTTTCCATTTGGTCATCCATCGGGTTGAGTAAGGATTAGGTAGTCCCGCTGTGTTCTCTCACTTGCAGCAATCTTGGCAAATATTGAAGAATGCTGGATACAATCTGTCCCCCTCCCCAGCTAAGATTGTCAAGATAACTAAAGCTAATTGTGATCTATTGTTTTGAGTAAAGCTGAGGTTCCTAGCTTTTTTTCTTCATAGATAATACACGTCGTCCTGAAGACAAGCTGTGTTATTATAAAACATTGTATCTTTTTCATATTTGTAAGAAAGCCCTGTGAGTCACTATTGGACCCTATGGGCTAAGAGTTGATGAAAAAGAGAAGGTGTTCCTTTTTTTTTGCTAAAGTTGTGATAGAGGTCATATGGAACTTAGTAATGGAACCAAATTGTTTTTATCAGTGCGAGGAACTATAGTTACCGGAAGATGGATACCAGCTTTGAGTTCTGTTGGCACATTTTCTTATAAGAAATAAGAATGTCTTTTTGAAATTGTGTTGAAATGTAAAATGTTCTCCCCAAATTCCTCATTCTTCCATATTGTGGGCCTACTGTGACATATTTGGGTGAAGTGAGGATTGGGCTTGTCCCTGTAGCGCTGAAGATGAGATGCTGCATCTGGCATTAAGACTGATTCTCTGGGTTTTATGGCTTAAGGCTAGTGCAGCTGGCTAGCACCTCGCACGTCTTGTCATTCAAATAGCTGGGATTTATTGTTAGCTTCAAAGCAGCACAAGTCAAGAGTGTTCTAGTGTGGAAAGATGGGTGTTATTAAAGTTTGCAGTGGATTTACCTTGCAATATGAAGTGTTCTACTTTACATAATTAAAAGGGGGCAGTATACCGCTTTATTCACCTTTTCAAGTACTTTGGGTTCAGTGGTTAAGCAATTCATAATTTCAAATACCCGCTCTTGAAACATACATTTTTCATGATCTTACAGAACATGACATAAACTGTAGAAATGTAGCTTTCATTATTAATTTGTGGTGGTTATTTTCTGTTGGGTTCTTTAAGCAAAAACAGGTATGTAGACTGGAGCTGCAATTTCAATTGTTAGAAAATTGCAAAGATTTAAATTATTCAGTTGACATTATGTTGCAATATTTACGCGCCAAATTTGTGGGTACCAACGACCTAGCAACCAAAGATCCAATCAGGAGAGGCGCTCATCAGTTCACTTTCACGTGACTCACTAACTACTTTATCGGTGAGTTTTTAGGGTACATATCTGGATTAACAAAGACATTATCAAAATATAAACACTGGGATCATATAGAGTGGCAAACCAGAGATTTTTTACGTTGAGTATGACCCAAGTAATTACAGGGCGAAATATGTTTACTTTTTGATGTCAGTGAATGGAGCCAAAGTGAGTATGAGTCAGAGCCAAATGTTTTCCCTATTAGGCTTCATAGAGCTAGCGGGTTAGCATTGTTCATCTGCCTATACATATACTTATATACTTTTAAAACAAAGGAAAGTTGCTCATTCATCATCTGTTCAGTTAGCAGGTTGGTCTTCCTTTGTTTTGAATAATCCCTGTAACACTGAGATCTTACACAAATTTATATACTTTTACTTAACCCTATCAGTCCAAACACACCCTTACTTCGTTGTTGTACCTCCGAAAGTTGATCCTTTCATTCTAACACCAAATTAAAAAGTAATTAATCTCCTGTAGAGTTCAAGGTCCATGTCTCAATCCTCTAATGACTTCCTCTTCCACCGTAATGTCTTGAGGTTGGCCTGGTTTCGCACGCTCCGCTCCTGAGTTCATTTGAGTTGGACCGACTTGGGCCTGGAGCTGTCAGAGGTGATTCAGGCTGATGTTGCACAGAGCAGTCCACATGTCGACAAACCTGGATCTAACTCACTGACTGTCTGAGGATGTAATCTGTGGCTGCAAAAAGAAATATACGCAGACCAACCAAGGATACGGAAATTAACAGTTATAAAACATTAAAGCATTCACTGGTGCTATGAGACTCCCCTGACCCAGAAATGGATTAAAGGGTAGAAAATGGATGGATGGCATTCACTCCTGTGACAATGAAACTTAATTATCTGTTGGCTGATTAGTAGCAATGGCATCTTGTGAAAAAAACTTGTATTATAACAAACAATTGTTATTATCTATATTTTTTGTTCAAAATATATTCATGACCGGACTCTGAAATTACTTGAATCTTAATTAAAGTGTCACTAGCTTGATTCATAATCAATGACTAAACAGCCAATCCTGTGGTCCTAAAACCATTCTTTTCCTTGAGGAAAAGTATTACTGTTAAAAAATTGTTATATGGTAAAGTGAGAAAATGACTTATGACTCAAAACGTGAAACTGGAAAAGCACTCGTAGCGTGCAGACTTTTGCCAGGAGGAAAAGTTCCATTCTATTCCAAGAAAATTCCTGGATCCAGACGGTGATCCAGTGTCATCATGCGTTTCTTGTCTCCTAAAAATACGCCAATGACCTTCTGAGTTTTGTTGCTAACTAACACGAAGACGGATAAACTAACCAAAGGGACATTACCCCGTTGTGCAGGTATTTTACCACACGGAAATATTGGAGAATCAATTTGAATAACTGTAGAAAAGATAAAATAATGCACCACTTATCATTTATTACTTAGTAGTACATTGGTTTTGTCATTTTTACTTCTTCATTTCGATTTACAAGACGGGAGAAACCGTTCGATGAAAAGGACTTAACTAAAGCCTCGCCATAACTATAAAGAACCATTAGCCCTCACGTCTATCTAGTATAATTCCTTCAGTCCATCCATACTTCATGTACATTTCTGCAGTGGTTACATAATTAGATGAAATTTGGCCGGGTTATTTTTAGCCGGCTCCGCTCCTCCTCTCTTGCGGAGCTTGTGTTGTAGCCCTGGTTTAAGGATGGCTTCGTTATTTCTCAGCGTGAGCTCACTCTGCCGCTCCGTGGGGCAGAGTACACTTGCGTAACTCTTCTGTCTTATGTAATTTGATGCATATTTGATGGTGATGGTGCTGATGCAAAAAGATGGTGTGTACACAACATAGAGGGATTTAAACAGGGCCTGGCCTCGCTGTGCACTCCCTGAGTATCTCCAGCCGAGAAGGAGAGGGGGTGGACCAGAGATAAGCGGCAAAAAAAATGCAGAAGTACATGAACCATACTGTATCATAATAATATTCAGAATGCAGTGAAGCTATACTGTCAAAGCCGCTTTACATTTACAGTTCTGTGGCCTTTACTAGTTTGTTGTGCACTTTTGCTCACCAAGCCTTGTCTACAGATCTATGAAAATGATTTGTATTTATTTACAGTTTTTTATGGCTTAGGGTTTGGGTTAGGGTTACAAAAACAATATCAAAACAAGACAAAACATGGTAAAATTAAAAAATACCATTTCATGTTATTCAATTAATTAAAAAGAAAAATGTAATTTAATTTGTAATTGGGAAATCCATCCCAATTTGTGTAAAACGTGCATCTAAATCAGCGCTGTTTAGCTTGATTTATTCATATTGCTTTGTGATTTGTGAATGTCTGAAAATGTTATTGTCATGA